CACCACTTCTTCATTATGGCTGATTGGGGTTATGCTGCAGTAAATCCATAGCATTCATAGCAGTTACTAAATAACTACTGCTGGTTGCTTTCTCCACTCTGAGGAGGCCCAGAGGAATTTTGCAGTAAATTGGTCAGAACTAATGCAGGAAAGACACCAGGTGGGCTGAGTAACACAATCACCTCTACAGCAGTTTCAGCTCGGAGCACTTTCTACCTAGATGTATTCCGAGTGGAGCTTACGTCAGTTACCTGAGACCGAATTCCCAAATGTAGCTAGCGTTAACCTTGATGCTCATCCAAGAGGAAGCCAGCCAGCCATACACCGGCCCTCCTCTTCTCGCTGTGTGGCAGGTCGCGCTGATGTTCTGTCTGACTGAGGAGCAAGATCCTTGGCCCCGTTTTTCTGCCACATTAGGCCCACACTGAAGGTGGCACTCAGCTTCCCCGCTGAGGAAAGAGAGTGTGTGACTGTTTGCGTATGTTGCGTATGTAAAATTATAGGGGGAAATGTGTGAGAAATACAGGTCTATTTAGATATTAACTCATAAAAACAGAGAAGGTGGAAGAGGTTTATTTGTTCCAAAGGGAACCGCAGCTGTAAATCACAACCTATTTTCCTTTTGTGTCAGGTGATGTAGATTATGTTGTTTCCACACTCCTGGCTCACAGGATGAGGAAATTATAGGCTCTGACTCACTGTTGGCTTTTTAGTCCTGGCACATCACTGCCCTCTATCACAAACCAGCATGAGAGAGGGAGAGAAACCTGACAATGCAGGAGGAGGAGGAAGAGGAGGAGGAGGAGGAGGAGGAGGAGGCAGGTTGGTTAAAGGGAAAAGAGAGGGGGAGTAATGAAAGGCGAGACCAGAATCTGAAGAGTCAGACTTAAAAAGATGGGATGAAAAGAAGAAGAAACGTGAATTGACAGAGAAGGGTGAAGGGGAAGAGAGGAGAGAGAACAAAAGGAGAGGAGGAGGAAGCAGGAGGGAGGGACAAAAAGCTGGGCTGTGTGCCAGGGTCTATTCCACCTTTGCTCTCCAGGCCTTTCTGAGCTGCCACCTTCTCTCACCTCTGTAATGGCATCAATGAAAAGGCCTTTAGGAGGGATGGAGGACTTGACTCGTGGTTCAGACTGTGACCGACACCAGCTGACGCTGCCAAGCCAAGCAGGATTCTGTTAGAATTAATTGGATGTCACTTTCAGGTACAAGGAACAAGAATGGGGGTTTTTTTCTCCACATTTTTGTAACTCGTACTCCTACAGAATCAGAAAATTCTGCAACAATTTGGGCTGATGAAATCTAGTGAATGATCTCGAAACAAAGCTTTTCTCTCCAAGGGTTTCTCTCCTTCCTAAAAAGTTGATTATCAGGCGGTACAGGATTTTTACTTCATAGACACTTATTTTTTAGTTGGTGTGATTAAAGAAAGATAAAGTATTGATTTAGGTAACAACTTTGGTGATAGTGTTCAACTCTGTATGAAATGTAAAAATGTTTTATCTTGTCAATAGTCCATAACCCAAATATATACCATTTTAAATTATATAAAACAGAGATTATTATGTAGCAAGAAACACTATCCTTATATTTTGAATATCTGAAAATGCTTCCTTAGTAGCAGATTGGTATAAAGACTTCAAGAACACTACCTTTGGAGAAATTGAAACACACAATATCTCTTGATACACAGTATCAGGGGATGTATGAAGATATGGCAACCAGTTATAGATGAAATCGACCCATCTGGGCTGGACAGTCTTCTACCTACAATCCTGTAACTGAGTACAGCCCAACTTCACTGACTTGTTTGTAGAATGTCAATCTAGTTTTAAACTATTTGTAAGCTTAATTAGCTAGCTACGCCCAGCTGCTTAAAGATATAACACTTCCACACTGAAATGTCTAAAAGCGCTTTTTATATATATATTGTTTTACATTATTTTTCCAATAATGTTCAAACCCAGAGAGTCCTTTGATTTTATTCAGGTAACACTACGTTACTACCTCTAGTTGCTAACCTCTGGTTAAATACAGGGTACATTGGATACATCAGAGAGTGAGGAAGGTCCGCGGTTGAACGTTACATGAATAAAACTTAAATACATTACCTTGTCTGTGAACAATTTCTGCCTGTGTATAGAGTTTCATCAGCAATGGCGGTTGTTTAATAATAAAGGCAACAACTCCCATCATCCCACACTACTCCATGCCGTCATCAAACTACGTCTTTGTTATTGTTTTGACGTGAGAGACCCCTAAAGGCAGAAATTGCAAAGTCTGGTAGCGAGCGTTTTCATTTCAGCCGTCAGCTAGAATGAGAAGTCTGCTTCTGTTTACCCTGTCTGAAATCAAGGAGCCACTGTTTCACAAATTCCAATTTAAACATTCACACTTCACAATGCTAAACACCGTTAGCATTGTACAGAGGAAATCTAGGTCGAACAGCAAACGTTTCTCTGCCATCAGTCTGTGATAGACTATAATAGAATAAACAATGAAATATTTCACATTGTGTCTTTAAAATTTTAAACAATATTTCATAAGATAAGTCACTTTTATGCTCATAACCATTTTGTCAGCTGTCACTTTGTTGCATAAATTGCCTCCTGAGCATTCTTGGTCACACTGAATCTACTGACTGTGTGATTTTTCTGCTCACAGTGCCCCCCTGCAACATGAGCCAGAGCTCAGCAGACATGCTCTCAGTCGGGACTGATTATTCAAGCATAAAGTAAACAACGCGAGATGAAAAGTCTTGAAAAGAACTACATTGGTGTCAGCTGTGACCTGTCATGTAACTGTTACAGAGCTTGATAAGGCATCATTGCAACTCTTGAAACAAAGTGCTGAAAGTTATTCACTGTTGACTTTTCACGAAACCTCACCATTCTTTCTATGCTTCAGGCTGACACAAGTGTCAGAGCAACAATATGTGCATGTGCGTACACACATGGACCCACACACACACACACCACCCACCACAGCACAAGCTGTGAGCACCTCAACCGCCAGTTCCAACTGTGAGAATATTTCACAGCCCTGATGAGGGCTATAATGTGCAATATGTTCACTAATTCAGTCACTCTCTCCCTCTCGCTGTCTGTTTTCACCCTTAATCTCTCTCCTCCTCTCTCACTCTATGCGTCCGTCACCGTGGCATCTGTTGATGTCCTTTTAGCTACTGGGGGCTCAATCTGTCCAAAAGGCCCACTCTGCTGCCACTCTGTTGCCATCTCCCGGTGATCCATTTATGCTCTACAGTTGATATGAATGCTGCTCGGAGACTAAGCCCTTAATTACCACTAGAGTAATGAGCATTGGAGGTTCTGAGAGGCATGGATAGGATCGACATGTCTTCGCAACATCTGTTGAAGGGAGTGGATTTAGTGGATGTCTGGTGAGAAGTGTTGATCTGACTGGAGATATGGATAGGGGAAGTGGATAGATGAACGGAAGGATGGAGTTCTGCTCATACTTATAGTTTTACCTTCAATAAATCCTTAACAGTCTGCATTGTAGACTGTGAAAGACAGTGTATATGGTGTATGTATATATAAATAAAATGTATCTTCTTTTTTCTTGTTTACATTTTTTCTTGGTAAAGAGTAACTTAACGCCAGACTGTTTGATTGCCCTCTTAAGTTGAAAGTTTCAGGCTGTTTAACCTCAACCTCAAGGCGCTTAGAGATCAAACAAATAAAAAATAGTCAAAATGTAAGCATTATAGGTTGAGTCATCCTGACTTTTATACTACAGGACAAGCTCCAAAAAAAATGCTGGTTTCCACCTTTCACATAAAGCAACTCAATAACATCTTTCTTTAGACGCCTGTTTGCTATGTGGGCTTTCTGAGATTATGACATCATCATGGTTATTGTTTCAGACTTTGAAAAAAAGAAAAATCCAAAGCAACAGAAGACATTATACAACTGAAATTAACTTAATGTGTGCCCCATTGATTCCAAGTCTGTTCTAAACCGTTGACTGTCAAAGTGCAAATTACTAACACCATAGTATAATTTATTTAGAAAGATAGGCATAATAGATAGTAATAGATACAAATATACAGATAATGCAGTTTATGCATTTTATGCCCCTTCAGCCTAACCTTTAAAGTCCCCCTCCACTCAGAAATGTGTTTTTCTTCTTGTTCCTACAGTTGGATGTTTGAGTTTCACTCAGCAGAATGATGTATGAGCAGAGTTTGACACTAGAAAGATGTTTTCACATTCATCTGCTGAAAGTGGAAAGTTTCTCTGTGCTCCCTGAAAATCGGATTTTAAGATGTGCATATTCATAGATTCTTGATTTTTTTTTTGAGTAAGGTAGAAAGAGCCTTTTCTAAGGGTTTGAATGTGGAAAATAATACCTTTTTTGAGGAAAGAACATATGAGACACACATTATTGTTCCAACTAGACGTATTTAAGTGTTAATACATGTCTGGAAGTGATTAGAACATTAACACTAAATCCATTGTTTGTTTCCCCCGTTAGTTTACACTATGTCGAGTGATGGTAGGATACTGGCAGCGTTGTGCTGGGTGAATACCAGGGCTGTAAGTAAAAAGTGTTTCCCGAAGGCGGACTGTGTGCCGACTGAAATCACTCCACAGTAGAGGAGAACATGATTCGCTCCTAGTGTAATCTTGGCTATATAAGCCATAATAACGTATTAGTATGTTTTGTTTGTTTTTGTGTACATGGCATGTAAAACAAGCTGTCATGACTGAAACCTTTTCTTTCTGTTGGTCATACTCAACGGGTTGTATGGTAGTGTTGGAAACTCACTATAATGATGTACAGGGAATGTTTGACTGATTTCTGCATGTACTTATAGCTAAACAGGTAAGTTAACCTTCGGGCCAATCTCCCAAAAGCTCATTGTATTACCTGAACAGATTAGGGACGTGGAATATTATACAGCGAAATGAAACCTGTGAAGTCAGTCTCCATAGATTGTGTTTAGTAGAAATTAAGGGCGCGATTGTGTTTTTCAGGACTTTGCCGATTCAATATTCCACTTGGTGAGGGAGAAGTACCGGTCGCTGGTGGGCGGCTGCAGTCCTGCGCACGCTCGACACAAATCCCTGGCAGGCATCGTAATGACCCGAGGTATGGCAAATTTCATTGACTTTTATATATCACTTTGAATTATTGAAGTGGTGCAATATAGAGAGAGGGAGGGAGGGAGGTAAAGAGAGAGAGAGAGAGAGAGACAGGACAAGAAATGGGAGGGGGAAGGAATTCTAGATTGAGAGAGAAATGATAAACTGAGGGTGGGACGAGAGAGAGTTTCCACTCCACGCTGTACCTGGCACTCGTGTGAGAGAGTATACCTTCCTGATGAATTATTGACTACTCAGAGTCTCTGAGGAGAATGAGACATGGTGCTGGGTGTCAGTCATCCCCACTGCATGCTGGACTTGCTGTGCTCAGGCAGCTTTGACAGGAGTTCCAGATGCCACAGTGGAAATCTTAACTAGATCAGCTTAAAACTTAATCTGAAACCCAACTGAGTGACACACTGAAGGAAAAGCGAGGAGGAGGAAGCTTCACACTGCTGTTCTCCTGCAGCATGAAACAATGAGTTATAACAACGCATTTATCTTTCATGCTGTATTTATCTTTCATGCGTGGTGTTTGTTGCATATTACATCACATACACAAGTGCGCACAAACAGACACACAGACCCATACAGTTCGTACACACCTCGACACACCCCGACACGCTCCAAATCTCTGATGATACAAAAGGTGCACCGATGCACACATAAACAGGATGAGGTCACATGACATTTGTACAAAAGGAGCTGTCATATTTTTTTAATCTGCTATGAGAACTGTACAAGATTTCAAATTTTTAAGTACAAATAAGCTGAATCATAACCAAAACCCGACCGTCTTTGTTGTTGTTAGCCATAGTCGTTACCTGTTCTTGAGTTGTTAGCTGGCTGAACACGTTGTTAGCTGATGTTGTCATTTGCTGTTGTTAATTATTTACTTAGTTGCTGGCGGTAGCCGGCTGAACATTTTGTTAGCTCTTGTTATTAGTCATTGCTGTTAGCTGGTGATGTTTTAGACAAAAGGGTTTATTGCTTGCTAAGGCGAGTGCGAGGCGAGTGTTTGGTATATAAAGATGGACAATGTGTCAAAAAACATACAAAAAAGAAGCCAAAATATTCAGGTCCCGCCCATACACACAGCCGACTCAATCGCAAGCAGTGCTCAGCTATCAATCGTGACGTGAAACACCCTTTTTATATTATCAATTTATTTTCATTTTATTTAACTTCAGATAAACTTGAACATATATCTATCTTAAATGCCAGAAACCATCTTTTAGAAATTTCCGTGTTACCTGCTAACATGGAGGGGGTGGAGTTTATGACCTATACTGCAGCCAGCCACCAGGGGGTGAGCAAGATGTTTTGGCTTCACTTTTGGGGAGCTGTCATGTTGTTCATCTTTATATACAGTCAATGGCTTGGCCCGCGTGTTACCGGTGATAACAACATGCAAGGTAGCTTAACATGTTCCAGAACAAAGGGCCTTCACTTTTTTTGGGATAAACAAAGTCTACACACACAGGTTCGCACATGTGCAGTGCCACAACACACACACACACACACACACACACACACACACAAATCCATGCGCACACAGGGAGTGTTATCTTCCTGTGTGGCTGCAGGCTGTGGGGGTGCAGGGGTCAGTGAGGAGGGATTGGTATCTCTGCTGTCTTTGGAGTGCTGCAGCTCATCAGTTTAGACTTCACTGAGACCGCTGCTCATCCTGACCTAATCCAATCCCTCTCCTCTCCTCTGCCTCCCAGTAATTGCTTCTGTTTGTTTATTAATAGCACACGTTATCTTCAGAGATCCAGACGTAGGGCTGCCAAGTATTCGCAGCGAGGCGGCGGCAGCAGCAGCGGTGTGGTGGCTGGCGTCCGTACAGTCAGACACCAAACTTGACAGGAACACTGGGGAGTCCTGTTCTGTTTCTCCCCCCACCCCACCCTTCTCTCTCTTTCTCTCTCTGTCTGTCTCTCTGTCTCTGTGTGTGTCTCATGCCTCTGCTTTTGCCTCAAGAATATTAATCAGGGTCCGTCTTTGAACCGTAGACAGACAGCGAACCCCCCCACCCTTGCTGGAGTCCCGCCGAGACAGTTGAGCTGCAACCTGAGTGAGATTAGCCTCGCCACCAGGCTGAGAGTTGCGAGACGGCCGCCAAAGTAAACCACCAGCACACATTGTCAAATAGTGTGGAAAATCTCATTTGAATCGATCTGAGATAGCATTGGGTGCCTGAAGATGGTAAACAGTGTTCAGATGTGCTCAAAGAAAGAAAATCAGTAACGTCCACATGGAAAATGCTAAAAAGACCCCCCCCTCCTTTTTTTTAACTTGTTTGTTGGATGGGATGAGAGAAGCTTCTTCTGAAGCTTTTTTATTCAGCAGGGTGATCTCAGAGTGGGGAAAAATACCACAGGGACTCAAAGAAAGAGATGAGAGCAAATGGTTTCAAACAAGTTGATTACAAATGACGGTTAAGCTCTGGTTCTTAGTCTGCATATCCATTTTCAAATAAGGATTTTTCTCTACTCTTTATCTGGTTTTCCGGCTGCCACAAATTTTAACGTTCAATAATCACATCCGGCAACAAAACAGCTTGCTAAGAGGCAAAAAAATTAGCAGAGATGTGCCCAGGGTGTGTTGCAGCAGAGAGAGAGATTTGAGAGCTTCAGCAGGATTTCACAAAGACACCCTTATATGTTCAGAGCAGTTCCCTGTTAAAGCTAATAAAGATTCAACAGGGTGCATTATCTGCTCTTGCCAAGTTTTTTTTTTTCTCTGCAAGTGCTGAGCATTTTCAGAGATTTTCTGTGATTCAAAACGCCACGTGTTGGATGACATTCAGTGCAATCATCCAACATCTTGCGATGAAAGAACACATGAAAGATAGGATTTATTGAGCTCAACCTAAATGGCATATAAATGAGTTTACTAAAAGTTGACCTTGAGAGCTTATTCTGCTTTAGAAGAAAATGTTTTAATGTCTGCTTTATGGTGCTCATAGATAATGTGTGGCTTATTAGGAAACACTCCCTGTTTTATAACCATAGAGAATAAAGGGGTTCAGATAATAGCTCTGCAGTGTCTGTCGATTGCCGTTGCTTTGTGTAATAATGGATCACTGTAAAGTTCATGGTCCTGCCATTTATTTATTTTTCTATTTGACTCTCCCAGTGGTTACTAATCGTGATTGTATTTTTAGCAACTTGTCCTCACTTTTCATTTGAATGATGTAATTTGCTTTTTGCTCAGGCCTTATCTCTAATATTTTGTAGATATTAGCTTCAGTTGTGTTTCTGGAGTAGTTCATAGAGTCTCACAGGTTAGCATTAAACCAGAGCCTTTCTGTGTGGAGGTTATTTGCGTGGGTATCCTCAGTTTCTTGCAGTGTTGGAAGATGTATTCAGATCCTTTAATCCAGGAAAAATAAAAATACAACACAGTACAAATCCTCAGGTAAAGTTCTTCATTCAAAATTTGGTTTAGTTAAGCAAACGAGTATCATCACCAAATAGTGCTTTAGCACCAGAAGTAGAACATTTGTTTAATAAAATAAACTTGTTTCAAGTGTGTGAATCTTGAAAAATTCCTCCAATACTGCTTAAAATGTGGTGACAATAGCAGACTGTACATTATTGGTTGGGATTCCTGCAAGTGTGGATAACTGATGACCTTATTAGCATTTCTTTGGTAAAATATTTGCTACAGTGTGTAAGATGGCTCTAACACACATTTAAGAATGTATCTAAAACAGAGTTTTCTCTTCCATTAAGTAAAAGGGAAAATGATAAATTAGATAATTATAACTGTAACTGTAAATGAAATCAAATTATTTTCTATTCTGAGTGACTGATAATGGTAGCAGTGTAATAACATAGTTATTTGATTGCAGCATTAAGTTCGATTCACACATCATGAAGTACAATCCAGCCTGTGAAAACCGGTTTGTAATGTCTTCTGTAGCTCCCCAGAGAGATTTCTAATATTTTAAAAAAATAACCCTGATGATGTCAGGGGAGGTCGAATGAATGCCGCTACTAAGTTGCATTATGGGACATGTAGGATCAAGTTTTTTTGGAGCTTGACACCGATCTCAGCCCCACTACCACATATGGAGCATAACCATTGATTTTACTGTTTCTTTTTCCCTTGTGTGTCCCTGGTCGACATCAGTGACCTCGTTGCACCATACTTTGTTTTGGGGGAAGAGTCCAGCCCCTCAATCAAAAGCCTGGCCTCTTAAATCAAAAATATAAATTTAGGTTAGGCTGTCTGGCCAAACAGCCTAAATGACTGACTCACAGTCTGCTGCAGCTCTGTGTAATGTAGTGTGATGCAGCCTGGTTGTGAGAGGCCATTTTGCCAACATGCAGACAGAGCAAGTGGAGAACCAGCATTGTGGGATAGAAGTAATGCAACATTAAGCACAAACACAGAGGGTAATACATATGCTGTGGCTGTTTGATAAATATGGTGGGTTACATTCTAACGTACGAAAAACAAACTGGTTCAGCAAAAATATTCCCTGATTTTATGTGCAGCTAAAGAGTTCCTGTTAGTTCTAGACTTACAACCTCAATGCACTTTTACCCTAGTCTTTAGTCTTTAATGTCCTGCTTCATTAGAGGAGACACTGGGTTCTATTTTCTATTTTTATCTGACTCTGTGGCATATGGCACAAGGGGTAATGGCACACAGTGCAGGTGTGCAGGGCATAGTTTTATGGCACAGTTGGAAGCAGGGGGGCATTTGGAAGAAGACATTTACTCACAGGTGCTGACATTAGTCATGACCAATAAAATGACTTCTCTTTCTTATTTTGAAAGTGGCGTGTCTATGCCACAGCATTCAAGCAATTTTGTGATGGATGGAGCAACATGGACTGGATCGGCCAAAAAACCTTCTCTCAATGGAAAACCAGAATCCCCACGGCTGAATATAATGTAAATTCAAATAAGTTCAACTGGCCAATTTGCCTCGAAAAAGGCTGGTTATATTACTTCACTTGAATGTAAGTACAGTTTTCTCACATTTTTAGATCTCATTGGTGGGAAATGGCTGCACAAATTCCCTTTAATTCTTGACAAGAAAATTGCACTGCTTTGCTTGATTATTACTGCACCCCACCTCACTTTTCCCTCCACTTAGGTGCAGCCTCAAATACAGTGTTAAATAAATACCTATGTTCACCTGACGAAAAAAAGTCATTGTCACAAAGTGTGTTTACCTCCTGAGTTGCCATAGTGAGGCGGTGTGTGCACTATACTGGTGTGCAGTGAACAGTAAAGTGCAGTTGCCATAGTAAGTAGTTCCAGTTCTCAGTCTATGATGTACATGCTTTTTGACAGTGCTGTTATCCTGGGGTGTGACATCTTTGAATCACCAGTAACAGATGTATTTGTGTGTGAAGAGTGCCTCAGGCCTTTGACTCTACTCTACCTTGTTCCTTTTGACCCTCTCTTTTTGTATTTCTGTGATGCAGCTGATTATTCCTGGTTTAAAAACAGCACACTGCCTGTGGGGCTCCCTAGCTCTTCTGTGTGCTTCTCTCTTTCTACCTCTCTCACTCACTCTGTCTCTCTTTCATTCATCTCTTCTCCTCCTCTCCCTCTCTCCTGCAAACTGAAGGCAACCTCACTGCCAATTTCATGCCAGGGTAGTGAGCAGCGCAGCAGAAATTATCCACTGCAAAATTGATCTAAACAATCGCAAAGTGGAACGGCAAGGAAAAGCAGGAGAATGAAATTGGGAGAGTCTGTTACCTTTTTGAACTTGCTTTATCACCAAGAAGGAATTGGGGTGCATTGCTTACAGGGAATGCCAGTAGTTGAACTCATGATATAGAGATTTTTATGATGATGTTCAGACATAAATATTGTATGTGTTCTGTGCTGTAGCACAGTAGGTTTAACCTGCTCTGTTGTAAACCTTAATTTACTATTGCTCCTAGAGTGATATTTACAACAAAAAGTGCAGAGAGATGCTTTAATAGTTTGAACGTTTAACACGTTTGATCAATCGCTGCACACAGCTGTATGCGCAGCATGTGTATCTGAAGCTGTGTATACGTGTATATACATAATTATTTTAATGACCAGTTGACACCTAAGTAAAGATGTAATGCTAGTACACTGTGAGTAAATAAATGTATATGAAAACACACTCATCATTTCTAGCCTAACACTGGCAGTCACTTATGTAGGTTCATTTATACTTTTTTAGAATGAACTTGAACTATTTTAGAATTACGGATATTAGTGATGTGTTTTATGCATTGAAACCAGTCTATAGTAACAAAATATTTTTAAAGCTGCTGTAATCAATATTTTTTATATTAACAATTTAGAACTTTGATTCTCTGCCCAAACCCGATGGGACCCAAAACTGTTGCCGTGGGTGGGGCTCACACAGAATTCGATTAAAAAAATATATGTATTTAATATTTTATTATTAATGCATGCAACTGTAATTAATGAGTTCATTTGTTATTTATTAGTTATTAGTTATTTGCACTATAGTATGTGCACATTGTAGCCCAGGTCGAGCTCAGGTTTGGTTCAGGCTCACACAGAATGTTTTTGGGCTCAGGTCGGTCCTGATTCTTGAGCCCTATAAAGCTCTATTAACAATGGATCCCCCTACTTGTATGTTAAAGGTTTCGCTGGAAGTGATGAACCCACGGATAATTTTTCTCAGCAGTTTCCATTAGCTCTGTGAAGCTTTTTAGCCTGTTTGGGTTTAAAAACTCTTGTGCGTAAACTGCCCAGCACCACAGACCAGACGGAGAAAGTTAATGACTAGCTGGTTAACACAGGGGAGGATTAAGAAGCAAAAGAGCCAGATATTTCCATAAGAAGTTGGTAGAGATCACAAACGGAGCTAAAAGGAGAGTGAATATTGGACCTACATTTGCCAGGTGGCCAGAAACACAACTCCAAATGAACGATAGTGTTCCTCTGGATGTGTAAATAAGCATCTGTTGATGATATCTCAGTAACACACACAGCTTGGTTCTGCTGTCCCCAAGTAGCAAAAAAAACAAAATTGCCATTGGAAGTTTTAGTCATTTCAACAAAATAACTGGTCAATCTGATGAAAAAGCTCGATTCATTTTGTGTTTCAATGACTTGAAACAAAGGGAAATAAGGCAGATCCGTCCACTACTCTTTCAGATTAATAATATTTTAAGCTGTCCGCTGTAGTTTCTAGAGTAAAAGTTGAACTTCCACACTTCCTTAGACTTTCTTTTCTTCTTCTTTATGCTTCTTTTTCCTCAACTGCCCACACACACACACACACACACACACACATACATTCGTCCCTCCTTTAACATTTTCCTTCCTTGCCCTCCTTCCCATTCCTCATCAGTGGAGGTGTCAGGACTCTAGCGCTGCAGTGCCATCTGGGCCGAGGCTGATAAAAGCTCATGTGCCGGGCCGGCGATGCCTGCAGGTCTGCCAGTAGCCAGCGAAGCCTGACTTTCAGAGGCGATGGGAGAGATTTGTGGCAGCCAAAGAAGGAATGGCATGCCGTTAACGTGCTGATCCAGGCCCCCCACCCCCCCACCCCCGCATCACCTCTGTCTATCTGTCAGTCAGTCGGGCTCTCACATGGCCCTGCACTGGCCTGAATCCTCACTGACAACAGTGTCTTTTTCTCAAGGAAACCCATCACGAGACAGGCTTTGTGATCTGTGATCTCCCTCATTGCAAATTGCTTCATGTCTCACATTTGGTGAGATGGGTGGGTTACCCCCAAACACCACCGGATATGGCCGTGAGGCATTTCAGCTCTGCCGCAGTCTCCGGAGCTGATCAGTCTTCTTAGGCAATGCTCTAAATTCCATTAGAAGCGCTGTTATGCATATCAGAAGTATCCCAGAAGTGTCTCTCCGCTCTGTTCTGCGTAGAACACGTGGCGGGTCTCTTTTTGACGTAAGTTGCGACCCACTCGCGCCAAGCAGCACAGAGCAGATCGCAGTGACAGGCAGTCAGACACAGAAACAGCATAGACAGTCACACACTTTAGGTTGGATTTGAAGACGTGCAGATTACGAAGCAAAACCGCACAACAGTTATAGGCACAACGTTATAAGGCTGTTCCCGGTGGAATTTCTGGGTTAGAAGCTCCTAGCTTAAGTCACCCTTGAGAACTTAAAGACATGGGCCTTCTGTGTCTGGTTCTTCCTCGAGATGCTTCATTAATGACGGGCAAAACAATCTGCTTCCTGTTAATGAAGCTGGGCCAAGAAACGTAATGCTGGTGCCCCCCTTTCCCGGGAATTACAAATATACCTCCTCAAGGTCATTTACTCAGAGATGGCCCTGCAGGAGAATTAAGACCTCCTCTTTAATTTAATAATATCCCAGGACCTCAGTCTTTGTTTGCAGCTGTCAAAAAATATGAAAAAGAGGGATGTGTGACGTTTATTCAGGAAGGTGCATGCCATCACTCCTGTGGTTCAATGCTTGCACCGGCTGTGCAGTGCTGACTAGGGCACAGACAGTCCTTTGTACCCCTTTTAGAGGTGGTATATATCCATGGTATAAAGAAAATGTTTTTCCAGCAGGAATGCCCCCGGAGTGAGCAATCTGCCTCAGTTCCACTCAGGTGGAAGAAGCAGCGGGCTTGATAGTTTTCTTGGATTTGAAGAGCAAGTCCTGATTCTCTGTTATGTTTTCTAGGTTATGAATACCTATATCTGCATCCCAGTATGCCACCCACAGAAGACATATCAGGTTTGCTTCAGTATCTAGTCCTCCAAAGGTATTTGTAAAATGCACTGAGGCAGGAGAAAGACCTCTCAGGTAGCTATAGCGCCTTATGGGCACAAATGTCAATGATTGGCTTATTGCAGCACCCTTAAGCAACCACAAAGTCACACAGTGAAAACTTTCAGAGTGAATATGGAGAAAAGTGTTCACTCTGCAGCTGAATGTGAAGAGTTGAACTTATTGAAAAAAAAGGCGTGGTATCAGCCCAGTTTCTAGGCGGAGGGTCTCTTCCCTCTTTCACTCTTTGGATCCAGCTAATCCTGGCTGGTGTGGTGTGATAGGAGCTTCGAAGAGCTTCTGCTACTCAGAGAACTGTGGTTATAGAAATAACCCAACAGCATCATTCAGAATTACGTTTTTACCCTATTCTCTTCTTTTAGTTTTCTTTTTTGTTTCACTGTGTGAGGAAAAGGAACTTTTGTTTGAAGTTTAGTCTGAGGTCTGTTTTTGCATCGATCCATCAATCACTGTTAATGGTTGCATTTTAATGGATTTATTGACTTTGATTTTGTGCTACTTTACTCTAAAAAATACTTGCCGTGACATGAAAATGTTTTATATGAAGTACTGTTAGGATATTTCTCGCACCATTATGCCAAAATTCACTACTTCCTTAGGCCAAGTTGGCAAAATGGGCACTGGTGCGGTGGCACACTGAGCATGGCCTTATTGATGAAAAATGCATTTCCTATTACATTTCTTATCTGAAGCTGTAAGACACAACGCCTACGCCCCATACAGACTTAATCTGAACGTAATGGAGTACAAATAAAAACTAAATGAAAGATGTGTAGGGCTTCGACTGGCCAATGTGTGATTTATTCATGTCCTCTTCCACAACGAGTCATTATTGATTATGAATAAATGTGTTACAAACAAAAAAGAAAGTTACATTTATTGTTTGAGCACCCTGGTTTTTTACTTTTTGGTTTCTTTTTGTTAGTTAGAGCAATCTAAAGAATGCATGTTTTCTTCCTGTGAATGTTGGACTTGTTTCAACAGACAGAAAGGTGAGGAAGGACATGCATTACGTATGAAAACCTGAGGGGTTACTATTAAGCTCAGGATTAAGGAATCAATGTAATCAATGGAACCTATGACAAACACAATAAGGAAAACATTTGTCTGTGTGTAAATGTTCAACAGGTCTGGACCTGAGGCACGCCCAGGTGGTGGCGTTATCCACGGGCACCAAGTGTATCAACGGGGAGTATCTGAGTGACCAGGGACAAGTGGTCAATGACTGTCACGCTGAAGTCACGGCCCGCAGAGCCCTGCTACGCTTCCTCTACTCTCAACTTGAACTCTTCTTGAGGTAATAGATCTGTCTTCTGCTGTATTATTCTTCATGTGCTGTATATCTGCTGCTTTGAAATCCCTGTGATAGTTACATTCATCCCCTGAAATAGCCAATAATGCTTGCTATAAGTAGTTGATTGGTGGTCTGGAAGACTAGCTTATTATTGAAAAATCAAGTCGCCTTCATCTCATTCTTGTTTGTGACCGTATACTTGTGAACTGACTTACTATTCCATTTCAGACAAAAATACTTAATGAATTGTTGATTCTTTAACTTTGTTTAATATCAGAAAATAATTAAAGGATTATGCTGATGATTGTTTAGGAGTGGGCCTACTAATTATCTTAAACCCAAATATATTTACTTAACTATCATAGGAGGAAGATAACCAACAAGTATTCACAAAAAGAAAATGGAGCTAGTGACGTTTTGGCAATTTTGTTAATAAAATGACTTAAACCAATGATCTATTATCAAAATAGCCCATTTACTAATACTAATCTTTACTAATCATTTCTGTTCTAAACCAAAGTTGATATTGATTTGTGTTATATGAAGCTCTAGAGCTGCTACAGATTCTATCAGGATCATGTTGGGTACAATAAATTTAACCAGTGGTGGAACAACATCAAACACTTATTGTATTGTATTGTTAAGATACAAAAAGGTGCTATGATCCCAACTTCCCTTCATTGACTGACTTCTTACGCAAAGGGTCACCCTGCCGGCTGTGCTCAGATTAGGAAAAATAATTAATATCCTGCATATTTAAAATTTTTTACCTCAGAAAATAAAAACAGCAAAAACTGAAATGTATATTATATATTTGTTCTATTAATATTTTGTATTTTTTACTAGAAACATCTGGTGGACCAAATTGAACCTCATGGAGGCAGACCTTGGGCAGCCCTGATTTAGAGGGATCTGTTGGCAGAATATGGCAGAAATGTGGCAATACAACAGTATACAAATATTCCCTTAATAACTATTACATTCAAAACAGATTATTCCTTTTACAGATTAAAAATGAAAACCATTGGCAGTAAAACACAGCCTTGTTCGGTTTAATACACTTGCTGCACTGCTAACATCAGTTTGCAGTCTAAAAGCTGTTCAGCTGCGGCACATTAATGTAAATGTACCTGCAAATGTCACTTGGGTCTGGTTAGAAGCAGGTGGAGGCTGTAGCTCATGTTGTTTACTTTGTCTCTTGTTCTTATGGTGTAACACCAGCAATGTGGCACCTGCTGTCAATCAAACAGACAAGGACACGCCCCTCCAGTCATCTGAGAGAAAAAGGAGCATTTCTGATATTTTCCCAAAGACGTTTTTTCTTCTTTTAATAATAAAAAAACTATTATCAGTGCGTTTAAATGTGATTCACGTGATTTCAGTTGGACTTTAAAGTGGCAAAATTTAGGCCAACTGACATTACTTAGTCAATTAAATTACTTAATTACTCCTCTGTATTTGTGATACTGTGATATGTTTTACCATAAACCATTATCCTGTAACAGTTGACTTGTGGCCACAGTGGCTAAATGTTACTCTAATAATTATCTCTAGTTTTGAAAGTACTCATAACACATGACAATTGCCCTTTTTAGTGTTACATTATTATATAGTAGAGAATTAGATTATGATTACTGATGCATAGGTATGTACACATCATATTACTGTTGTATCGACAAGTTAGACTGTTGCCAACATTATGTGTAGGCTTTATTTTCTTTAGTTTCTAAGGTGCCTCTAACAATTTAAACATGCACTACAGTATGCTTAATAGCATTAAATATCTTGTTTGTTGTGACCTCCCCCTGCAGTGCCAAAGACCGCTCTCTACTCTGTAATAAGCTCCATGGAAACAGCATTGGTTTGTTCACCAGAGACTTTTCAATAATCAACGAGCCATATGTGCACTGTTCTCTCCAGCTAACTAAGCATAGTATCACACACTCAACTGGTTCAACTCGCGGTCTCAATGGTCTATTTGTTTTTAATACTTTTTTAAATGTATCAACTTTGTGTGCCTTTGCAACCTGTAAAGCATGCTCTGGTGCACACAAAGTCTCACCAAGATTTTCACCAGTCTCAAGAGACAGTCGTGATGAGTTTTGACTCCTAACTGCCTCCAGTGCATAAGCATATATTATGTTTTTGAGCTCCCCGAGGAGCTCGATGGCAAGGCTGATTCATCAGATTAGTGGCTAGAAGTCTAGATCGTTGAATGTCATATTTGCATACACAGCACTGACTTTTTGTCTTAGCACAATGCTGGATGGCAGGTACAGAGACTTTGCAGCTGAGTAAAATGGCTAATGGGGAAGATAACTCATAATGAAATGACCAAACAAAATGCCAGAACTGCCATATTTACGCTCAGTGAAAGGACATTGGAGACAGAGGAGAGGTTATATAAAGAATGCAGTCGTGCTTTGCATTGTGATGCATTGTTTAAATATACTATGTGTATGTACTTATTTGTGTGTGAGTGATGAAAGCCTTTTTCCTGCTCACAGCAGAAACAATTTTTAACCCAGACACATTTTTTAGAGTTAGATTATGTGTCACCAAGTCGGCCACATTGCAAGTATTCAGCCCATTTTTAATGGAGGGGGAAAACTTTATTAAACTTCTGATTTAGCTGTCTTAAAATATGTGCAGAGTCTTTTCTAATGAATCAGATCTACCTACTCTTCTTGTTACGGTATAATGTTACGGACAGATAGCAGTTGCTAGCCTTAGAGGTGTGTTCAGACAGAATTCAGTGAAGGGAATATTTTGCTTTGTGTTATTTGCCTGAATTTGACCACTGGACCACTGTGTAATTCATGTTTATTTACCTCAAACAACCCATGTGTTAACTGTTCAGATGTTAGCTACTTACTTACTACTGAGCTACGTTGTTTCACCCCAAACATCCGATATTACAACTGTACAGATGTTAGCTTTAACGTTAACTAGTTAGTAACATACGCATTGCTGTTTGCCGTATGTTTGTGTGTCAGCTGAACCTCTGTCTGATCTCAGAACTCAGAAAGTCCAGTTCTTCTGGTTGTTTTCTTCCAGACTCACTCTTTGCACTGCTTAACTGCTGAATATATTTGTCATTTTCTTGCATATTTGTGAACCATTATGTTGAGCCAGCCAGTTCTTCAGTTGACCTTCATAATGATACTTTTGTGTCAGCCTGCTTCAAAGCCTCCACCATCAGCCCTGTCCCCAAAAAACAGAGCCACAGGACTCAATGACTACAGACCCATTCCCTCTGACCTCTGTGGTCATTAAGTCATTTGAGCGCCTTGTGCTGTCCCACCTCAAAGCCATCACTGACCCACTCCTGAACCCCCTGCAGTTCGCATACGCCAGGTAGATGATGCAATAAACATGGCCCTGCACTTCATCCTCCAGCATCTGAAATCCTCAGGAACCTATGCCAGGATCCTGTTTGTGAACTTGAGCTCTGCTTTCAACACCATCATCCAAGTTCTCCCAGCTTACTGAGCCTGACTCCATCTGCAGGTGGATCACAGACTTCCTCTCTGACAGGAAGCAGCACATGAAGCTGGGTAAACATGTCTCTGACTACCGGACCATCAGCACCAGATCCCCCCCAAGGCTTCGTCCTTTCTCCTCTGCTCTTCTCCCTGTACACCAACAGCTGCACCTCCAGTCATCAGTCCGTCAGGCTCCTGAAGTTCGTAGACAACGCTACCCTCATAGGGCAAATTCTCTGGTGGCGGCCTACAGGTGGGAGATTGACCATCTGGTGACCTGATGCAGTCAGAACAACCTGGATCTCTACAGATGGTGGAGATGGTTGTTGACTTCCCACCAAGAAAGCACAACAGAGGATTACACCACCATCATTGAGTCCATCCTCACCTCCTCCATCACCATCTGGTACGCTGCTGTCACTACCAAGGACATGGGCAGACTGCAGTGTATCATTTGCTCCTCTAAAAAGGTTATTGGCTGCTATCTCCCATCCCTCCAGGACCTGCCCGCCTCCAGGACCCTGAGGCATGTAGGCCAGATTCTGGCTGACCCCTCCCACCCCGGTCATAAACTCTTTGAGACACCTGTCTCTGACAGGAGGCTGCAGTCCATCAGGACCAAAACCACAAAGCTGGTCTCATCAACAAGGCCTGGGTCCCCTACTGACACTGACTCTTATATCCACCCCCCACTCTGATACATTAATGCTAATTTCGTGGATTTTATCTTGCACATTGCAAATATCAAAATATAATTAATGCATCATCCTGTGCAGATCCCCTGGACAATATTTTACACATTCCTGTGAACTGTACAGCTCTTCATTCATTTATTTAAATAATGGTCATATTGTACATGTTGTTATTTACATATATTGTCACTTCTTGTTGTCTATATTTTATCTTTATTTATATTATTCTTTGTTTACTGTAATGCACCAATATACCAAGGTAAATTCCTTGTATATGAAAACCTACTTGCAAGTAAAACCGATTCTGATTCTGATGACTTACATTCAAAGCATGTATAAACCACAGGTTAAACTCACTCTTCCCTTTCCCCTGAGACACTTGGACAGCCTGAGTAATGTCCATGAGACTGTGTGAGCGCAGGAGAATGGACTGTGGTCAGAGAGAGGGCCAGTGTCCATCTCTCTCCGTCTCTGCCTCACTCCATCATTGCAAACGAAAAGTGGAAATCTATTTCTTATGCTGTGATGAATGGTTCTACCCCTCTCATCAGTCTCACTCGTACTTGTTTGCCTTCCTCTTTTTCACCACTAAAGTAAAAGGCCAGAGGACTGGGAGGAGTCAATATTTGTGCGGCACAAGGAGTGTGGCTACAGGTTGAGAGACAACGTTCATTTCCACATGTACATCAGCACTTCGCCGTGTGGGGACGGAAGGCTCAACTCACCGTATGAAATCACAACTGACCGTAAGAAGCCAGGCCTTTCTTTTTCTTTTGTTTTACATAAGTTGACAATGCTGAACGTAGAAAAAGAAAGCTACTTGTCATTGACACATGATGTATCTCTTCTAATGTAATCACTTTCATTTACTCTATCCTCTCATTCTCTCAGCCTCCCCGGTTTATAGAGAGATGATTTTCTCTGGCAGATATTCTGAAAGCCACTGCTTTGCTTTTTTCCCCCAGACACATTCAAGAAGCTGGCATCCTTTTCATGTCACATTCCGTCTTTGGCCTCTTTCAGCCACGCTGTGCTGACTAGATGACATTTTATTGCTTACCCGCTGAAAATAAATTGTATATTCATTTAGACGGTTTGCCCAGCATTTTTCTGGTGGCCTACGAGTTGAGAAATGTAATCTGGACTGCAGTTTCCATCAGTAAAATGTATATCCCCCCCCCACACACACACACACACATATCACAGACTGAAGCTGCTATTCAGCTTTATGAATATACACTACAGTGGAGCACATGGCGAGATTTTCATGAAACCCATACGGATTGAAAGGGAGAAGGAGAAAAGACGTTGCTGTCATCGAAGAAGCCTTTGAACCTGACGCTTTTGGTCATTAAACCTTTTTAAATGTTCTGCAGTGCGCTCTCAGAGATTAGAAAATTACTTAGTACCTTTTCCTGACTGTTCTTAAACACTTCTGAGCTGGAAGTCGGGGCTTAGTTTTTAGCTGCTGTCACATCAGCCGAGGCAACAGCCATGGAGGAAGAAGAGAAGGAAGCAGAGTTTAAGCCTAAAGAAATGAGAGGTTATTAAAACAAAAACAGTTATTATCAACATCCCTGTTAGGGAGATATCCATATTGTTATTTTACTGAAAGCAAGAAAAACAATAGCTATAATGTACTTCCTTCTTCCTTCTTTCAGAAAGTGGAGTTTCTTTTTCCGATACTATGCAGAAATTATACTTATAATACTTACATTATACTTTAACAACCACAGGGAAGTGGTTTAAACGGATCAAGGGCCTGTGCCTGTACTGTACTGTATATGGTTATATAATACTATTTCATATCATGTCTAATAAACATAAACTGGCCTGAGTGCATCAAGGGTGCATCAAAGCTACTTAATCCAGGGTAACCGTTCCTTCTTCTCTAACAATAAGGCAGTCAACGGTCTCAACGGTCTCAAATAATACATTGAATTCCCTAAAATAAGCCTTTAACCGCATTTAAACTCTGCTGGAAAGTGTACCTGTCAAAATATATAATAGCAATGTTTTATTGTTTATTGGCTCACCATAGAATTGGATAAATCTTTAAACGTTAACATTATATGCAGCTAGTTCCACATGAGTGCCAGTGATTACGAGCTAAGAATATCCCTTTTTATAGAGAAGGTAACACTTAAGAGCTGACGTGTACTCTATAATCATCTTTTGAATATATTAAAACCAATATTAGAAAATGTTATTGTTTCCAGCCTTGTTTAGCTGATGTATTTTGAGTACATTTTATCAGAAATCGGCAAAATGAATCTCTGTGGATTGATGATTAGATCTGAAACAGCTTTGTGTTATTTATAAATAATAGACAAACTTATTGGTTCATTGAATTGGGTGTCCAGCAAAGCCGTGTAAAAAGAAATGACACGATGTGCAGAGATGAAGCTAAGGCTGTGATTGTATGTGTTGTGTGGGCAGTACACAGCAGCAGACACCTCATGAGAAAGCACCGCAGCCACCTGCGGACCAAGATCGAGTCTGGCGAGGGGACGGTACCAGTGCGAGGCCGGGGGTCCGTCCAGACGTGGGACGGCGTCTTACAGGGCGAGCAGCTCATCACCATGTCCTGCACGGACAAGATCACCAGGTCAGTGCTGCCAGATGTTACCTCTCGGTTTAAAAGGTTTTATTTTAGGAGTTTGAGGTTGCATTGTTTCTTTTTTTCTTTCTGTTTTCTCTGATTATATTCTGCCTCATTTCACTTGTTGATTTTGCTATTTGTCAACTGGGTCGAAACTAAATTGGACAAAAGCAGCTTTTAGTCCTGCTGCCTTTAGCATCCTGCAAACTGATTTATACCTGAAAGAGCCTGGTCGAGTTTAAACTGGAAATCTAATCAGTTATTTGTCAGATAAAGTGCTGTCCTTGCTGTCTTTTGTTGAGATTATGTAGATTTAGCCTCTAGGCAAAGAAAATGCTACTTTGTTCACTATTTTGCAAATTTGAACTGAGACTTTATATTTTGTGTGCAGCATTTCTTTCCCAATGCTGCTGATTGGGCATGTCTCTCTCCTAAAAGTAAAGTTTAGTAGATCCACAGTTGTATATCTCAAGCATTTGCCACTGATCTCAGGCAGATAGACTAAAGAAAACAGTCAACAACACCAGTACCAAATCCCTTAAATATAATTTCCTCTTTTCCAATCCCACCCCTGCTGAGCATTGTGGTTATTAGTGCATGGATTGTGTTGATTTTATTGTACAGTCAACATAAGATAACCTAACATATACTCCAGACTGTGTGATCAACATATCCTTTCACCCAGGAGGTCTCTGGTCTACGTAAGTGAAGAAAGGTAAAAGGATTGTTTGAAGGTTTAACTTTATTAGGAGATTATCTTCCTTATGAGAAGGAGTGATCTCTGTTTAAATAAAGCATTTTAGAATGGTGCTTCTAAAGCTGGCCAGAGGTTTGTCTGATATTTACCTTAGTGTATCTGTGTGTGTAGGTGCATGTTTGTGTTGCCATAAGCCATGCTGTATGTGAAATGTTTTGTAGTGCGGATGGTGACTATTGATTTCCCATATGTGACTTGAGCAGCTAATCCCGTTCTAATGAATTATTGTATTAATCATGTCATTGTTTTAATCACCAGATATGTAGGGCTCACTCTCCTCTAGCTGGCATATTAGTCATACAACCCTCTAGCTACCCACTGTGAGCTATTTATTTATAATTTAGGTATATGCCAAAATGTAAGGGCACGGTTTCTATACTAAAATTCTGGGTGACCCAAAAATTTGCTGTAGGCGTGCCAGCAGGGCTAAGCAGTTCGGCCTTGACATAATTTCAGTGTTCCAGTGTAGTGTCACTTATTTCCCATTTATTTATTCACTTATTCAGTCACTTGCTACTGGTAACACGTGTGTAGTTTACACAGAGAACACAAACACAATGGAGCTGGTGTATGTTCTTAAATTGTTAATGCATGTTGGCAAGCCTGCGGAGGACAGACGGTAATGCTAAATCAGGACAGCTTTGCTCTTCCGCCTCCGTTTTCACACTATCCTCATGTGTGAGGAGTGAAGGCATCGTTGTGTACACACTGGAGCATCTTTACAGGCCCAGGGAGGCATCTAAACACACACACACACACACACAAATATACGTAATGATATTCACTTACTGGATATTTATTATTTTGTGTACCTATGATTCAATATTTTAGTATTTTATCTGCTTCTGTTGCATACAGTATATCCAAGTATGACATTGGTCAAAATCTGTGTAACTTTTGCTAAACTGTTTCAGGATAATTAGAGAAAAGTTACAAAGTCAGTGAAATGTTCCACAGCAATATCTAGCATTAGCTAATTGGTCATACCAGACAAAGTAAAGGTGTAGCAGCAAAGACTTTGAGTTTGTTTAGGAATTCAACCTTTACATTGTATGAAAAAAAAAAAAATCTTACATAGTTACATAGTCTCACTTTAAAACAGTGACAATAACACATTTAGTAACATAAAATTAGGACATGTTTGATAACTTAACCTAAATTTGAAGTTTAGGGTAGTAAATGCTCACAGTGACACCCAATGCTGATATTTACTACATTCATCATCTTAGTTTAGAGTGCTAACGTGCTAACATTTGCTAATGTGCACTAAACACAAACTACAGCTGAGGCTGTACGGACTGTCATTAGTTTAAAGGGTTTTTTTCATAAACCAAAGTACTGGACAATTTTGACCTGACGGTGCTTCTGGGAACCATAATTGTATAAAAGAGAGCCGCAAAAAAAATACTCAAAATTGTACACAAAAGTACCCAATGAAGGTACTCTACAATAGTGATTCTTTACTTCCACCCTTGATGTGGTATTTTCTAACATATCTGAAATCAATTTTTAATATAGTCTCAGTTTTTCTGCCAGGACTGGGCCCCAACAGGAACTGAACCCATGAATTTAGCTTAGTAAGCACCGCACTGTGCCAACTGAGCCATACAGGACTACAGCTGAGCCACTGTTTGTGTGTGTGTGTGTGTGTGTGTGTGTGTGTGTGTGTGTGTGTGTGGAGAGAGAGAGAGGAAGCGAGGGACAGCGAGTAAGACACAGAGAGAGAGAGGTGAACCCTTCTCCTGTGGAGCCGCTGTTAATTTGACCAATTTGATTCAGTTGGCCAGGGCTGGAGATGGTGTGATTAAATCTACCCAGGTCACCAACGGGGGTGAAAGCAATTACTTTACAAAAAAATAGAGTGACGGGGGAGGGAGAAGGGGACACCCTGCTTTTCTTCCCTCCCACCATCCCCTCCCATCCATCCCACCAGGCCAGACAGCAGACGCACTCTCTTTGCTCCACAGCGTCCTCTTTCCGTTTTTTTATATTGCTGTAAATGATGGGTGGCCGTCGTTAAAGTGAGTGGGTCACCAAGGGCCAGTTTATCAAGGTCAGGTTGGAGGGTGGAACTGAGAGGAGGCTTAGGGCCGCAGACTCAACACAGCCACACACACACACATACACACACACACACACACACACACACACACACACACACTGCTGCAGTGTTAAAGCGATCCCCTGGATACTCTTCATGTCCTCTGTCACACTCATTTTGCAACCTCCCATTACTTTTTTATTTCCCCACTTCCTTCAGTTCCTGCACTTTATTATAGTTAGTTCAGCTTTGATCATCAGGGATTTTAGGATCTTTGCTCTTATCATAAACATTTTTGATAATGAGCAATTGCTCCACCTGATTTTCCTCATTGTGTTTCCTTAAGCCAGGCCCAGCCAAGCTCCTTTGCTAATATTTGATTTGAAGTCGACAGCTGGATTTAATTGAGGGCCTAAATGGCTTTCATATAACGATGATGTTCTCAATTCCGCTGCAGTTTTATGCAGATGAACACATTACTTTAATGGTCGCCGTTTACCGGGGGAGGGAAGAAAGGATAGATGTAGGAAGTGAGAGAGAGAGAGAGAGAGAGAGAGAGAAGAGGTCTCTCCCCTCTCCTCTCTTTAAATGCACACACCCAAGCCAGATGGCTGTCTTTTCTTGCATGAGATTAGAAGATGTTTCTGATTCACGGTGTCGCTTTCTGGGTAAATTAATATTTCAGGCTAAACTATTTCTGTTTTGGTGGAGCACTGAGGGTTTTGTGTGAATGTGTGTGCATTTCTTTTTTTTTTTGGAACAAAGCTCCTCCTCTCTGCCTGAGAGGGAAGGACAGATCTCACTGACAGATTGCAGGTAAGGCGCAGGCGGGGCGGCCGCTGCTTCGTGAGCGCATTCAGTGATTCCCAGAAAGCTGATGTTGATGTTAATTGACTGCTCGGGAAGCGAAAGGAGTCGTAATGAGTGATTATTAAGTCTGCAAGAGAGAAAAAACTAAACAAGCAGCCGCTGTAATTGCATCCATGATAAAGAGACATTGATTAACAAAAAGAACAATGATCTAAAAATTAGTAGCATAATGTCGAGCCTTTGATTGTGCCTCGCATAAGTTCATTAGTCCGGTGCACCGGAGAGTACACAGCTCAGGCACACAGCAGGCTCGCTCTCTCTATGAAGGGCAGGAATGATAATAAACACGGTAATTATCATTTTCTATCCATAAATTAGCATCTGCTGGTTAAATAAAGGGGATTTCGACAGTAGGTGGCACATGACCAGCTGGCTACATTATCAGGCGTCAGTGCGGCTGGCAGGATTAGCCCCACAGTGATTTTGTGTCACTCGTGGATTTCCCGAAACAAATCCTGAGGTGATCGGCCCTCGCGCTGAGCAATCGACGGGAGTTTTCCTGCAGTGCATTAACCTCACTGGCACTGATGAATGCACACATGCTAATGTGTTGTTCCATTTGTGTGTGTGTGTGTGTGTGTGTGTGTGTGTGTGTGTGTGTGTGTGTGTCTGTTTGTGTGTGTTGTCAGTCCAGTGGCTGTTATTCATCACGTCCCACATCAAGATAATGATCAAATTGTCTCTACCTGTCATTGAAGCTCTCACATCTCTCCTCTCTTTTTGTACCTTCCTCTCTCTACCCATCGCTCCCCTTTCTCCTCCTTTTCCCTCCGGTTCTGTCTTCCCACCTTTTCTCCCTCCTCCTTCAAACCATCACACTGCGTTGTCCCTGACCTCCTCTCTCTGTTCTTCCTCCACTCTCCCCTATCTCTTTCCTCCCCTCAGATGGAACATCCTGGGCCTACAGGGGGCGTTGCTGAGTCACTTTGTGGAGCCGGTGTACCTGCACAGCGTGACCGTCGGCAGCCTTCGCCACACGGGCCATCTGGGCAGAGTTCTGAACCAGCGGCTAGAGCGCCTGGGCCCACTGCCCGCCACGCACAGACGCAACCAGCCCCTGCTCAGTGGTACGACACAGACAGTCAGACAAGTCTTAATGTGATAATTACATTAAAGAATATATTGACTTTAGGACGTTTTCACACCAGAAAGCAGTACAATGAAATGAATTCACGAGTCATTTTAATATAGCTGGTGTGAACCTGTCGTGACATCACCCATTGGTTTGTGTAGAACCATTTCGAAGCCTCAAGTTTGGCATTTTGGCCGCTGCAATGACGGTTAGATGGAGCCAGCGGAGGTGACGTACTGCGAGTTGGGCTGCTCTCATTGGCTGCACAGTTTTGACTCGTCCGTAGCCAGAAACAATGGCAGCTCACCTGGTCACACATGATCTCGTATTACAGTACACTAACATATGTTTCTGAAAGGATTCTAGATGAGACAATGCAGTAACAGAATCTTGCCTCGCATCAGCACTGCTTAGTTTGATCTGAGTTTGGTGCACTGAGCTGGACAGACTCACTGAGAGTGACCAATCAAGAGGTAGTCCCAAAAGCATACGCAGGTTTATCGTCTATTTTACTTTACATTCGACCATAATTTACTATATGAACATCATAATGTATGGAAGAAGACTTGAAAATAGATACTGAGACCATAAACTCTTTAGAAAACAGTTTACTGAGCTCAGAAAGGAAGTTAAAATCAGCTCATTCTCCATTAGAGTGAATGGTAGCTGTAGCCAATGGAGCTCCCCCTGCTGGTCTTATGCAGGTTTTAAGACACTTCCGTGTTGGCTTCACTTTACAGACCCGGAAGCTCTGTCCATTATACATACTGTCAATGTGTTGGAAGCTTGGTGACATGTTGACTACTTGAGGGTACTTTATACAATGGGGTGTTGGATAGGTCTGCAGGTATTTCAGTCTCTCAAAGGTCAGAACTGTAAAGATGGAAATCTACTTAGTTGACTATTAAGGGGCATTAATCTTCCCTAAATTTATCCATTGTTATGATTAAAATATTGGTTATAGCCACTTAAAAAATGAATCTTCTCAATTTAATATAAAGCTTTACTACAGGGCATCACAGTGAAAGATCTACTGGGAACACAAGGGTGTCAACTTCGAATTACCAAAAATATTTAACTCTTTTAAAGCATGATGGAAATACCACCATGAATAGCCTGTAGCCTATCCAGCTCATTAAAAGCAACATTTAAATTAACTAAACCAGGAATTCACAGGTTGGTTGGCTTCCAGATGGTCTCATGAAAGTTTCCCGTTATTTCTTAATTTTCTTCAGCTAAATGACTGTTCTTTCTGTTCTTTAAACAGTGACATACTGCGTCATATGTATACAGTATCTTTTTTCAGTGGTGCCTTTAAATAAATATGTCATCTCCAGACCAAATGAATCACAACAGATCACACATGTAACACCCCCCCCCCACACACACACACACACACACACACACACACGCAGACGCTTAACAAACTCATGTACCCCTGCTTCTCCACAGTTACATTGTGCCAGCCAGACAAGCAACAGCTAAGAAGTTGTCTGGCACGCCTGCCTCCAGGGCTCAGCTGAGACCCGAGGCTTTCGTTTGTAGTGAAGATGAATACTGGAAGAGGATCTGAATGACACCCAACTTGTAGAAACTGCAACAGCCATCACTTCAGATCTAGGCCAGTTGGAGTGGCTGAGCGACAGAGACACACAGCGATGTAGGGCACATTTTGTTGCAAGCATCGTTGACAAGAACAAAGACGGTGACAATCACGTTCTATATGTACTACACACTCAGTGTCTATCATACTTGTAGCAGATTTCAAGTGTACTTCTTGAAGGGCATAGGAGCTCTTTGTGTTGCGGGCCTCTGCTCTGGGTAATTGGGTGCCATGAGGATGAATATTTTGTGAGGCCTATCCTCATCAAGATTGATAATTGTACTGAATTGTCCTCTGGTGATGATAGCTGGGATGGATTTATCATTGAATCCTCCGACCGAGGCCTTCAGCGAGCATTTCTCATGATTTGTTCATTGACTTCTTGAATGGAGTCGTTTGACTTGTCTGGAATGGAGAATTTGGTTTCGGATATTACAAGCTGTCGTTAACATTCGGAGGACTGTGGTCAGATATGATCCATTTGTTCATCATTCATACTTACTTATAATATTAAGTTATTCACTCAAACTATAATACACCTCACAGTAAGTACATAGTTTGTTTGACTGTAGTTATATAACTCAAGAATGATGCTGCTGAATGTCCTTCACGCTGTTTCTTAGTGCTGAGGGTTCCTTGTGTTGGCAAATGATGTAGACATGCCCTTTACCTCCTGACATCCCCTTTACTCAAAACAAAGGTGGTCCCCTACGTCTCCTGCCCTCCCCTCTGACACATGATGTGTGTTTTCTGCGTGTGTGTCCACACGTCCCAGGCTGTCAGATCTTTGCACCTGCAGCACCTTCGAGTAGCTACAGTCTATTGAAAGGTAGAAGGGTGAGGGGAGGGAAGGGAGAGGAAGGAAGATGGACAGACAGTGGAGATGGCCCTGCACCAAATCAATGTAATCACAGCCCTTATCAGACAGCCATTCAATCTGAAGGGAGCTCGGACAGAGAGAGAGAGAGAGACAGGCTGAGGGGAAGAGAGGGAGACGGCAAGGCAGGAAGGGAGGACAGAAAGAGAGAGCTTCAGTTGCATTCAGATGTCTGTGTGTGCGCCCCCCCCTCCACACACACACACGCACACACACACACCTCTTCTCATCTCCTCCTCCATCCTTTCATTGGCTCTGATGAGCTCCCCGGCTATTGTGTGTCCAGGGTTATTTAAAAGCAACACCCCTCGAGGAAATTCCCAGGGATCGCAGGGTCCGCTCTTATCGCACACAGCCAAAGCAGCTCCACCTGAACCCCGAGGGCCAAACACATCGATGGACTGACTTGTCCTTCACTCTCGTCCTGCTGCTCACTTACACTGCAGCGCCAACTGAAACTGTGGCTCTGTCGTTTTTGGGATAAGAAGAATCAGAACAACAAAACAACATTAATAATGGTTGTTTGCCACTTCTGTGGTTCATTTCACATTCACACAGAGAGAGACAGTGGTGTAAACTATTGGTCTTTTACTTTGATAATATGTCTGATTTTTGCCTTCTGACTCTTGCCCTCACTGGCAGCTTTGCGGTTACGTTTGTGCTGCCTGACTTTTTGTTTGCAGTACCGACAAAAGACCTCTTGCGTGGGTGGAGTCTTTTCAAGGGTACATCCCCATTGGCTCAGGAGTTTTTGAGTGACAGCTCAGTCCCCCAGACATTGTTCCGCCAGTGCAGAGAACGCGAGTCTGCCAGACAAAACGTGTACTGCAGAACAGACAACATAAGTGATGCATACTTTATTACACTTTATTAATCTTGTAGTGCATGACCAGGGCTGCTGTTTAGGGTACCCATGTGTGTTTGATATTTAAGGGACACAAAGGGATTTTATAGGATGTAATATTTACATACACTTCCAAATTCACCGTGTATCAAGAAGAACTAGATCTTTCCAGTCTAGTCTCATAAGGACTTACAGAAAAGGACAGTCAACCAGTACATGAGCACAACACCTGTTAGGGAAGAAAGTAGCTGTATGTTGTATAGCGTATAAGTGTACATAAGCGTTTGCTCAAAGCAGTTGGGGTTAAAGTGCCACATCCCAGCCTTTCTTATAAATGAGTTGCTGCCCTTCACACAGACACTGAAGACGTCCATCTGTTCACAGACCTGTTGCCTTATCACTCCACTGCTGCTCCATCCCCACAAGGGACATGTTTGAAAACCCTGCAGTACTACAGTAATGCAAGATAGATGCAATGTGTACACATAAACACTCAAGCTTTCCTTTACTGTGGCTCCACAGCAGCCTCAGATATTAAGCCATGGGTGTACTGTACAGTTATAAATCCCATAACCAAAGGCTCTAATTCTGCCTCTTTCATGTCTGCCAAACACTTCCCTGAAGAGAAATTGATCAAGTCTTCAATGAAGGAAAAATCAAATTGGCTATTACAGAAACAGAGGAGTCAAGTCCATTGAAGGGATGAAATGAGCCATGAATGGAGCGAGAGAAAGGAAAAGGATGGATAGGAGGGTCTATTGTTCAAAGAGGTGCGTCTCCACAAGAGAGAAGAGATGGGTAATAAGAGACTTGGAGGATTGTTACTGTGGCAGGCAATTCATTCCAGCTCCAAGGAGCTACAGAAAAGAAGGGCTGAGATTGGTGAATGGAAGAGTGAAGACGGGAAAATGAGTGTGGCAAGGAGAGAGATGATCTGCAGGCATGTATTGTGGTATTGTACATCAGGTATTGTACCATAACAAGCTGTCTGTCAGACGGCGAGATCAGAGGCAACTGTTGTTCACCCGTTTCACACAATCCGTCTGCAGATTTTCTATGAGGGTACCTTTAACATTGCATGATATAATAAATAACTGCGTTTGAAGTCAAGGTAAAATCCAAGACAGCGATTGCTTTGTGAAGACAGTTTTACAGATTTAAAGTGGATATAATGTTCAAGCAGCACTTAACTGTCAGATTTTGTTAGCCCAGATGCGTCTCTGGCACTATGACAAATATTGCACCCCGACTTTCTCTCTGTTGTAGTATTGTCAGCAATAAGTTAGAAAAGCCCATCTGTGATAAAGCACAATGTAACATGTTGTACTATAAATCATAGTACACAGCATCAGACTATTTCAGCTTTAATAACACACAGGTCAGCAATTTGCTTTTTTTTTTATTCTTATGTATTCTAATATTAGCATATGGATATAACACTTTGTGGGAAATACGTTGTTATCTTTGGACAGAGCCAGTCTTTGTGCTAAGCAAAAAAATAGGCTTCTATCGTGAACTGTGTCTGAGACGTGTGGCTCCTCTGACCTGTTAATGTGGGCGGCGAAGTAGAAAGCAAGACGTCCGACGATGTACAGGCGCTGCAGATGCATGCAGAGTTTCCAGGGCTTTAGCAAGAGAGGAAATATGTGTATTTCCCAAAACGTGGAACTATTCCAAATTTGTAGAAGTAAAAATAGTTTTACGGTTAATCACATAAAACCTTTTATAACCTTTTTACACTTTACACCTTAAAATCTGGGACAACAGGTTTTTAGCCTTTAGCTAACACTAATACAATTGTGGAGGTTGCACTGGGAAACTTTCAGGTATGACGGCGTGAAGCAGGATGCCTCTTTACCACTGCTGGAAACTTCCGGGCAGGCTGATTTCCTCACTCCATCCCCAAGCATTAAGTGGTTCAACATCTTCTACTGCTGCAGGCTGTACAGATCCAACACTTTCCGAACCCAGGATATAGTGGGAAACTGGCTCCTATGAAACACTCACTGTGGCCTCTCAAGGACATTTTTGCCCTGAGCTCTCATTTGTTTCTCACCCCACTGTCAGCTCCGTTTCCACCACAGGCCCAGCACCTCTGCCAACACCTGTGTTCTCAAAGCAGACAGCTAATTCTCTACACAGAACCCAATGTGACTGGCACTCACCTCCACCTCTCTCTTTCTCTTTCCTCGACTGATCGCTTTGTGTGCTTTGCTAGCGAGGCTAATTATTTCAGAGAGCGAAGGTAGAGAGGGCGGGACAGAGAGACATACAGTCCAGTGTTGGGGAGGGTTCATCTTTGTGACTGGAGATAATATTTACAGCGTACATCATATGAGGCAAACACTGTTAACTGCAGGAACTCTAGAGCAGACAAGCACTCGTACAAAGGCAGGAGCACGCTGCTTGTATGCTCAATAGCCCTCCCGTTCTCACCTCCCTGCCTCTCTCTCTGAGGGTATATCAAAGCTTCACAGAAACAGCCGTGCAGTTTCAGGCCCAGGTTGACTTGGCTTTTTGCAGCGCTGCAAAACTTCATGTCTGCCATTAGCCTCAGGGAGAGAGCGAGGGAAAGGTGAAGGAAGGTTAAATGAAACAACAAAGTGGAGGTTTGAAAGGAAAACGGCACATTTTCACTTCTTGTCTTGGTATTACTCACAAGTGTTACATTTTAAAACCCTTTTATGAAATGTTTTGCACAATAAAGCTCATTTGGAAATCCAGCATAAGTTCAATCTCTCTGCCCCGTGCTGTCTTCCCTGTAGGGCTGAGCAGTGCCGAGTATCAGCAGCCGGGGAAGGCCTCGTGCGTCAGTGTCAACTGGACGCTGGGTGACACACAGTTGGAGGTGGTCAACACGGCCACCGGACGGAGACGGGAATCAGGGACACCCTCACGTCTCTGCAAGCACGCCCTGTTCACCCGCTGGAACAGACTGTACCGCAAGGTGAGGGCAAACATAAACACATCTGCTCAGTGGCTGAACTGTATTTTAGGCTGTTGTGAAACACACAGACATTGTTAGGTGCCTGGTAGTTGGAGCACTTCCAGGACTTGGATGAGCATTAAACTGTCATTTGATTTGCGGGTACAAAACACGAGCAACAGAAAATAACACTGTGTTAGAAGATATCATGTTCTTTGATTAAAAAGTTAAAGGTATTAGACTGTGTGCAAGAAAAACAAGCTCACAAGCTTCATTTTGCTAAGAGGCTTAAAATTGTGTCGTGCACGCGAACTGAAGCAAACCTGATAAAACATTCAGCAATTTGAATTAGCTCAGATTCAGATTCAGGGTCAGTTTTGGATGAAACTGCGATGTGTTTTAACTGCAACAACAAAGAAGAATTCTGAATTTGTTAAAGCTCTGATTTACATATTTGACTGACTTCCTCTCCATAGTAATGGCATCTACGGTTCATGGATGTTGTAGTATTTACACCCAGCTGCCAGACCAAACTCAGAAGATTTCTCAGAAACAAAGAGCCAGTTTGTCTTTATTAGAGAGGTGACAGGAAATGAGGGAGATGCAGCAAAGATCCCAGGGATGCTGCGGTTCACGGTCGGTGTCTAAACCCCTAAACAACAGAAGCCCTCCAGGGACAAAGCTGAGATAATTAAAACACACTGGCCATTACACAGTGTTAAATTATCCAGCTCCGATGTCTCCATGTTGTGGAACACTGAGGGTATGATTAGAAGGAATGGGAATTTACAGATAAAGTTAAAATACTGCCAGAAGCAGCAGCTCCTCTCACTCTATAGAGGGTTTCTCATTGCAGACATTTAGACTCTCATGGTAGAAGAAGCACAGGTGTAACATTAATGATAGCTCTGTTCCATACAAGAATACCGGCATGCACAACGCCAAGGCACTGGCACAACTAAATGGAATACAGCTACTATTGATATTACTAACTACACTGTGGTTCGCTTGTTATGACATGTTGAAATTTCCGCTGTTAAAAAGTCAGCTGCTAATTTAAATGTTAATTAAAAACCACCCTCCACAGTGTATCTTTTGCTTGCTGGAAAAATATTATGAAGTACTATTTAATTAATATGAGCCTGAACAATAGTCCCGTTTTCATATGAGGAAATGTCTGTTCCACCACTCGACTCTACTGGCTCTCCCTGCGCATGCTCCTCAGCTGGAAAGCAAGAGGCATTACTCAGAGGATGTCAAAAACAATGCGCAATCCATTGCCATCAGGAATCACATGCAAGCAGTAACACATAAACACTGACTGCAGAGGTGCATGCCAACATCCACTCGGTGAAAAAGCACCGACACACGTGTTAAAGTCAGAGCGACAGAGCGCTGCGGCTGCAGGTGAACGCTCTGTGGACGATATGTGGAATTTCCTCTCTGCCATAGATACATTTGTTGGCCGGGCAGCATCTGCTGTCTATGCGGCTTATCAGAGACTGGCAGCTCAGATCTTTAACGTCAGCACGCAGACCCGCTGCACTTTCATTTGCATTCTGAAACTTTATGTAACAGACACTGCCTGCATCGCCAAATGGCGGCCGTTAAAGCATAATGACTATGAAACCATAATTATTTGGAGGAGTACTCGAGGAGGCCCCCACCCTAAGTGCTCCCTGCGCGCCGTATATAAGGGCCACGCTAGAGCAGTCGCACTAATCTCCAAAAGAAACTTTTACCCTCTCCCTCTCTCTCTCCCCACTTGTCTCTCCGCCGATCTTCATTGTTTCCCCTCGCGACAATAGGAATGCGCAAAAAGCACAGAGAATGTTCAATTGCTTGTGAAATTTAAATGGGGAGATTACACAGCTGTTGAAGCCCCCCCACAACCTCCCAACCCCACCCAAATGCATTTGTGCCGGCTCATTCGTTTTGTTTGGTCGCTCTTCTTCTTCTCCCCTACCTCACAGAACCTTTAGCCCCTCTGCCCCGGCTTTATTCCTCTCTTTGTTTTCTCCCTCCTATCTTCACGTCTGTCTCTGTGTCGCTTTTATCTGACTGCCGATTGCTCTCTCTTTCTCTCTCTCACTGTCTTTCCTCTTCTCTCTTGCCTGCTCGCCCTCTTCAGTTGGGGATCCACGTGTCCAGCTCGGCGGACCGCCAGCTCATGTACTGCGAGGCCAAGATGGCGGCGCGTCCTTACCAGACAGTGAAGCAGCAGTGGTTCAGATCTCTGCAGGAAACGGGTCTCGGTACCTGGGTCAAGAAACCGCCCGAGCAGGAACAGTTCCTGCTGACGGTCTGAGGAAGTGTGTGTGTGTGTGTGAGTGTGTGAGCGAGATAGAGAGTGTGTGTTTGTTTAACCACCTTTATTTTTTTAGTGTAAGATGACTCCATGCTCTTTACCAACATCCTGCTTCACACCTTCATAGCTGGAAGTTTGCCAGAGCAACCTCAAAACTCGAGGCTATCACCAACATCTGTGGGTCTGTGTGTCTGTGTCTGTGTGTCTGTGTGTGTGTGTGTGTCATCCACCCAATAGAAAAACGACAAGAGGAAGGTCAACTGGACGGACCCCGAAAAGAAAACAGACATAAAAGATGGTCTCTTTCTTTGACTTGCCCTTCTTTAAACGTACAAACACACACACGTTTAAGCAAACACACACCTAAATGCCCCCCTCTTCGACTGTCAAGGAAGGGTGGGGTAACCTTGAGCAGAATGAAAGGCAGCCGCTATCTTGTCATCAGCTATTTCCGGGCCCCAAGGCTCCCGCTGAGGAGCGGAGCCACGGGGGAGAGAGTGTGAGAGAGAGACAGAGAGTGAGAGAGGTCCACGTCCAATTATCAGCCCTGTCAGGGTGACGGGTGATAGAGGAAGAGGAAGGGAAGAGATGGGAAGAGAGTGAGAAAAAGAGAAGGACCAGCCCGCCTCACCTTCCCTCCCTCATTTCTGCCTTTGTCCTCCTCCTCTGACTCACCCTTTGACTCCTGACTTCCGTCTCCTTTTGTCTCCACCTCTCCCTCCTTGCCCTCTTTCCATTTTCTTCCCTCCTCCACCTCGCCTCTTCTTTGTCACTCTCTCGTCTTTGCTTGCGCCTACCCCTCCGCTCCCCCCTCTCTCCCCCCTCTCCTGCCTTTCAAGCTCGGCGGAGGTTAACACGACATGACGACAGGTTAATACACTCTCATTTTTTTCTCTCTCTCTCTCTCTCTCTCTCTCTCTCTCTCTCGCTCTCTCTCATCCTCACCCCACTGGGTAGAGAGAGGGAGAAGAATAGAGGCAAGGTACATAAACGCAGCCATTACAGCCTGCTTAAGTACAGGTGGAGGTGATGATGGAGGGAGGGGAGTAGTTTCCTGTGTTTTCCCTCACTACATTTATTTCCTTTCTCGTTCTGTCTCAGCCCGCCACGGCGTGTTTCCGTACGTCTGAATCAAAGCTTGCTGCCAATGAGAGCGAGCTTCGGTCGTGACTCATTAGGGAGGCCTCGTTGACCTGATCGACTTGTGCTTTTGTTCTGTGGTCATGACCGCCCTGAACAGATAATAGTCGAGGTGGAGAAAAGTTTTGTAAGCCCGCAACCCCTCACTGTCAGTGCTGTGATTTTATTTGTAAACGCCATTAAACTCACAACCTTCTCGTACGAATGATTCAAAATCAGCGAGGGGAATCTCTGATGTACATTTGCACCACTTGCTATTGTTTATGTCTCTGAGTATTTCATGTAAACATACACACTGTGTGGGATTCCTTTATGCAGCTTAGTGTTGATACCCATTCTGATCCTGACTGTGTCGTTCTGTCATTGCTGTATTCTCTTCAAGGTTTTTTTAGTCGAGGCATCCAAACCGCCACCAGCCTGGCTCAGTCAGCAGCAAAATCTAAGTAGTGAGAGTGACATCTAGTGGTGTTTTTCTGTTGTTGTTTCCCCTGTGCTGCTCCCACCCAGCCCCCTGCTCTGCCAGCATCCTGTGCTCCGGTGAGGGTACGGTATCAAATCAAACTGTCTCACCGTTGGAAGTGTAAGAATGAGACCTTCGGTGGAGATGAGGCTCTGACACACAGGCAGATTTACACAAGAGAGAACTTGACCCGCATTGTGACCAATTTCTACCCATTTAACAGGTCTTTAATAGGTCGAGGATATTGGCCAATCAGTAACGCTCAGTCTTCACAGCTGTCAAAGTGATATTTTTTGTTTTAAAGATTTAAAGCTCCCCAAAACTTAAATGACCAAAAGTAAAAGCAACATTCTTAGTAACTTATTGAGAGTTACAGCAAAAAATGTGGTTTGTTCAGATTTGATTGACAGTGACCAGATTGGGATTCAGATGTTTGCTAAATTATGATTGGTTCACTGAAGCAAGCAACATTGCCTTTTTCTAAATGAAGCCTCCACCTACTTGAAGTCAGAGCACAAATCCAGGAAGCTCTCATGTGAAATAACCAAAACTGCTCTAACTTTGCCAGAAAATATTTGTGACTCTCAGTAAAAAGCTGATCGAGAAAACGGGGCCTTTAAATGATTTGTGTGAAAGGTAGTGTCCCAGCGTCTCCTCTAACACTGAGCAGGTATGGTTGGGTCTCCCTTTCAAAGACGACAGCACTAAAAATATTTTAGTATCTCATGTTTCACTGGAGTTTTTATGTCCCATGATGGTCTGCATGTCACTTTAAAGGCTTTTTCATCACGACGAGAATACAATTCTGGGAGACATTTACTTTTTATGTCATGACGATGACAAAATATAAAGATATTGCTCCTGTATATTATTTGCTCGTGGCATTAACCTTTTAGGGCCCCCTATTGACCACCACCTATATCAGCAGCTTTAATATGCACCCAGAGAACAACTTCTTCTTTGTTGGAATAGTATCTGGCCCCAGACTTTCTGCCTGTCACATGGTTTGTGCTAATCTAATTAAATGCAACTTTATTTAGAAAGATAAACAGCGTAATTTAAAATAATAATAAAAAAAAGGAATTAAGGGCAACGAGAGAAGGAACAACAGGGCAACAACATTAGTTCATAAAGCCTAATTGACATAAAATGAACCTGGGAATTCTGGGGCTCCTGGGGGTCTGAGGGTCTTGGCCTGTGGCAGCTTTAATAAAAAACATTGGACGTCAGTTTTCAGGGACTCATGTTGCCTGATTCTTTGTTTACACCTCAACCGAGCGCTGGAAATCCTGAATCTGCTTTACCATGGCAGCAAAGATCAGACTTTGTGTAAATCTTGTCTGTGTGTATCAAAACCGAGAGTCAGTGTTTGTCTTTCATCAACATGTGGTACAGATTGTTTACTGTCTGAGCGTCTGTCATCAGCCTTCATAACTTCAGACCTCACACGGTTTGTCAACAACAGGTAACAACACTGCTCGTTGCTTCACACCACGTTTCATAATGGCTGCATTAGCCATGAAAACAGATTTGCAGATTTATTTTGAGAGATAATAAATATAAGGCATGTCTGAATGGCAATATTGTATCAAAGAGTGTACATATGTATAAAAGATGTTGACCAAGATGTGAAAGAGATCCTAAAATGTCTAATTATGATGTAAATTAAAGTATATGAAGAATTGCTGCTAAGGTCTGTAAATTGCACTTCAGTAACAAATAAAAAGTGAATGTTTGTACTGTATATGTGAATAAAACCACAAAATCTTGTAATTTTACCTTGTCTTGATAGTTTTTTGATTAATCACCTTTTAGGTGTCACTTAAATGTGTAATATTGTATCTGAGCACTGATATGGAGCCATTCCCACTTTGACAGTCTCATGATCATCTTCCTTTAGCCAGCGCTGGCCCGCCCCAGGAGCATCCAGACAAATATTAAAGAGGCCGCCCTCCCTCCTGCCTCTCCCAGGGGAAATCCATGGGCAAATGGTTATCTCTGTTAGGCTCGGTGGCAGGTGTCATACAGACCAGCCACCAAATTAGCCTGGAGGAAGAATGAAGCGAAGAAGAAGAGGGCGAGGGGGGATCGAGGTATGCCTCCTCAGCGCCATCCACCCTCCCCCCTAAGGCCATGGAGTCGACTGTGTGCTCTACAATAAACATCATAATTGACAATTTGCTCCAGTGGCTGGTCACGGCCAGCCGGCTGTAATCTAATGGACGCGGACAGAGAGGTAAGACTCCACAGAATATTCTCTCTCCCAGTGTTGAGCTGTTACTCAATGAAATCTAAGAGCCATAACGCTCTAAGTATGACACTATTTCAACATGTAGGCTCAGACCAACATACACTACTTACAGAAGGATAATACCTGCTTTTATGAGTGGCCAGCATCTTCAGTAAAAATGATCCAACAATGCTCCAACCTTAATTTTGGCACCAAATGGCCTCCCTCAGAGTGCAAAAGACAGTAAAAATTGTGTGAATTAAAGTATATTCACTCAATTACTGTATGTAAGTTCAAATACTGCATGTCTCTAATTGTACTTTTTTTTTTTTTACTTCACTATATTTCACAGGGAGATTTCACCACCTCGCATACCGTTTTATTTAAACATGCAATAACTGATTTTGGCCACCTGAGGGCCGCATAAAGAAGTTGTGAACCCGACATTGACCTATTAAGCTGATATAGTGAAGTTGTTAGCAAACAGTTGCTTATTTATCCATACAGCAGTTATGGAGCAACATTATCATTCATTGGGAGTCATGTTTGTGGCCACCCAGTGTCTGTCTGCATGTGGTGCTGAGCAGGATGAGGGAACCAAAAACAGTAAAGTTACAGCCATACAGCTAAACACTGAGCTCAAACTCTGTAAAGCTCTGTAAAGCCGAGGGGAGCTGCAGATTCATGTAACAGTCCTTTGTAGGTTCACCGCTGCCACCCACCCCTTTCACATTGTCACATTATTACCAATATTCAATACGGCCTTATTAAATAACATGGATGGCCAAACGAGATTATTTCATACAAACGAGATCAGAGAATAATTAAAACAGATTTGTGTAGTATTAGTTATTTTAATTTCCTACCCCATTAGATACATCAGGACCCCTCAGATTAATCTAGTGACCCATTGGGGGTTGGGACACCGGACTAAACTCTAACAGTGTAGTATTTACAGTACTAATGCACTGCAATATCTGTACTCTTAATAATAGGGATGCACAATATGGACTTTTTTCAGCCGATATGATAACTGATAAATACCTGCTTTTCATGACCAATACCTATACAATAACCGATAAATTTGCTTTTTTCAAGTTTAAAAATAAGTTTATAACCTGTAGTTTTTACACACCTGAGGGTGATGAAGGTAAATAAAGTTTTAGGGAGCAAAGATAGATGATTAATGCTCCATAGCTCTGTTCATTATAAACTCCATAAACAGACTTTGGGTTGTGTGTGTGTGTGTGATGTATATGAATTGGAAATAAATGATCATTAATATCAACTGATAATTCTCTGGCTGTAATTAAATCATCCTCATAATTTATAATAATATGAATTTCCCATTATCAGCCAATAATTTATCTGTCCTGATGATTTTTATACATTTTGCTAATAATACTTCTACATGTAATGTAATTTAAGGGTCAGAGTAATATAGGTGTGTGTAAAAATAAAAAAGGTTAATTAGACATGAGCTACAATGGTATCACATCTACAGTGACAGCTTTTAGGAGTTTTACAGACACTAGAAATTAGACTAATGTAATACACACACACATCCTGGAGTAAGAAATGGCAACACGCTGCTTCAAGAGTCTGATCAACTTAAACTTGTGTCTTTGGTGACGATATTGGCAATCAACAAACTAGAAAAAAACACCTTTTTCCTGGAAGACATTGTGACAAGTGTCACACCAGGAAAAGCCCAGCTGAATACAATAAAATGAATGATGGGCTGAATTCCATTTAGCTGCTTTGGTGTCAGGGTCCTGTGACAGAATGTTTAGAGTCTATATCTAAACTGAAACGTATTTAAATGCATTTTATTTATTGAACTCCACTGAAGTCTGCTATTACTACTGTACGCAACGGTGTCGCTGTCACATGGCGTAAATATGTTCCTGTTTGCACTCTAAAAATATTCATACAACTTATGTTCCTTTTCATTAACACTAGACATTATTCCAAGCTACTGGATTAACATCCAAATGAAGTGTGATTTTCAAAATGATACATTTCATTGAACTGAATAAAAGCATGAGAGCATAAAAACGGTTGTGTTAAATAAGATGAAAAAGAGACACGAGAGACTGGAAAAGGAAATCACACGTTTTTATTGGAAAGTGTCAGAGAGCACGTACCCATCACAATAAAGTATGCAAAGTAGATCACATAATGAAGTTTGAGGTGAATATGATTCGCTACAATGAAGCGAAGCCTATCCACTTTTTTACCCCTCCAATCCGGCACACAATAATTAAATGCATCAATCCAAAATCATATTTCCTCCGAGTCAGAATTCATGTGGGGTGCAAATCGGACTTGTCTTTCTACCTGCAGATTAAAATGACATTGATATCAGTGGGCGCGAGATTGAGTTCCCTGAATGAAGCAGGAATGAAAATCCTATCTGCACTGTGCAGTGGAACACAATTAGTTATTTAACAAGCATTTGGAAAAGTGCATTGATGCTCAGATGGATAAGGCTAATGCACCATTTTCAATGCAATGGTAAGGCATTTAAATAAGTTTATTACATTTTTAGGTTCATGCTACTTCAGAATCCATCCTGACTCTATTGTTGGTAGAAACTGAGGGAGAGTGTGTAGCCTGAAGCCAACTTTTGGGTAAGTTATGCATACCTATGTACACTGAGCTACATCTACACCAGCCACACAAGTACATAAGATCATTTAATGGAATTTACAGCACTGAAATAAGTTAAACATCTGAAGATACAAACTACAGCATGACTTCATTTTAGGATATTGCACAACTGTAACACAGAGCCTCCTGGATTTCGTTCAAGCCCAATTCTAGTTATATTTCTCAAACCGAGATTCAGTGCGCATTTCAAGTCATATTCACTGATTTCCAAGACAGCAACGGGCTTCACTCTGAGCACCAGAAACATAGAAGAGCTGAGTTATTGCTTCTGTATTTGGTATAAAGAGTGCCTCTCACAGACTGCAAAGCGCCATCTACAACAAAAAGGTGCAAGAGGTCACATAACGCTATGGGTTCAATGCAAAGTGTAAACACGATAACTTCATATTGACAGGCTGTTACTGAAGCACAGAAATAACCAGTAACCAACAAGTTCACTTGGGAATAACACATTACAGCAACACAGGGCTCTTGGTTGGCAACGGGCTGAAGAGGATTGGTCTGTATTTCACTGACGCAAGTAAATATGGGCGCATATTATGGCTAAAAGTACTGACACCTAACCCTGTAACACTAGATTATGATAACGCTGAACACATCCCATTCACAGACCTACAAGAGATTTGTGAACAACAGATGTGCAGTTGTTTTCCCATTATTGCTGTGCTCTTGACACTTTGCATTCTGACAGAGAGGCAGAATAGAGTAACACTTTTAAAATGAAATCCTACTGTAAACATGGAACAAGGCAGAGTTACAGTATCATAAGTCTGAAATATTGACAAAACAAAAATCTGGAAGTCTGGAGGCTGGCTGTGAATTGAAAGCATCAAAGGTAACAGGCAGGGAAAGAAATCTCAGTGAGTGAAAACGGTCACACAGGATACATTTTAAGACAACTGAATGACCCCGCAGCCGGCATGCTGCACAGCTGATCTGGCAGGCCTCAATATGATATGTTTTGTTCCATGATAAGAAATATTCACTAAAAGGATAAAAACATTTCACAGAACAACGTTCTCTCTGTCAAACTCCACCATCGAGGGGTAGACGACTGTAAGACACAGCAACAACCTGCAACACAGGTCACTTAATGAGGCCACGACATAATATATACATAGCGTCTTTATATCATATTCTACAAACTCTTCTGGCCTTGTTCTCACACACCTTTACAAGTAACATTCGCAAAACGGGTTTATCTACATGCACAAGCAACCATTCAGCAGTAACTAAACAACAGTGATGTGAACAGCAGCCTGGGACTGTGGAGTCAAATATATATATATATATATATATATAAGTATATATAAATATATATATACACACTTTAAAACAGAAAAGGCTAGGAGTAAAAGGACCAGTCTAGCCATGTCACAATTCACGTTTCATGCTAAATAGGTGAACGGGTCAAATACGGGAGATCAGCTCTGTGGCCTCGTACACACTTTTAAAATGTTGGAACCGTGTCAGTCACTTAACACCGGGAGATGTTCCTGCAGGTTTCAACTGCACAATAAATGAGTCATTCATCTGGGGGATATGCTCCTGTCAATCCATGTTAATAGCTGCATCGTCAAAAGCAACACTAATTGTGATGATGAATTATTTTTTCTCACACAATCCAGCAGCTGGAAATCAGTGACATGATGACTAAAATGCTCCACGGGGTAAACACTTCCAACATGCTAGCATGTGCGAGGCCACAGATTACAGTGTTTGTGTACCGCCTCCTACTCTACTGTGTGTTTCTGTGTGTGTGCGGCAGTGGCATCACTTCTCCTGCAGGAGGGCGGGGATGTTGATGTTCCAGCCGATGGCCTGTCTGTCGAAGCCGCAGGTGAACAAGTTGCACGACTGGTTCTCTTCATTCCACGCTGTACAGCACACCATTCGTCTGTGACCCTACACACACACACACACACACACACACACACACACACACACACACACACACACACACACACACACACACACACACACACACACACACACACACACACACACACACACACACACACACACACACACACACACACACACGCGTTTAAGATGTTTTAACGATGCTGATTGACAGGGCAAACACAAGCGTCATTCCCGTCCTTACCATTCTGTTGCTGCGAGGGAGTCTGGCCAGCCTCACTCCGCTCATGTCAAACAGTCGGACTTGGCGATTGTCGTGTGGCAGAGCGATGATCCTCTGGTTGGCAGAGACGCTTATCCTGAAAGATCGGATCAAGTTCACTTTGAATCTGGGACAGATTCTGTTGATACTGCTAAGTAAACTCTCCTGACTTCTCCTGTACGATTCCAGTCCGGAGTTTCAATCTACAGCCTGTCGCTTTTTCAATGAATTGGTAACAGAAGTTACTGTACAGTTCAGCACTAGATTTACAGAAATATCTCACATTTTCACTCCACATGCAGGCATTCTGGGGCAGGGTTCAATGTAAATGGGTTGTTTTTTCTCCCCAATTGTTTTATTTCGGGAAAGTTGACGTGGCTTTGAAGCATGACCCCGTTTTATCCGCCTGGCTCTGTATAATACATAGTTGGAGTTTCGCCCACATACTCTAAACTTCAGTTTCCAAGATAATTGAAATGCTCGCTCTCCCTTCAACTCATAAATTGCTGCCATTTTTTCTTTTGCATTTCTGAAGTCAAGGGCCCATTGTCTCGTGATTCATCCATGATGCAACACCATCACACAGCAATATAAGAACATACAGTATTCATGTATATTCACGTAGAATCCAAATTATCACTCAAGAAACAAGTCAGATGAAGTAATCAGTCGATATTAAATGACTTGGGCCGAATCTGGGGCTTAAAAAACTTGATCGGGTCATTCCTATCTGTAATAAGCACATTTTAACTTCATTCTCAGATTCTGCATAGAGCATAACTCTCTACAAAGACGTACAACTCTGATTGAGTTATGTCCCTTCTTTCACCTACCTGTTCACAGCTGAGTCAGTGCGGATGGTTGCTATAGGCGACCTCATGTTCTTCAAATCCCACACCTTGACGGTCCGGTCGTCACTGCCGGAAACCACATTGTCACCCACCGTGAACACTGCCGACGTCACCGTGCTGCAAGAGACAGACACACACAAACACAAGAGTATGTAAATCTGTGTGCTCAAACTGGAGTCAAAAGTTTTGTTCATTTTTAAAGAGATTCACGCTGAACTCCACAATCCAATTTCAGTGCAGATTGTTGATAGGAAAGTACAGTAAAAGTGCTTCCAGTTCTTCCAACTCAGGAAAAGGAAGAAAGTTTCAGGAGTGAGTACTTATTTTTAGTCAGCCTAGTCACCCTCTCCCACAGACGCTGTTAATTACTCATACACCTAATAGATGAGACGGATCCACACATGCGTCAGAGTGATATGTGAAGATACATTGTGAGCACTGACACTACTTGAACCAAGAGAGGGTGTATCAGGTACAACATCAGAAAGTTAGCACTGTGGGTTTCTTGATTTAAAATGTGATTTTTACAAACACCTTCCCACTGGAGAAAAGAAATGTAAGCAGGATCACACTTTTGCTGCATTCCTGTCACATAGGTAGTGTGTCAAAGCCACTTGATGGATTAAATAATGACATGAAAGAGTTCACACCATCGAATGCGTTCGAGGTGCCGTGAAAGGCGGTTTCCGATTTACAGTGAGTCCTGTGCGTTCCACTTCATGATCATGTTAAAAAAAATACAAGAGTTGAATTCTGCCATGCTACTTCCGAGCTAGAGTTGGGCAAAATGGCTATAGATACCTCGATATGATACGAAACTGTGGTAGCTATACTTAATATACTACCCCATACTACCCCACTCTACTCTTTTCTCTTCGTTTTCATATAACATACAAACATTACATTAGCAATCTGCAACCACCACCAAACCCACTTTCCCAGGAAGCGTTTATCAACTGAAAGCTGAGAATGACATATTATATAGGCAACTTCAAGATTTTGAAGTAAGCACATATGATGCATGCAAATGCTATACAGTAGAAGAACCTACACGAGGTCTTTGACACATATTAATGTTACAATAACAATACCTCCATGACTAATGGCAGCAGGAAACCTTTAGCCAGTAGTTAAAGCTATATCAACTGTAGTGCTCAGTACGTCCTGAAATCACTGTAGGGCTAACAACATCTCTGATGACATACATCTTTAGATACGAGGTACAGAACATTTGAAACTTTCAACCATAACACGTCGCTATAAAAAAGAAAAGACATTACTCTTGTACTTTTTAAGTCTAATGCAAGCGTGACTTCAGCCTCATACCGGGAGATAACAGATAGAATAAAAAGATAAATGATGCATACACAATATATTTTGCTACATCATATCATCAGCCATGATGGGCACATTGGAGGCAGGAATGTTCTTTATATGCATACAGCATCCCCCTCCTCCCACACCCTTTATTCAACTAGCCGTGATGCACTGCTCCACATGATAGCACTAAGGTCAGGCCTAGCCATTCATTTAATAGACCTTTAATATTTCCAATCTACTACTGTATGTCAGTTGCTCCTATAAGGGGTTTTTTTTTCTTCTCCTTTTTTCCCTGTTCATTTATGGAGGGAAGTTTACCAAAAAAAAATGCTCACTGATTCTTGATTAAGATTAGTGTTGAGTAGTGTCCCTTCACACACACAAGTCTGAGTTCCACATCTAGTTTTTCTTTCTGAAACTGGCTTCCCTCTTAATTCAAATTGACATGGCATTAAGGGCTAATTAGGGGACTAAACTTTGTCCTATTAGAGAGGCCGAGGCTCAAGGAAACTGCTGTATCGTTACAGGCACCTTCTGACATTGCCGGGTACAGCCCACCTGGGAATACAAGCGGTAGAGAGAGAGACAGAGAGAAGGAAAGATAGGAGGTGTGCTAGGTGGGAGGTGTGTGGGGAGTGTAATCAGACAAGGTAATTGATTAAAAGGTTGATTAAGGTTAAAGGGTTTTTAGAATGGGTGGTGAGGAGGGAGGGGAGTGTTCAGTGTTACTTAATGGCATCTCTGCAGTGTGTCTGACAGCCAAGGTCAAGACTCCTTGGGATCGGAGACTAAAGGAGTTGGGAAGGAAGAGGGAATCATGGGACATCACTGCGGTTGGAGAAGTTAGTGGGCTGAATTTCTCCCTAACCAACCAACCAAGTTTTATTTAACTGAATACAGATTTTGTGCAATTATGGCTTCAAATTGCCCCGTTTGACTTTACTGAGACGAAAGCTTTTATAGTCAGTTCGACACTCTTCAAAAGAAAATAATCATTCTCACATCTATAGCTCATTGCCTCACAGCAGTGTATGCATTTCAGGCTATTTTCACACAGAAATCAAATGAATGAATACAACTATGTTCAGTTAACTCAGCAATGAGGTCTGATTTCTTTTATTGTTTTTGGATTGCAAGGCAAATGTAAGATATGACGTGGATGAAATTATTAAGGAGAATGTATTTGTACAACAGTTCCCGACTAAATGAATCCTCTGCATTGAACATCTGTATCTGTGTTATGTCTGTGTGACATGAAATGAAGAACGAATTAATGAATATGATAAGAAAGATGTGAGAAAGTAAGTAAAATATATGTAAACACATCGAGAGAAAACTGCTGTGATATGGAGGACAATCTATGATCTAATTGAGATGTAAGATGTGTACATGTGCTACTTTAAAATAAAAAAAGCTTAATGGGTATCACTCCTTTTCTTGCTGCCGATATCACCATATTTTCCCATTTGAACCGCTCCCTGACTCCACATAAAGGAGTCTGCTCATTGTGTGGGTTTTTGTTGCCGTTTTTTCTCCTTGTTGAGCACTATAAATTTTTATGTTACCTTTCTTTTTATTGTTAGAGGAGACAGGGGCTGTCACCTCCAAGGTGCCAGTCTGACTATAGATTTAGACAGGCACCAACTCTTTAAAGTCAGATTGGCACAGTTTTAGTATTTTAGATCACTGTAACTGTAAGCAACTTACTGTAGAATGCTGCAATGCAAAACCTCTGAACACGTGACTTAGTGGATCTGGTTATTGTATGACATGAGTGTTAATGGATACTTTTAAGTTTTAGGGAAAAAAAATGTTCTTAATAAACTGAAATAGAAATTACTGTATAAATAAGGGAAAATAGCACATCAGTGTGATTTAAAGAAACATTGTTTGACATGGCTTTGTGCCACATTTCCTTCCTGGTTAAGTTTATTTACCTAGCACAGTTCAAAAGCTCCTTTCACACTGCACCAACAACCCACACCCACTAACTGCCAACAGTACCCTTTACCACTGAAGAAAAAAGCCATTAATTCTCTGGGTTAAATAACTGCAGTAGTCACAGTGATGGAAACATGACACCAGGGTTATGGATGTAAATAGCCAGGAACATTATTTATTGTATTTACAGTCCCCAGTCAACGTGCAACGGCGATATTGTTCTTTGTATTGTGCAAGATGAAACACTGACAAGAGAGTGAGGTGAGAGAGCTTCTCCTGATTCGTCAGTGTTGAGTTTGAAAGATAGACTGAAGTACAAGATATGCAGAAGTAACCACTGTAATATTTTCCAGCACATTCCAACGTGACATGAGAAAAAAAACAGAGGCAAACTCGTGTACTGGCGATGGAAAATAACTCATAAATCTGCTAAGTAAACTAGAGTATTTGTTCTGGCACTGTGGCTTTGATCCGTATCCTCCTTCCTAATGAGTGATTTTAATGATTGATGTATGAATTTATGAAAATCTCTAGGAACATTACAATGTACTCATTGTAAGTGGATGCGAGCGTAAGCCAGATGCCTAAAAGGTAAAATGTAAATGAAACAATTCAGGTACAGACTAAGAGGTTTTAGAGCACTTATTTTGCTGACAGTCGCTGAGAACCTGGTAAGTGCTGGTGTATTCCTCCAGAGACAGGATGTCAAGACTTCATACAGACACACGCACACACACACACTCATGCTTCACACAAACACGCATTTCTATCAGCTCCAATCAAATGTCTCCGAAACCCGTCGATTGCAGGAGAGACAAACGTGACATGGCTTTCCGTTTGTAGAGCAAGTCCGCTGTCACTTCTGGTTTGCTCTTGGCCTTTTTGTTAGCTCACGTGTAGTTGTCATTACTCTGCAATTATGGCGGGGTGGTGGGATAGAGGGTGTATGCTGCACTTTTAGCTGCCGCGGTTCACTGTCAGGGAGCGTTAGCTGTAATTGCCAGTGAAGACGGTGGAAACGAGAGGCTTGCTCCCCTCCAGCTCTCCAACTCTTCTGCCTATTAAACCATTCACACTCTCCCTCTCCTCTGCTGTTTCCACAGGAGAGATGTGGAGCTTGTGGAGATTGTGCCATTTATGCTACGCCATTATGCCATATTGGAAATTCTGAAAAATTTGCCAAAGAAATAGCAGGGAGATAGCAACCTGCTGTTGTTGGAGGATATGGTTTAAACAAAAATTGTTCACAAGTTGGAAAGAGGAACAAGCATGGGAATGGGTATACATATAGGCTGTATGTAACAGAGCGATTGTTTATGCTTTCATAATGCACCACAGAAGGACAAGTAAGGAAGTTCTCACTTTAAAAACCATCAATGTCCATTTGGGAAGGAAAGAAGAATGGAGGGAAGGAGGAGGGTTGTCGTTAACTGTGAAACACTGGTGCTTAATCTCATTACACCAATTGTCTATGGGAGAGAATTAGAGTGGGATCTGCAGGAATTATACATGTTGGGGTCGTACATAATGAGCTCTATGTAATCCCCCCCACTTGCAATCAAAGGCACCCAGAGAGTACCAGCCAGCCAGCACACACGTAGGACAGGCACATAAAACACACACACACACACACACACACACACTCTTCTTACGCCTTTTAAAGAGCGCTGCCATTGAAAGCCACAGACAAGCCTGACAGTCATCGTTCTGAAATGAGCATCTGCAATTGAGTGTTAACAGCGAGCGAAGTGCCAAATTACACAGAGTGGGGGATTAACGCAGAAACGGACAGATAAATGAACAGGAGAGTGAGGGAGAGAGAGAGGTAGGGAGAGAAGGAGAGGGGAGAAAGAGAAGCAAACCGTCGAAGTGGAGAGAAGTGCTCAGTAATGAATGAGAGGCAAGTGGAGGATTTGGCTTAGAGCAAAAGGGTCTGTAAATTAATGTGGCACTGTAAAAGGAAAAGGGTAAAAAAAGAGATTTAAAAAAAAAAGAAAATGCTGGAGGGATTCACAGACCAGACAGATGTTACAGCACCACCCTGTGGGCAAAATAAAGACTGCAGCAACTAGCCTTCACTCAAACTGATGAAACTAAGTGAATGATGTCTAAAAGAGGGTTGAGCTGTATGTGGGTATTTGTGAGTGTGTGTGTGAGAGTGTGTGTGTATGGAGAGAGAGAGAGAGAGAGAGAGAGAGAGAGAGAGAGACTTACTCAGTGTGTCCCTGGAAGACATTGACAGAGTGGATGGACGGGTCTCTGAAGTCCCACAGTCTGAAGGTGGTGTCTCTAGATGATGTGACCACCAGGCGCTGGGTAGGGTGGGTGCAGCAGTGGGTCAGCTCCTGGTCATGTCCTGCATACAGACACACAACAGTAAACATACTAAACTCCATGGAAAACATCATTATATGATTTTCATAGAGACAGATGGTTGCTACGGTAATAAAGTAGCAAGAGTAGGTTATGTGCCAGAAGAAAACAGAGGATGAAGACAACAGACACTATGGGCAATTGGACGAATATATAGGCTGATCACTGTTTGGGGTTCTTTTTGACGATTTTTCTCATTTTATTTTGTTAATTTAATGGTCTGCCTCAGGAGAATGAGAGCCGCTCAGTGAGCCAGTTTATTTTCACATCTAACTGCGGTGAATTTAGGGTTTATTTTGACTAGTCTGATGACTGGGAATACAGTTACAAGGTGATCCACATGGCTCAAAACAAGACTGTAACTCCAGGGAAGAGAAGGACACAGCAGGGACAGGAGAGGAGAGGCATGAGGCAGGTAGAGGAGCATGGGAGGATGGGGGCATCAGAGAGGCAGTGATCTCTGTTAGACACCAGAGTTGGTAATAGTTGGAACAGTGTAAAGTCTAATAAAGATGGTTTGGTCAGTTTTATTTTGTTTCTGTCGGGTTTGAATGAAGTATGTTTAAAGATCACTTAACAAGGTCTTAGTTCAGTATAAGAGAGAAACTTGTATTTAAAAGCTGGACGGTTGTATTTTTCTGTTTAATGAGGAAAACAGGCGTTTTACTTTTCTCACTCACATTTGGTGAGTTTATTTTGTTTAATAAAGCTGTTAAAGCTTGTTCCACATTGCAAACACGCCATTCATCTTCCAGCTGAAACTACAATGGCAGTGAATGGGGGGATCGGGGGGGAACTGGCGCGGCAATTGGCAATTGTTAGACTGACGGCGGGCAGTTGGAACACTGTAACATATCGCCCAACCCTGACAGACACCATATTGTGCTCTACTACGTTAGCCACTTTACATACCAGTGAGCGTGTGAACCAGTTCAGACGTCTCCAACTCGTACAGGTTGGCAGCACGATCCCAGGAAGCTGTCACCACTTGTCGGCCCCCTACCAACCAATCAGCTGCAATCACTACACCCTGGTGGCTCTTAAGGGTTGCTGTAGCAAGCCGGACAGTGGGGACCTCACAAGGGCCTTCGCCATCTACCTCCCCTTCTTCCCTGTCTGACGAGTCCTGGTCGTCATCACATAGAGCCTATGAGCGCACAAAGGAAAACACAGCAGTTCAGCCAATGTCCCCAGACGCCTGCAGTGATAGATCTAGTTTTCGTGTGAATTGGTACATTTAACAAATCTTTTGACAGGATACCCCTCTCAGAAATGTGTGATATTCCAGCAGAAACACTAGAGAACAGTACAAAGCTACTCACACTGACATCTGGCGGTGGCTGGGGGGCTGGAAGCTGCACCATGTAGCGCCAGATGTGAGCCGTCTGGTCCCCAGAGGCTGTGGAAACGTAAGTACACATCAGCAAACACACAGCACATTTGGATCTACAGAAAACAAACTGCTGGAGACAACAGAGGCAGGGTGAAAAGGATCTAATAGTCAGGAGGAGAATTAACATGTTGACACAAATATCAAATGCAGCTAATTCAACAAAATACAACACACACGCATTCAAATACAGACCTGTGAGGGCCATCTGCTCTGTGGGGTGAAACTTGATGGAGTTGACTGTGGGCGAGAGAACAATGATGAGACACGTGTTACATCAAGTATTCCTATTATCTAACTAGCCTAGTGAGCAAACGCTGACACTGTTTTATCTGACAGTAACCTACAGCTTTAGACATAAAATAGACAAAAATCAGCTGTCATCTGAGTACGATTTAGCCTCTAGGGGCAACAGCCGATATTTTGGGGTTTCCAGTATAGCCAGCGGATATCCAGAAAAAGGATAACGAATATCCAGCCTAAGGCGTCCTCTATCGTCTGACTAGCAACTTCATGACCAGAAAGACACATTTTTGATGCATTTAAAAAAACAAAAGCCTTAAGCTAAATCATCATCAACCAGAAGCTTCCGATGCCAAAGTGTTGGTCCTTGGTCCCTTGCCAACAGATTTTGAATTCATATGTCGATATTTATAGAGATTAGTGTTTAATAAAAAGTGATATGACATGACAGAACTTGCTGCATACATTTCATTACCTGATCCTGCATGGCCAGCATACCTCAGCAGACATTTCCCAGTCTCTATACTCCATAGCAGAGCTGAGTGATCTGTGAAGGGAGAGCACGGGTGAACAACATAAAGTCATTCACTATTTTTCTTTCTTTCTTGTTTTTTTTTTTTAAACAGTAGGTGAATGATTGAATATTGCAATGTACTGTGCTTTACACTGTGGGCTATCTGGGTAGATTTTGTAACAGATTTCCAAACCACTTTATGGTGAGATTGTCTACAACACAATCAAATGAACAGCGTATTCCAGGCAAACACAGACCATAGCTTCTACAGTTTCTTGCAATGGCAGATGATGGAAACAAAGAAAAATCATGTTAAACAAAACTGACAAACCATTGAAGTTTTGAAGTGTTGTCTTTTCTTTTTCTTTTAAATTAGCTTTGACAATACTTGCACTGACAACCCTGCTGGTGTGCAACAGATGCCATCAACTAAAACTGATTGCACCAAGGTTAATACACATTTAATCAGACAGTGATATAATGATGTAAATACAGCATGCAGCACCTTTAGTTTTGACTTATTTTTCTTATTGAAAACTACTACATGGCATGTAGGCTGTGTATGTAACAATGCCGCTGAGACTGACACAATTAAACAGAGTTGATTAAATGAGTTGGTGTACCTGCGGAGGCGGTACCGAGGACCACTGGCGGATTCCGGGTGACGCTGAGGTCCCAGATCCCGTCCCGGTGGCCCACATACTCCTTGAGCAGCTGGCACACAGCCCGGGACCCCGCGGTGGCTTTAAAACTGGACACGATCTGAGCAGGGAGGGGAGAGAGAAGTGCATGATGAAGAAAGGAGAAATGGACATTGGGATGAGCATTCCTTCTTACAGTTTTGCTTAAATTAGAGGCCAAGTAACATTGAAATGTAACTACAGATGCACCAATACAACGTTTGCAGAAGTGGTTACTTTAAATTCCTGCATATGTACGATCCAATTTACAAGCACTCACGCCTCACTACATGGCCGACTATGGCACCAATACAAAAACAAATGTATCAATTAGGTTTATGGGATAAAACAAATATTAGCTTTTCATCTTTTACACGGTTTAATGTTGGTCTCCGACAAACAGATGAACACATAAGGCACAGGGGGTGAGATTAGTGGGTGAGCCAGCTTTCTTTGGTATTAACTCTCTTAACTTTCTGGTATCACAAAGCTGGCTCACTTTTAACTTTACTTCACACGATCAGATCAAAACCTGTCAAAAGCCTGACAGCTTTTTTAAAAAAACGAGTTGCTACAGGATCCTGACAGGAATATGAGTTTGCAACTAAGTGAGAAGTAATAAAAAGCAACGGAGACATCAGTAGAAACTTTCCATGTTAATTATTTCGGAGATAAAAGAAAAAAAAAATTGTGAAATTATGTGTCCACTTTGGGTTTAAAACAAACAGAGAGATAGTTTCCCACAGACTAATGAATGGCAATTAGAGCTGCATATTAATTGTGCACACTGTTAATTAACTCAGTTCATTATAAATGCAACATTTCAGCATTATCAGCCATTTATTTATTTTGCTCTGGTGTTTTGGCACAGACTATCTGTACTCTTCCTCTCTGTTTTGGCAGCAGTTTTTAAGTGCATTATGTATTCATGATAGTTAAGAATGAGACTAAAAGTACATGAAAGGATAATTTATGTGTATTCCACAGTGATATTTTGATGATTTTGTTTATGTCCGTATTCACTGTATTCACACTGAACAAATTTCAAAAGGCCTATATCATAATTCTGACCTGTATTTGTAGTTTTAGCATTATGTTAAATATTTATAAATTATTCCTAGTGTTTCTAAATATCAAATTCTTAATCTATTGTACTTTTGTCATTATATTGTGTATGTTTTAACTCACTGTAAATCGTTGATGTTAGGCTCAGAGAAGCCTGTAATCAAAAGAGTTCTGGACTAAGTTAAACTGGCTTTGTGATGCAGGGCCCGAGAACAGCAGCCTGTAAAAGCCAAGTGTGTGTATATCCTGTAAACAAGCATTGTTTTCATCAGAAGTTTATTCTGCAACTGCCAAAAGGTTTATGGTTTCAAATTGCACCAAACTGTGTGTCACATCGAGACTAGCTTGACTAACTGCCAATTCAAGTATCGGAGTGAGAAAGATACACTGATACGAGTGGTGCACCTCTAAAAATATCTTGTGGTCTAGTTACATATGGCCTTTAGTCATTGCAGGCTTCCAGATGAACAAATTAAATGGTGATTTGTAGTTTCAATTGTCACAGAGCGGTCACAACCTGTACTGAGCATGCTGCTGCAAGCAGACGGCTGACCACAGCAATAAGCTTCCATCATTGGTAGTCATTAGACGAAGCAGCGAAGCATCTGGTTCCCTTGTGTCAGACTGTGTTAATGTATGCTCTCATTCTGTCCGCTGTGTTTACATTCACATTACGATACAATACAGTCTTATCTGTTTCAAGTCACTGAAACACAATGAGCAGTGAGCATCAAGAAGAATAGCCCATTCCAGTCAAGGTAAACTGAGAATATAGTTAGTGCAGATCATTAGTTTCAAGTCCTGTCAGTCTTCACAACATTAGTTTTTTGTCATGTTTCTGAGGCAGCTGGTAGGTTAGCTGTATATTATATAGCAGCTAGTTCTGTCAGAAGGTTAATCTAAGGAGTCCTTCCTTGATCCTGTGTATCCTCTTTCAAATCAGAGGAGGAGTGTGTCCCACTCTTCATCTAGCTCAGACTTAGGCTGCATTCAGATAGTTTCTCTGCTTTAAGAAGAGCAATGCTGGGGAAAATTTTAGGTAAAGTGGGAAATAATACAATGGGGAAGAAAAGTCAACAGACATGTTTGAAAACCATATTACACTGAAGTAAAACACCACTAAAGAATTTTGAAAAATAAGTGCACCCAAATAATCTTTCACGTTTGCACACTCTAATTTATACATATATTTTTTTGAAAATGACTTAGTCGCTTTCCAGCGTTAAATTAGAAAATGTTCATCACTCTCACATCTGTACTGTAAATATGAAGATAACGGTAGCCGCTGGTTATCTTAGCTTAGGATACAGACTGGAAATTAACGAGTTATATCTTGTTTGTTTAATCCATACAAATAAAAAAACAATTTACTGTTTTACGGAGGTTATATTCTGCACTGTTTCTTGCCTGGGAGCAGTTGCCAGGCAACCAGCAGAGACTCCCAAGATGCTGCCTACAAAATAACTCGGCACATTTGTAGATATAACTGGCAGATATAAGGTGGTAATCTGTGAGCTTTATCGGTGCAGGTCAGCAGATTTTTACTTTGAACAGAGCAAGGGTAGCCGTTTCTCTGTTTCCAATCTTTTTGTTAAGCTAAGCTAAGTGGCTGCTGCTGTTAGCTTCCCATTCAGGATACAGACATGAGCAGTAACAATCTTCTCATCTGTTGGCAACAAAGCAAATAAGTGCATTTCCCCAAAAGCTGAACTATTCCTGTAAGAGCTGTTCGAGGACAGCTTTTTAAGGGCCAGTCTGTCTAAACTCAACCCTCCTGACTCCTGATGAACTCGTCTTGTGATGTGGGGAAAACTCTTTGACTCTTATAATTCCACATCAGTTATTTGTTTTGGCATTATGACAATTGACCCTGACATATTGTTTGATACAGCTGAAACAAATTACAGTGTATTCTCATAAGAAACTGTAAAAACATGGTTTTCTTTGTTTTACACAGATGCAGCCGTTCACCCAAATGACTTGCAGGGTGCAGAGCAGAGAAGAGATAAGGAGTCAAGGTCAGACTGGAGTTAAAAAAAGACTCAGCCCACAGCGGCCCCCCACGATGCTTAGTGACAAACAGAGCATTCAGGAAGTTACCCATGAATCTCCTCCCCACAACTCCCATGTGGCCACACTGAAGTTGCGAGGTCCACCTATTTTGCCGTGGAAAGTGTACAAGCGCTACATTGGCAAGAGATTAAAGAGGAAAAAGTCAAAGGAGATGTCATTTTGTGCTAAATGCTTAAACACTAGTTTCCTACACCCCCCTGTAAGTCCAAACATTTTTATATAAATGCATCAGCACTTCAAAAACATGAGAATTCAACAGTAATGATTTCATTTGTTTACCTACTCTTTACATATCATGACCTCAGAGGAAGAGAAAAAAAGACTTACTTCCCCTCACTCAGCAACAAAGGGGCTCTTGATAGTTACCCCCAGCCTTAATCTCAACAGCTCAAATACACATAATTACACAGATGACAAATCTTACAAGCTCTATAGAATAGACCAAGATAGCCGGCGCCACGTACCTTGCTGGTAGAGGCTTTGTAGGTCGTCTTCAGCTTCTGTGACAGCTGACTGGTGCTGTGGCTGGCTGTGTTATAGAGAGACAAAGAACGCTATATAACAAACTCATTGGTTGGTTTCACTACCGTGCTAATGGCCTTATAAAGTATCATAGCAATTGCACACACCTCAACAATACAAAGCCTTGTATATTTCCTTGTTAGTTGTCAGTACTGTCTGTTTGGCTGCTAATGACTTATGAAAACCTGTGAAGTTGAACTGACTGGCACCATATGGCCAGCAGGAACTGTGTAATTCATGGTTCATAAAAGATTACCAGTTAACCAGGGTTATGATCAAACCTATCAAATATGGAGTTGGAAATGTTTATTTTAATCAGTTGACTACAAAACTTGAAGTATGGTACATATTTTATACTTCAATTTTTTTTTAATTGATGGACCCTGAAATAAAAACTGTATATGATGTGGAACATGTTGCTTCTAGTGCCCTTTTTAAATAACTATTACCACTTATAGTTTTGTTTCACAATACATACAGATGATATAAAAACAATATCCTGAAAAAAATCCTTGTTTACCAGCTTCAAATGTTGAAACAATGCCGCTCTCATATGTTTGTCATTTTAAAGCCGCACAATCAATGTCATCATTATTTTCCCTTTAAATTATTATAGAAGCTGAATTCTGTATTGAGACCTCCAACAGATTGTGTAGGAAATATTGTACCTTTTGTTTTCAGAGCTCCCTTGGTGGGGTCTCCACCCTCAATAGTCTGTCCATCTCCGGTCAGGCGCTCATTCAGAGAGTCAATTTCCCGGCGTACTGTAATGTTAGCACAGTGACAGGACATCAGTAAGCAAACACCGGTTAGTCAATCAACACCTGAAGATCAATACTGCAAGGTATGCACCCATCAAATCTAAATACATTTCCTCTTTGTATCAGTTACTCACATTCAAGGTTTTCAATGTAGAGATTTTCAAACTCGCGCTCAATCTGACCAAAAAGGTCAAGGAGGTTGTTCCGTAAGGAGATGGGCAGCTTGGAGTCCTGAACACAGACAAGAAAAGAGCGATGCTTGAATAAATCTGACAGTGAGCTGACATCTAGGCCTAAACATTAGGAATCAAGCTGGTATACAGTGATACCTTGAATTAACCCCAGGCACCCCCTCAAGCCATTCTATCTATCTATCTATCTATCTATCTATCTATCTATCTATCTATCTATCTATCTATCTATCTATCTAGACCCTTCTCTAGTCTGGTATTCTCTTTTAATTATAATGCGATATATCAGGTATGCTTTAAAATCTAAACTTCAACACCATTTCAAAATATGTTCACAAATGAAAATGTTTAAACATACTGCTCACAGGCACAATACTACTAATACAATACATAATATAATGACAAACAAGTATCTGATGTATTATCACTGTTCACAGAGACATTTGGGTGACTCATAACATACACACCACTTAAACAAATCAAAAGCAACCCACTTATCTCATCTCAAACACAGCCTGTATGCTTAGCTGATTTAATCAGCCACCAATTGGGTTAGTGTTAAAACTCTTCTACATTCAGGGCTACGTTGCAACAACCTACAAACAACTGACTGACTACATGACAGCCAGGGCCCAACCAGTCAACCTCATTTCAACTGACTTACCTCCATGGTAAACTCCTAGAAGTACCCTGTTATCAGCTGACCGCCAGTCTACACCAGACTAGCACGTAAAAAAGCTGACATGAAAACAATGGGTTCAAAAGGCTGCATTTGACAGCTCGCCTTGAGAGCTGCTGCTTATTTCTCAAGTCATCCGAAAGACGAGGAAACCAAGTAGTCGACTTTCACTCCTTCTTCTGGCACATGCTCAAACCCAACAGTTTGCCACAGTGACGTTAACCGCCTGACCATTCTGTCAGCGCCACATGTCAACACACTTTGTAAATTAGCAAACAACAGGGAGCCCTTATGAATTTAAAGCTGCTTAGTCGTGGCACTAAAACCAGCAGCATACTCTGGATAATAATGACAACATTGAAAAAGCGGAAGAAAAAGCATTCTGTGTGTTATACATGGGTTTATTAAGCTGTGTGTGTGTGTGTGTGTGTGTGTGTGTGTGTGTGTGTGTGTGTGTGTGTGTGTGTGTGTGTGTGTAAAACTAGTGCTGCAGGGGTGGTGGCAGACTAGGTACATAAACAGAGCCAGCAAAGGACAAAAAGGCCTGTTGAAAGGACTAATCAGACCAGGACAAGCGGCCCATATTAAAATTTGATGAGACAACAGGTCAGTGCAAGCTGAGCTCTAGTTTTAGTGGCTGATAATTCAAGGACATTGTCAAGCAGAGAAAGTAATAGCTTAAGGACTCCCATGGCAAAAAATAGGGCTGATAAAATCAAGCATCATATTATCTCATACTGAATACTTTGATCCAAAACCTGGATAATGAAAGAGGGACAAACATTGTTTTGTGTTTCATTCCACCAGTTAGATGATGCTTGACGGTCACTCACATCTGACAGATCCCTCTCAATAAAGTCACTCAACAGCCACCTCCCAAAAGTTAACAACCAGGATGTTCTTGGTCAAACAGAAAGAAGCTTTTCTTATCTCACAGTTTATTGCTACAACTGGTTCGCACCAGGAAATGCCTGCTCATGTAAAAGCTAATGTTCTTCCGTTTCTGGAAGGAATAAATCAATTGCAGCGCCAATTTAAACAACCTGACATAGTTAATCACTAACTTGATGTCACTAGTGGGCTAAAAAAGTCACAGTAGATTCCTTTGTTGTAACAAAATGAAATCTGTTGTGAACATACACATTCACAACCAGCAGTTCATAACGATTTGGAGAATGTAAAATCCAGGTGACATAAACACTTTGATAAGAGCAAGTTTAATCCAAAGTAAGTTCCTGTAGCTACCTAAAAAAACACATTTCCCTTAAGTGAGAAACCACTTATTGTGGTTATTGCAACACCAGGTAAAAAAAAAAAGCTGCTAAACCGGCTGGTACTGTACTCTCATGACCACATACCACAACAAAACGACAATCAAAATGCTAATTAATAAAGACTGATGATATGTATTATCAGATCCCCAAGAAAGTCATGCCTACAAAATATGTGACTAGCTACATGTCTTTAAAGCTGTGTGCCATAAACAAACACAGTCAGTGTGCAAGAGAGGAGAAAAAAGCATGGCTCTCCCTCACCTGTCCCTCCAGCATGTCTCCTCTTTGGATGCCTGGGGGCCTCTCCTCTGTGCTGTTGGTGCGCCGGATAGATAAACTGTGAGCCTTGCGCTTCTGCTTGGGGTGACGGGCAGCCGAAGCAGAGCCGCTGCTGCTTCCGCCCTCCACAGGCATCCCTCCTACCTCGTGGCCCTGCCCCCTGCTCACTTCTTACCTGAGACACAGGTAAACAAAGGCCAGGCTCCCTCGTCGCCGGTGGTTGGGTTAGGTCGGTCTGCTGTCACCACCTGCAGGTAAAAAGGAAGTGAAGTTCAAGTTCACATCCATTGCAGGAAGCGCTCATGTTGAAGGATAGCCTCTCCTGCAGAGGATGGATGTTCATATTTGTGGGTGCTTATTGTTGGTGCAGTCTTGCTCTGACACCTGCTGCTTTGAAACAACATCATTACAAAACTCCATGAAAAGGTCCAGTCATTTAATGCTGCTTTGCTTAGCAGCAAAAATGTACAGACCTCTTTACAGACATGCCTTAAGACATGGTATTTAAAACAACAACTGTTAAATACCCGATACTGGCTACCACCCACTGTTGTTGGAAGACGTTGTGGGAATTACAGGTTAAAAACAACATGTGAAATTAGACATTTGGTCATTGGCTCAACAGTCGTCTGACTATTGGCAAAAGCCTCAGAGACCTGAAGCAATTTGCAAAAAATACATCTGCGTGAGGCAGACATTGCGACATTTAACTCATAGTGTTCAGGGTCTTTACATGACATTACAAGAGGACGACACATTGTGGGACTGCTTCGTGATATCGCTGCGATGGCGTAGAAATGGCGAAGCAACATTTCTCTAACCTCATACAGATACAATGTGCCAGAAAAAACATTAATTTATTTAGTTAGCCAAATAACTACCCAGAGAAAATTAACATGGTAAATTATGCTCGCAAAATAAATATGACCGACGTTAAGGTCATTTGTCACTTTGACCCATCATCGATATATAAGTGTGACATAAACGAAGCACTGAGGTCACTCACCGCTGCCTCACTGAACGCTAACCCCAGCTAGCTGCCACATATCACCTTCACTGCGGAATATTAATGTCCAAACACAACATAACATAACACCGCCGATAAAGCACAGCATGGACGGGCTACAGCCTCCCGAACAACTTACATAAACCTCTCACTTTCTCATTTTCAACGTGTTGTCGACGTCCGACTTTAAAGCGGGCAGTAAGAACACATTATAGCTTCACTAGTAGGAAGATTTTTAATCCAAATTTTGACACATCACGTATTTTATTGGTGCACCTATTTCCGCATCACGTGGTTTGTGTTTGCACTTTGTAAGCCAATGGGCTGTCACACCGACACTGCCGCAACCAATGAAAACTCGTGACCTCAGAGGGAGGGAGTGGAGTGACCACAGCGTTCAGCTCTACAACGTCGTCGCAGAATACGTTAACACACGTGGTTTATCTACCGGAAACAGGAACACTGTTTTTGTAAGTAACTGATCGATTGATCGGCTTGTGTGCATGTTGTGTGTGTAGCAGACAGTGCATACTTGTACCCGGTAGTCTGAGGCCTGGGTGGTGCTGGCTGTGCTGTGCAGTGGTCTGATGGCGTGTTGACAGTCAGTGTTTAGAGGGAAACATGAAGTGGATCCTGCTGGATCGGAACAATAAGATCCTGCTGTCCTCTTTCCACCACATGCTTTCATGTTAATGCAAAAGTGATAACTAATAATACAACAGTATAATATGAAATACTCACAGGAACCATTTTACTGCATTAAATACATTTACTTTGGATTCTTAAAGTACACTTTGCTAATGATGACACGTGTATACGTTTAGTTGAGTAACAAGTTCAGTGCAGGACTTTTACTTGTAATCAAGTATTTCTACAGTGTGGTACGGATACTTGCTTAAATAGAGATTTGAATACTTAGTTCCTCACAGGATATTATCTTTTAATTGTGATGGAAATAAATGGCTGCCCGAAAAGCTATAAAACACATTAAAAACCCCAAAACAAGACAGGTTACTTATCAATTGTGCTTCAACAATTAGTTGATTCATTTATCAGTTAATTCACAAATCATTTAATCAAAAACAATTTTAATAAATTGATTAACTCCATAAATCATCCATTCATTTGGACGACACATGATGTCCATATTCTCTTCCTTTTTTTTTTTTTACATCAATGTAAACTGAATATCTGTGAGTTGAAAGAAATTTAAAGATGAGAACATAGGACCATAGGAACCTCTACCTTAAGACCTTTTTTTATTATTTCCATTTTTGTTATTTTCAAGTGATCAGATCAGTAATGGAAATAATTAGTCCTAAACTCTACATTAAAGCAGATGTAAGGGTTTGATCTGCACTGTAAAACCAGATAAGTTCATTTAACTAAAAACATTTAGATTACAATTTTAAAGTAAAACTAGCTTTTGGTATTTGGTAAGTTACAAAAACATTCTTAATCAAATAGCTTCAAGTAGAAATTTTAATTGACACTGACATAATTTAGATTTTTTTTATTTGAACTTGAAAAACCTAACTTAGTAGAAAGTACTTAATCAAATCAATCAAATATTTTTACTAACAAAATTGATTTGTGTTACTTAAACATTTTCAATGTAATCCATTTTCATTTTTCTGAATTAAAATAACTTAAGGCATTACAGTATGATGAGAGCATTTCGTCTTTATATAAAACTTTGTATACATTTTTTTATGGGCATTCATGAACTGCCACCTGTCCATGTTCAGACCCCCCTCAGTCCACAGGTATCCTCTGAAGCGTATCTTCCGATCCAGACTGGGATGAGCTCCGGTCCGGTTTTTACCAACACCCACACCTTCAGTTCATGTGATTGGTTTTCTGTTTTGGTCAGGCGATGGTGCGGGGCCTGTGGGCGGTGCTCCGGATGGTGTCCTGCGAGGGAGCAGCTGGTCTGAAATCAAACGTACCTCGGCGAGCTGCTGCACCGTGGAAGAGACCTACCTGCTCCCCTACCACCGCCTGCTGCAGAGCCATATCCAGGTAGGCCGACCACGACCCTGGAGCTGTCTGAAACCGCTTCAAGTCGTCCTGGTTGGAGGTTAAAGACAGCAGAGCCAGAGATAAGCCTATTGACTATAAGCTCAGTAACGGTGTCTGTCTGAGCTCTACTGGAGTCTGTCTCAAAGGAAAGAAAGTCCTGTTAAATGCTACTGTGAACACTGTGGCGCTTCATGTTTCTGTGTGTGTTGGTTGAAGCACACACTTTCTCAACAGTAACTCAGAGTGTATTCTCTTCAGTTCGGCGAACATCCGCTAAAGCAAGCTGCACTCACTGCAGTATTATTGGATTGTATATCATTATTGTAACATACATTTAGACGTTACAGTGATGAGCAGCAATGAAACTGTTCAAATAAATGAACAATCATTTTGATGGTTAATTGTGTATGTGCTTCATTAAGCAGCTTCACAAAGGGAGCTATCGGCTCCTTTTTGGATGTTCTATGATTGTACATTGATCTTTAGGTTTTGGATAAAACCCCTTGGACAGTGGGAACTCGTTATGAACATTTTGCAGTATTTTCGGATTGTTATTGTGATTGTAGGAATGTTTCATGTATTTACATGGTTAGTTAACTAAGATAGGCCTCCTCTGGGTTCTTCACACTTGGCTTACTTTGAGTAGTATACTTTGATTATGAAGTATATTTCACATCTGTTCTGTGTGAGTGTGGAACTTTTTGAACGTGGAAAAAGCTTCTTCAGCAGGTGGAGATTGCTCTCTATTTACTACAAACATAAAAGGGTAGTAAGCAGTAGGATTTATTGGTAGTTAATATGTTCAGAATGTCATTGAAAGTGCACTGAACTATCAATTGTTGTCTGCCTCCTCCTCCTCCTGCAGTGAGGTGAGACACCTACAGACCACGGTCAGAATGCCTGAGATAACCACCGATCACCTGGACGAGAAGCAGGTCCAGCTGCTGGCTGAGATGTGCATCCTCATTGATGAGAACGACCACAAAATTGGAGCGGACACCAAGAAAAACTGCCACCTCAACGCCAACATCGACAAAGGTACCTGTCTGCATGCACCCGTCTGGCCTTTAGTGCATATTGTTTTTATTTCAGATTTGTACTCATGGTAACTGTTTGTTTTACCAGGTTTATTACACAGAGCTTTCAGCGTCTTCATTTTCAACAGTGAAGAGAAGCTGCTCTTACAACAGAGGTCGGACGCCAAAATCACTTTTCCAGGTTGGTGACAAATCCTTAAACTTCCCAGTTTATCCCAAATACCCTATTTCTATCCCAGATGCTCCTCTTGGATACATAGTGTCATACGCAGCAGCGTAACCCGAAAGAGAGAGAGTTAAATTTTCATGTCCTTTGTTAAGCAAAGCTTTTCTAAAGGGACTATTTGCTCCTGTTTGTATTTAATATTATTGTCCATGGATATATTTGGGTTTTTAGGACTTTTGGTCAGACAAAACCAGCAATTTGAGGACGTCCTGTTGAGCACCAGGAACTATTAGTAGGCTTTGGCAATTTGTTTAACTCACCCTCGTGTCTGTGTGTTTACAGGCTGTTTCACAAACACATGCTGCAGTCATCCTCTGCACACAGACAGCGAGCTGGAGGAGAAGGATGCAATAGGAGTGAGGAGAGCTGCTCAGAGGAGACTTGAAGCTGAACTGGGTATCCCCATGGACCAGGTATACTGTGTGTGTGTGTGTGTTTTTGTGTGTGTGTGTGTGTGTGTGTTGTGTGTGTGTGTGTGTGTGTGTGTGTGTGTGTGTGTGTGTCCTCCATTTAGTGGAAGTGGATTATTGAGGACTGGAGAATCTTTCCTTGCCTCTGATCTCCTCTGCCTTCCTGTTGCTCCTCAGGTGACACCAGATGAAATGACTTACCTGACACGGATCCACTACAAAGCCCAGTCAGATGGCGTGTGGGGAGAACATGAGATTGACTACATCCTCTTTATGCAGAAGGTAGCGCTGACATGTCTGTTGGACATAGAGTTGACTTACATTGCGGGGGCTCATGGTAGCTCACCATGTAGGCTGAGTCCTTACTGCAGGTTCAGTTTCAGCCCTTTGCTGCATGTTTTACTAGTATACAAGTATTTAGTATAAAATATTTTGCAGTGTATTTGTCTGCATTGTCGGCATTATGTCTACTGTATTGTGGATAGTGTCATTGTCTGTTTTATGTCTCTCCGAAGAATGTGGAGTTGAATCCGGATCCCAACGAGATTAAAAGCCACTGTTACGTGAGCAAGGAGGAGCTGAAGGAGATGTTAGAGAAGGCCAAGCGCAAGGAGCTGGAGATCACGCCCTGGTTCAGCCTCATCGCAGAGACCTTCCTCTTCAAGTGGTGGGACAACCTGCAGAACCTCAAGCAGTTCATGGATCACAACAACATCCACCGCATGTAACCACAGCCAGGATCAGGCTCTGCCTCCAGTCATGTCAAACCTTTGGTTGTACTTGCCTGACACACAAAGCTGAGCTGCTAGAGACCCCTGACCCTCTGATGTGCAATAAGAACCATCACTGGCTACTTCAGTCAAGGTAGCAGGAAGTGTACGACATCTACACCTGAAGAGGAAGCAGAGGATGTTTGTCTTTCTTAACATAAGGGGTGAATAGGTTCACAGTAGGTTTGTAGCTCTGAGGCGTATTCGTCTACATGAGGTGATGCATGTAGGGCTGGTAGACTGACTCTTAGTGGTATTTAGAAAAAAATGTATGTCAGGTAATCAATTCTGATTTGCTGCACACTCGATTAACAGACTGAACAGAAGATGTTTACCATCTTATTTTATTAGGTTAGAACAATGCAGCGTTACCACGGACACCTCCACGAAGAGAATAGCCTATTTTTATATGATATATATAAGTGCCTGAGTACAGGTCGTTAGGTTGAGATGGATGTCTCCAAGCACTGATGTGATTTCACAACAACAACCATCACTCTGTATATTGTTGATACTGGTGAATAAGCTGTATCTTTATACCCTTTTACACAATAAAGTGTTTGATTGTGATCACTGGCTGAACATTTAAGCTCTATCAGTAGATATTACTATAAACAATATCCCAGACAATGTTTAGATTCATCACAGTGTCAATACATCAGCTCATTCAGTAGTGATTTAGGCAAACACATGGCACATGCTGCTTTTGATTTACTTGGTGTTCCAGTAGGTGGCAGCATAAGTCTGTATTTCACTTTTCACCATCCAACAATTCTTGAAGGAATGTTCAGAAACACCCACAAAGTATTCATCATAGTAAATTCATGTGCTGCAGTTGTCCCAATGACCACAAAGGAGTGAGTTCAACCCTTTGGTCATTTCTGTAAGTACACACTGCTGGAGAACGACCATAACATTTACAAAGGGCTGGAAAATGAAATAAGTGAAGTTCAATTTGTATTGAATAAGAGGTACTTTATTAGTAAGCTTGATACACTTCCTGCATGTTAACACAAAGGCACATTACCCATGTCTGCTGGAGCACTAAAGCTGGTGCACAACATGATACATCAGATACATGTTTCATAGCTTTCATTGTAAAACCATATAAAAATTAACAAATCAAACATAGATTTCAATAAACAACTGTATCTAGTTTCTATAGTGACAGCATGTTTAATACTGATGCATCTCTCTCTCTTGCTTCCAGATATATGGTTTCCCAAACAGAGTTGAACCCTAGGCTAAATCAAAAGTCAGTGGCAAAATCACTGGAAAAAAAACACGAGAACTCAAAAAGTAGCTGATTTCAGCTTTCAAGATCACTGTCATGAGTGTCAGGGAGAATTCGTAACTGAACTGAAAAATTGTTACTAGAATGTGAGAGTAATCTAAGCTATTCATTTCCTGACGATGATGCAATACTGAGAAAATATATCAGGAAGAGATTTATTAAACGAGCTCAAAGATCCCTGAATCCGGATTATTTCCATGCACTGGCTCATTTTGTACAATATGAAAACAAATATTTAATAAGAGGAACCAATATTTTTTTTCTCGTGATAACGACTTTATTATCTCGAATAAATTAACTAATGGGCTTGAAATACCGGCAATAAAAAAGCGCACTGCCATTTTCGGCTTCTGAGACACTACACCATGGTGTCCTTTCTCATGCATATGTGAAAGGCAAAGTAACTGGCACATTGGTAGACCACAGTACATTTACAATCAAACATACCATGAGTGATGAGACGGGCACAATACAACCAAATCCACAATGAGACTATGACTTTTAGTCATCCCAATATTTCAGATTCATACTTTCAGGTATAAAAAGCTTCTATAAAAGGTTTATAACCCATACAGAGTTTGGCATTGTAAAACATGGTAAAACAACTAATTCCTAGGTCCTTGCAGTACATGACATTATTATAGGAGAGTGCATAGGAAGCGTGTGCAATAAACACTAATGGAAATATATACTCCATGTGCCAAAACAGCAGCAACTACAAAGCTACTTGGCTATATGTACATTATTAGGCTACTAGTAGCGCCACAGCTATTTGTCTGAGAATGTAAGAATCATATATAAGGGGGTCCACTAACTGATGTGACTTGATATCTTGCATAAAATCCTTTTACATAACTATTTTAACTTGATGCTGGAGCCATCAAACAGGCATAAAACTAAGTTGAACACTTTCATGATGCATTTCAACAAAAGAACACAGCAGGCCGGTTTACACCCAGTGCAGTGTTTCTGCAATCTTTCAAATAATGGAATGATTGTTTGTTTGATTTCTTTTGTGACCACAAATGGATGTTAAGATCTAACAACAGCAGGGTCTATTCTGACACTGTGCTTATGTACGATGTAGTGCATGTGGTTGGGGCGGTTGTCTTAAGCTGCGTGCTGTTATTTTTTTAAGGTGATGGAATAAAAAGGGTGAGTTAGGACAGTGTGGGAAGGACATTTGTCTAATTGTGTGCTGAGACTGGTCTGTGTCTGGTTTCCTCCTTGTAGTATTAGATGGTCTCTGAAGGGGTTGGTGCAGGATTGGAGTTTGGTGGAGTCAGCTTCATGGTATTGAAGAAATCCACCATCTGACCTGGTACTTCTGCCAGCACACTCTTTGCCAGTGCTTCTCGAGGAGCCTGAAGTGCAGAAGAAGGACAAAACTTGAATGAATGAATGGAATGAAATGAAATGAAAAGGGAGCATGAATGAGAAGTAGAAAGTTGTGCAGATGAAAAAAAAAAAAAAAAAGGAAATTTCCACTCTTATATTTTCACTTTTCTGGCAACCTTCAGGAGAATTGCTTGTACTATAGATGGAGTGAACAACAGGGACAGCAACATTGTTTGATTCCTCATTTCCTTACTTTTCAGAGACTCATTGCAGACTGAGATTTACTGTTAATGTTGAAAATATATGAAAAACCATGCGTAATTGTAGCTGTGCTGCAAATATCTTAACATTATGTTGTCTACATTCAGCTACAGAGCAATTACAATTTGTGCAATATTCAACAAAACAATGAAACAAACCTAAAACTGAAAATCACATAACTAGTTGCTTTGTTTTAGTGATCTAGAGAGGAATTTTCCCTTTTATGTAAACAAGAATAGGGTTGAGATAGTCACCAGTGCTTCAGACCCTCAGACAGAAAGTACTACAGATTGTATTGTACCATCTCTCTCACTCAGCACTGATGATGAATGTTTAGCAAAACAGAGTTGGAAAAGTTGGAAGGAAAACATCAAAAAAAAAAGGGGATAGCAAACAATGCCATGATTCATGCAGTGATTCAGTGCAGCAAGCAAAGGCTAGGATGGGGGTGGGGTTTTTGACTGAAATATCTGGGGTACCCCTATGAAGGACTGGGATCGTGGGGAGGCTTCAGTTTGAATAAACTGAAGAAGGAGGCCACTTGCTGAGGTAACTCGGCCAATACGCTTTGGGCAAGAGCCTGGCTGGGTGCCTGAAAAGAGATAAATACACAGGGCACACAAGTAAGCCAAGTGAGGTCGAGGTCGAGGGGCTGGGAATTCCTGTGTACTGGATGGGGACACTAATATACCATATTTAGAGGAGTAATTTTGAAGCCAGTTAAACCAAAAATGACGCAGTGAAATGTTTAGAAAAAAAAAAGAAGCTTGAAATGCATGCAGCTTGTTATAGCAAATGGCTTGACTGAAATCACAGAAAACACCATTCACATTTAAAGTAACGAGTAAAATAAATAATGTGTCTAATAGTTTCAGACTTACATTTTGAAACTGCCTGAATGGCACAAACTGGACGATGTCTCGCATGGCGGCTTCGCCAGTCAGAGAGCGCAGGGATCCATCGTCTCCATCCAGGAACTCCATGGCGCTGAAGTCTGCGCCCCCTACTCCGACAATGATGATGGACATGGGCAGACGGGAGGCGTTGACGATGGCACTGCGTGTCTGATCCATGTCTGTGATCACTCCGTCAGTGATGATGAGGAGAACAAAGTATTGCTTTGGGAATACATCAACAACAGAGACAGCAGATCAATATTCAAATGTCTGAACTGTTGCAAGTGTTGATAGACCCAAATGCTCAGTACTTTGTAGTCCAACATGATCAAGGTGTATTTCAGTAGATTTTAAATCACAATGTATTTGTTAGTTTTCCTTCTCAAATTCATTTAAGCCTCATTCTTAACTGGCTGCTGCCAATGGGCATCGTTCACCTGCAATTAGAGCAATGAGACACCTGAGACACGCAAAGAAGTGAGTCGCACCAATACTGTGAATATTTTGATGGTTATTTCATTCAACAATGGCAATACTTGCCACTTTTAAGTTTAAGTTAATTATACCTAAAACCAGATACATCCAGCTATTGAACACTATTGCAATGTAGTACCTCTCCAGGGCATATAAATCTAATAACTATGAGCCTGGCATTTGAAAATAGCTTAAACAGGCAATTGCTGTGTTATTATCCTGGAACTCCTGTTGCTCTGGATCAAGCTATTATGAGATCATCCTGCTCCATTGTACAAATTACGCATAAAGAATTAGGAAATGAGTACTGACAGGCTTTCTTTCCAATCTGACACAACCAAATGTTCACTGCAAGAGTAATAATGACTACTGAATATGGAGTGTTTCAGACTAATACTGATGAACGGCAATGAATTGTTGGAGAACTTGATCTGCTAAATATGGAGAGTTTCTGTGCATGCAGAGCTGTGAGAGGCTACAGTCATATTAACGGTGATGGCTGAACAGATAAATACTCACTGATGCAGTGGTCTGCTGGATGGCTTGTTTAGCAAAGCAGGCGACATGGTTGATGATAGGGGAGAAGTTGGTGGGGCCGTAGAGTTTGACCTGGGGCAGACATACCCTGTAGGCCTCCACCACACCTTCAACACCTACACACACGCACAAGCACGCACACACGCACAAGCACACACACACACACACACACACACACACACACACACACACACTGAGTACTACTTCATATTAAGCTGCATATGTTATGTGTAATAATAAACATTTGTTTCAACCAGTCTAAAAATCATTGCACCATAGATACATTTAGACAGATTTTCAAACATACCTGCACAAAATGGATTTGCTGGATTGAAATTCAGAGGAAACTCATGGGAAACCTATTAATTAAAACACACAATTCCATCAGATATCCTGTCCTGTGCTTTTCCACCTGACAAACTCAATGCAAACAGCAGCTCTCTCTTTTTGCATGGATTCGTAGTTTTACATTTAAATACAAATCCTACCTGCCATGTGGGAGGGATTTGGGCTCCAAAGCCAAAGGCAGGAAACATCTTGTCGCTACACAGAAGGGACAAACAACACTAGAACATAAGTGACAGAATATTTTGTCATTGAAATGCAAATTATTTGTCACCAATACATTGATAAGTTCACCATACAGTTGGATGGGGCTTATGTTCATATATGCTTCTGTCCTGTCATCAGGACATCTCAGAAGGTTAGAAAAAGATCTGTATACAACTAACAGCGAACATTGGTTAAGAGCTATATACTGAGAAAGTTTTGCCCATGCAGCAGGCGAGGCTGCTCCTGCCCTCTCACACAGAGCAGAGTGGAGGAAAGGAGAGAGTGAGGGAGTTGACGATGGCTGCACCGTGCATGAAAACTTCATATGAAAGCTGTATGACAGCTGATGTAAAACAAAAGATCGGATCAATAAAGTTGAACATAGCCGATACCGATCAGTTGAAAAATGCCATGATCTGCGCAATATTGAAGTTTTGAATGTACTAGACAGTGTTTTATGTCTCATACCTGTCATAGTCCTGGATGACATTGCCAACAGACCAGATAGCAGAGAGGTACTCGTTGACACCCTGAGGACTGATGTAATGCAGAGACTGAGGAGATTTGGGATCCCCGTTGGAGCCTGTGAAGTCAATGGCCACCTGGCAAGACATTGAGGGAGCGGGCAGACATGCAGATAATGCAGGAACAGAAACAGATATCATTAGTAACCCAAGAATACAAATGAATGAAAATAGGCATTAATAGAGAAGCCAAAACTTACAGTGAAGTTGAGCTGACAGCCACCCATGATATAATCCAGGAAGGTATACTCCTTCACCACCTAAAAGACAGTATCGCAGAATATGTAATCTCAAATCCATGTATGAAATCCAAGGTGAACACATTCAATGAAACACAGTACTGCACCTGGCACAGCTTCACGCCCACAACCCCAGAGTTCTTGTAGCCTTTCTTCTTCTGTTTCTTTTTACTGTTGACACATTCAAACTCTGCCTGAGGACAAAAAAAAAAAACAGCATGGATGTCCACGTCAATGTCAGAAGACCATAAAAACTAAATTAGTATTGACATCACCGAAACCCAATTTAATTACAACAACATAAGCTACAAGTAGAATGAGCAGCTTTAAAATGGGTTGAGGCTGTTCCAATAGCATTTGATGGTTGTTACATCCAAACAATGTAAACACAAACAAACAAACACATACATACCGGAGATGTTCGTGATGCTTCTTTGAGGCGTGTCATTGTGGTCTCAAAGATTCCAATTAGATCATGTGAGCCATCGTTGTCATAGTCATAACACTCGACCTGGAAACACGTAGAAGCACACAGTGATGTGGCAAACCAGAAAACGGTTAAATCTTTCACACAGAAACATAAATACCACTAAAGGGGCAGTTCACCCAGACCACAAAAACAAATAACCCAGATCTCACTGTGAGACGCTTTTAAAAAGGAGCAGTTCCTTTCTAATGTGTTCACATTACCCAAAGTGCCACAGTAGATTCTAAAAATATGGGCAGATAAAACCAAAACTATCTGTAAGGCCAGACACCAAAAGTGGTGAGAGAAGGTTTTTTTGGGGGGTAATTTCAGTGAACTGAGCCTTTACGTGAATTGAAAACCTGGAGGTGTAGAACATGGAAGAAACAAAAACATGCAAGAGTGAGATTCAAAACACGACTCTTTGTAATACGAGTATATTTGACAGACGCTAACAGTAAAATGATTAACAAAGAAGAGTGTTTGTAGTTCCGGACAAATGTGTTTTCATGGTAGAATCGAGTTGGATGAGGGAAACTTGAGAGAGCCGGAGACTTTGCCGAGGTGGCGTCTTCCCATCCCATTCACACACTTCACCCATTAAGTGATGGTAAGATGAAAAAAGACACTGCAACGCACTGGGTAACTCACTTGTACTGTACGGCTGGAAACAGCTTCCTTCCTGACATGTTCGCTTCAGAAGTTAAAAAAATATATATCATAAATCTAGAACTGAACATCACTTTGCTCTGAAAACTATTAACACCTTTAAGAAAGGTTTCATTATGTTATAACCATGAATTTACACAGTGCCACTGATGTCAGAAACATGCAAATGCAGGTGTAAGGGGCAGTTCAAACACATGTTGCACAAATGTGCAAGTAGTTACAAATATGGTGAAATGGTTTTCTAGTTACTTTTATAGGTTTGTCCATGTCTCCTCCACAGAGGGACTGCAGGGGGATTCGGAAGGGTTTCCATGTTGGATTCAAGTTGTTCTTCACCACCTGAGGACAGAATTATTGAAAATTATACACGTGCAGAATACTCCAACAAAAACATATGCATATGGAAACCATGCAGATTCTGTTTACGATGTGTACTGTAATGGTTTTTTGTTATTATAAAAAGAAAGAAAAGAAATGCTCCTCAGCCAGCTGGAGGCATACCATGATATTGGCTGTATGTTGCCATCAACATAGACACAGAACAGACGGTATTCCAATGAATTAATTAAAAAGATGTGGGGCGCCATCATGAAACGAAGAATCATAAGAAAATAAACTTCTCCTTTTGGTTTATATAACCATTAGTGATTTAAAGAGTAGATATGTATGTATTTAGCAGATAACAAAAGCTATTACACTTCAGTTGGACTCCGCAACACAAAAACACTTTTAACAAATTTAAGAGAAGTTACTCTTAAAAACACTTTACATCTTTGACCACTGTCACCACATCCGTTTTTGGTGTTTTATTTTTATTCATTGTGTTGAAAAACTAGTCTAACTGGGTCTGGTGAGCTCCACTATTTCTGTTAACCCCTCAGATCAGGTGCACTCATTAAGTTGAGTGGTAATATAGGCCAACAAACATGATACAGATTATTGCAACATAGGATGCTGAAGGTCTAAATTCAATACATACTTACAGGTCAGGGTCATAGTCAGATGGTCAGATTTAAAATCATAATCATCATCATTTCATCTAATAATAATATCTGATGTCACAAGTAGCAAAACACACAACACAGTTCTCTAATTCAATCTCACCCACAAATGTGATTTGTCTGCTTCCTCATTCACAATAACAACATCACATTTAACATTTGTTGGTAAAAACTTAATTGGCCTGCGACAGTGCAGCGGTTTGGGGAGAGCACAGGAAAGGGGTTACAGAATCTAGAGAGTGTGGGGCGTTTATTCCAACTCTACAACTTTGGTTTTTGATTATACAGAAGGGAGTATGGCCCAACATGCATGTTACTGCAATGGCTGTGGTGTAAGACAGCTTGGACAGGGGTTCCTCTTTTCATACAGATGAGTGAAAACAAAAAATGCAAGTGTTACAGCTGAAATCCATGGGGTACAGATCTGACACACCACAGGTTTTTTTCCTGCTACACAGACTCTGTCTTCCGTGGTCAGTGTAGCAGCTTCAACATACTAACTAAAATCTCTTAACAGTTTTATCTAACTCTTATGGAAAAAATGGACTATTGAGTTATGACAGGAAAGAAATGAAAGTCCCCCTAAACTCAACAATATGCTTTTTTATCTTGTTCCTACAGCTGGATGTTATATGTGCAGAATATGACACACATTATTGTTCCAAATAGACTATTTGTATTTATACCTCAATACAGGTCTGGAGGGGATCTTTAAAATTACAATACAACACAAAATGTTAACATTTTCCCACAGCTGTGCTGTTATTTGCATGAGTGTGTTTACCTCTGTCCTGTGAGCCAGCTGCCATCCAGTTTCTGTCTGCTTATAAAATTCCAGGTAAGGGTCAGACTTCCCAAAGAAATCCTGTGATTGAATATAGGAATAAAACACACCAATAAGTTAAATGTAGATTGATCGATAGATCGATAGATAGAGACAATATCTAAAAGAATAAAAGAATTACCCATACCTTGTTATCTAGTTTCCTTGCTTCAACTTCAAAATTCACCACCCTGTTATCTTTTATTTCTTCTGCACTGATCTACAGCAGAATAGAGGACAAATAAATAAATAACAGGGGAATAAAAATACAGCCAAACAACATTCCTCTCTCTCACACGCTCTCTCTCGCACTCACTGTGATGGTCCCTTTTCCTGCAGGGGACTTGTTCTTCAAGACAAGCGGTCGGGTCAGTTTTTTACTGGACACAACCTGAAAGAAAGTTTGTTTTTTTAAAAAGCAGTTAATAAAGAAGAAGCAGCAGCAGCAGCAGCATGAGTAAATTAATCCAACCGAGAGGTGGATGAGTACAACACAGTAGCCTCAAGACAACAAGGCAAACAGCCAGAACAAACAGGTAGAATGAACATCTGGGGTCAGATTACACCGAGAGAGTCGACACAGCAACTGCTTATCAAGAACGTTCATCCTTCATCTCTAACATGGTGTGTTACTGGTGTGTTATTACACTACAGTATGTGTGCGTACTGCTTCAATGAAAATAAAAGTCACACCCTAAATCCACAATTAGTGGATTTAGGACAACTTTGTATGAACATGTACTGTGAACACAGAGTCATGTCCTTCCAGAAGAAGAGAGGAATGCATTACCTGGCCCAAGGTGCACTCCAGTTGTCCCAGGAAGTCATCATCACTCAGGTCGACAGTTTTGTTGTCGATGTCATAAATCCCAAACTTCAGTTTTTGCACTATTTCAAAGTAGTAGTCGATGACAAACTTTTTGGCAAATTTTGGGCTGAGGCAATTCTGGACTTGCTCAGTTCGTCCCACCTGTTAGGAAAGGTTGGACTGCTATGAGATCCACAAGTCTGAGAAATAACGTTGCTGTGAACTAAAGTGTTAAAATTGGTATGTATTGGCACACATGCACTGATGAAACAGGAAGTGGACATAATGCGGTTGCTGCTTTACACAACACTGACTTTTCCCATCTGGAGTTAACGATTAACAATGCTCTTAGATTTTCTCTTGCAAGTGGAAAAGTGATTAAATGCCACACCTAGTCACAATATATACTTTACATAACCTGTATAATCAGTTTCCCACAGCAGAGGAGATAGGGATGCATTTTACCTTTCAAAATAAACGTTTTGGACATGTTTTGGTTTCACATTCAGGCAAAAATAATAAACCAGATTTTAGCAGCTTTACACAAGCTCGTGAATATCAACTGTAAATCTTTATGCTGTCTGATACTAAATGAATCCAGAGCCAGTCAAATCTTACCTCATACCACTGGGAATCAGAGCTGCTCATTAACAGAGAACACAGAGGGTCGGACTTGGAGCCGATGTCTTTATCCAGGAGATTGTCACAGGACACAGTCAGCTCCACCTTGGTTACACACTGAGCAGCCATGTCTGAGAAATAACACAGGTAGAGAGGGGCATTACTGTGGGAACGAAACATGTTAGTGTAAGCTTGTGAACGCACAAACTAATTGACTGTGGTGTGTAAAATGGTGGAGATGCTAGTGAAGATTAATAGCACCCCGTAACGAAGATACAACGAATACAAATGTGTGTAAAAAAAAAAAAAGTAGCTGGGTAAATTATATTATCTCACCTTCACGACCTGGCTCAAAACGGTGATATTAGTTAAATAATAAACGCTACGCCATAAACAGATGTAAAGTTTAAGTCTAGCTGCCTTCATACCACCTCTCAAAACCCGTACTGCCTCACTCAGACATGGCCTGGTAAAGCAGTAACCGAGTTTCGTGGAAAATGTGACCCAATAACACAATAACATGAGCACTAATGAGGTCCAGCCGGTGGGGAGGGTCAAAGCAGAGTTTAGTACAGCAGCTAATGCTAGCAGGCTAACGTTAGTTAACGTTTAGTACATTAGCACCTTTACCGCGTTAACTTCCGCAGATAATTAACGTTAGCTGTTAGCCGTTAATTTAAATTCAAACTTACCGTTGAGAGTGACAGGGCTCACGGGAAGAAAGCACTTTGTTGTTGAGTGGTGTTAGTAATGGTACCGCTGTGTTACCGCTGTGTTACCGCTGTGGTACCGCCCTTTCCTATGTAACATGTAACATGTAACGTTATAATATGTGTTAACAGTGTTGCGATCAAATCTACGCTGGAACCTTTGAGCTCTGCCAGTCAACGGTCAACACCCAGAACGACGCATCGTTACGTCGTTGCCACAACAACAGCCCCGTTCGACACCGCGCGAATTTACTCTTTCTGCCTAATTTCAATGTTTTATTTTGAATGTCTTCACCGGAAATGAACGATTACGTCAGCCGTGACGCTGCTGGAGTGTATTGACATATCGATGCAGGAGTGTTTTCAATAAAGGAGGTTGAGCATTGTTTCAGCGGTCACAGTGTTTAACAGCACTGGTCATTTCACTTCACTTGTGTCCATTTGCTTCAGTTTAGTCACTGTATTTTGAAAGAACTCACCGGAAGTGTTATTATGCTGTCATAGCAGTGACGCGAATTTGGCCAATTTAATAGTTATGCAGTTACTCACATTGGCCACCAAAGGGCAGGAACATTAGTATGTAAGAACTCTAGTTGATTACTACTACTATTACTACTATTACTACTCCTAATAATAATAATAATAATAATAATAATAATAATGATACATATACATATTGTTTTTTTCAACTACACTCTATTGGCATCAAGGTAAAGATGATGATATTGTAATACTTCCGTTTAAACATTAAAGTGTACTCTAGCTCTATCTGTGTAACAGTACAGTAACACTATGTAGTTTCATATTTGTGTACATTTATAATGCACTTTATGACACAGACACACATTTTAAGAATGCACAAAATAGGTTGTGAACATGAATCACTACTTTGTGAAAATACACATAGTATTTCTTTAATGTCATGAGATGCAGACAGGAGGACAAACAACACAAATCTTTCAAATTGTGTAATAATTTTACGAATATTGAAGTGGAAGCTGGTTTTTCTGTAGATTAAGTACACTTTTTTCTTGCACTGGAAATCATCATATTTACATAAAATACGGATAAAATCAGTAAAAGTTTATTACATAAGGCAAAGCCACAGTGATTGGTGCAAATAACTAACACAAATACATATACATGTATAGTGAATGTATTAGACCATTTTTATGAAAGTTAGTAAAATTAGAAGTTGTACTACCTCTTTTTCTCTAATGTACATTTGTGTAAACGTGCATTTTACCAAGCTCACCACTGTTACTGGTGATAATTAATTCTAGGGATTCTCCATGTTTAACACCCATAGGGAAGCACCAAACAGTAAGTCAAATCAAATGTGATATTCAGTATAAAAACAGAAACTGACTTTAGTAGAAAACAGCAGCAAGGACACAACATAATAGCCTTTGTAGTGTAAAATCTACAAAATATAGTAATTTAAACAAATGTATTAATCCATTATATGTGGATATATTTTGTAAACTTGGCTTCACTGTATTTGGTACAGCCATATATTTGTTCAAGATCTATGTTTCAATAAAAATAAAATTTCCCAGAGAAACATGAAAGTCTGAAAACCAACAAACAAGTGATCATTGCAATATGTAGACTGGAGGAAAAGATATGGAGAACACATTAGCTTCAGCTGTTTCATGTAGACATTATGACAGACAAATGAGATGGCTGTTATTAGCTGCCTCAAATGTTCCACAAAAAACAAAGAGCTTGTGTCACAAGTTACTGGTAATTAAGAAAACTGTGCAGATCAATAAAACAAGATATTACTTAAATTGTTAACAATCCTGGCACTTGAGTCATTAAATATCAGTGTTAAGGACATGCTAGCAAATATTAGGATTGTTAACTATGGCTTTATAGTAATGTTACATAGTATTTACAACTCATAACATGACTGGATGTTGCATGCTCGCCATGCAAGAGTTTGGGTTATAATTGGGCATTTGGAGTTGGCATACTCAGGAGAAAAGCAAGTCCTCAGGATACATCCACAGGAGGGGCTGACGCTGAGTGGTCAGTGACCGGTGTGGTCTCATGGGGTGGTCTCAGTCTCATGGTATTGAAGAAGCTCGTCACCTGGCCTGGCACTTCTGCCAAGACGCTCTGAGCAAGCATTTCCTGCGGGCACTAAAGAGGAGAACAGACAGAGTAACAAGGTGAGAGTTACAGATATATATACACACAAGATTTAGCAGGAAGTAGGAGGGGAACTAACTGTAGCAACCAAATAAAAGAAGCAGGCGGTTAGAAAGATCATTACATGGATTTAATTCTGATTAGTAAATAAATGTTTCCTGAGGTCTGAACAGCACACTGTGCAACACTGAGAGTGGCAACACTTGACTCTTCCACATATTACCATACTGCCAATGTTTCTATGGTTAGAATATGAACTAAAAACTAACCTTGAGCGGTGTCTATTTTTTATAGGGTACACGGTATATGACGGTATTTGTGTAAAATAAAAAAACTGAGCTATTGGTGATAGCTCAGTTTTAACAAAATATTATTCCAAAAAAGACAATATTCCTAGTAAGCTGTTTACATGGTTATTGAAAACGACAGCTGTGCATACTCTATACGTCCTATAGAGGAATTTCTCTTCCTCAACCCTGCAGTCATGTTGCTCCTCTGCTAAAAGTGGAACAGCTGGAGCTGCTTAGGTCATTCTACCTCTTTGTATTAAAAGATAATTTTTTCCACCAGTGACGTGGTGCTACACAGCCAATCAAATCAAATCTGTGCACTAGGACTGGACTTAGTGAGTTAGATACACCCACAGCAGCTTATTAGAGAGATTAGATACAGTCGGAGAAATAGGCACATGGCATGCTCTAAAAAGAGAAATCAGCCAAAAGAGAGCTTTGAATCCAGGATGGACAGACTCTTTCATGTTCATTCTTCCCACGGGCGATTATTAAAAAGGGCAGTGTGGAGTGCCACTAATGTTACTGGTCCTTTAAAACCATACCCTTCTAAATACCTGTGTACACAACAATACCTTGATACCTCCCAAGCCTAACAACTAACAACGAGTGCAAGAGTGCTCACTACAGATGTTGCTATACTTAAAAGGCCTCAAAAGAAAAGTCTGTGAAAATAAATCATTTAAAAAAATGCAGCTTTGGATGGAATGCATGGAAAAAAGAGGGGAATGGGGTCAGGCTGTGGGTACTCATACATTTCTAGGAAGGACTGGGATCGCTGGGGGGCTTCAGGTCAAATAAATTGAAGAAGGAGGTCACTTGGTCAGGCAACTCTGCCAGTACACTTTGGGCAAGGGCTGCAGTGCCTGCCTGAAATAAGATGTGCAGCATTATTTCAGCATTATAAAGGTGCTTAGCTGGTGCACGCCTACAAAGACTTTGCGTTATGAAATAGCTTACATTTTGGAACTGCCTGAATGGCACAAACTGCACAATGTCCCGCATGGCAGCCTCGCCGGTAGCAGAGCGTAAATTCCCGTCGTCTCCATCCAGGAACTCCATGGCGCTGAAGTCTGCGCCCCCTACTCCGACAATGATGATGGACATGGGCAGACGGGAGGCGTTGACGATGGCACTGCGTGTCTGATCCATGTCTGTGATCACTCCATCAGTGATGATGAGGAGAACAAAGTATTGCTGTGAAACGTTGACACAAGAAACCAAATGAATTAAGTGGAAGTGGTTTTCACTGATTGTTATTATGTGGAAAAGAAGACCTGATTGTGCCTTCTTCCAAAACAAATCTACATTCTACAGTTTGCACACAAGAGCTACCATTGTAAGGCTTTGATTGGTGCAATAACTCACAGAGGCAGTCTGCTGCTGCATGGCTTGCCTGCCAAATTGGGCAACGTGGTTGATGATGGGGGAAAAGTTTGTGGGGCCGTAAAGCTTCAACTGGGGCAGACACTGCTGGTAGGCGTGGACCACACCCTCTATACCTAAAAACCACAAAAAGACACACACAAACACACACCGGGGAACAAAACTAAGTCTTGCAGGACATGTTGAGCATCATTTTATATATATTTCCATGTAATTCAGCAGAATTGGAAAAGGACACTGCAACATGATGATATATTTGAGGGCCAAGGACAAGTTTCTGGTGAAATGTTGAAACAAACACTATGTTAGAGCAGTAATTGATTTTGTAAGTACAATTGTTCTCAACCATCCATTTTTGCCTGATAAATGACGTCAACGCCTAATCAATTATCAAAACTGTTTATTCTTGTTTATAATTTCTCAACTAGTTGTTGCAGTACTTCCATGTATGCTTTGAACATCCCATGCAAAATCTGAAGTGGAAGAAGAAATCTCATGTTATACTGTGTCAAACCAGACCAGTGAAAGGCATGAATACACCACAGCTGCTGTTCTGTGACTGCAGTACGTGACTGCTAAATGCCCTACATGTCAAGTGCATTAAAAACAGCAGTGTTATCCATATTCGCTCTATTATTACCTGCACAAAAGGGATTTGAGGGGTTGAAGTTGATGGGAAACTCGTGGCTGACCTGCAAACACAAACAACTATTAATTTGAGACGGCCTGAGTTACGTCCAGCTAAGACGAGGAACAGCCTATACGAACATCAAAGTACGTCTGGACTAACACAAACAATCACCTGCATTGTAGGAGGGATCTGGGCTCCAAATCCAAATGCAGGAAACATCTTGTCACTGCAGAAAGGAAGTGAAACAAAGTAGGCGATACTGTCAAAGTAAGTTTACATAAACACAACATTCACTACTGGTGTTTCTGGCGCTATGTTTAAATTACTAATGGTGGATTACCAACATAACACTTTCTGTATAACAAGCTATTTACCTGTCATAGTCCTGGATAACGTTCCCCACAGCCCAGATAGCTGCCAGGTATTCGTTATAGCCCTGAGGACTGATGTAGTGGAGGGACATGGGGGACTTGGGGTCCCCGTTGGAGCCGGTGAAATCAATAGCAATCTGGAGAATATCAAATCAGATAACTCTTTGACAACCTCATAATGAACGATTCCTGAGGACATTCAATTCTCAATATAAAACGTAATTACAAAAAAATACTTAAAGTAAAAAGAGAACAAACTGTAGTACTCACAGTGAAGTTAATCTGACAGCCGCCCATTATGTAATCCAGAAACGTATACTCCTTCACTATCTAAAAAATATTGGAGGGAGAAAATCATTTAACTATTTACCATTATTATGTTAAAGTTACCACATAAAGCACGAAAAAATATATTGTACACACAATGTATAAACAATGTACATTTTTTAATTTTTTCCATCTTCAAACTCACTTGCATGCATACAGTGAACCAAGAAAACAATTAGTTCTGAAAGAAAAAAGAATATAAACCACAGTACCTGGCACTTTTTTACAATGACAACACCAGAGTTTTTGTATCCTTTCTTCTTCTGTTTCTTCTTACTATTGATGCACTCAAACTCGGCCTGAGAGGAGCACAAACACACCACACAGGCGTCAGGAATATAATACATACATATCGTATATACGCTGTATATAAATACCTTCATAAGGCTTCATTGAATGCTTGATATACGACGTGGGAGAGATCTTTTGTATTTCAGCATCTGTTCTTTACATCTATGCTTAAGGAAAATGGCAAACCTGACGAACAAACGAAGAGGAAAAGCTTACTGCATATGTCTGTGATGCCTGCTGTATTTGGGAGAGTGTGGTCTGGAAGGATCCTATAAAGTCGTGAGATCCGCTGTTGTTGTAGTCGTAACAATCCACCTGGGAAACACAGACAGTTCAGAGAAGAGACAAACCCAGTCAATTCTCTTTGATTCAAGAAAATAATCTTATATTTAAGAGATTAACTACCACCAGTGTGTGAACATCAAAGCAGATGAAATAAAAGCATTAGGGATGTACGATATCAGGACAGAGAATTAATAATGGGAAACTGATAATGGGATATTTATATTATTATAAATTATCGTGAATTAAATGACAGCCGATACATTATTGGTTGATATTAATAGTAAGTTATTTTGAATTCTTATGCCAACTGGTTCATAGGCATTATGTTTTATGAAAGCCTGTAAGTGAAGTTTTTAATTAACTTCACTAGAAAAAATTCAGTCAGACCTGCTGTTGGTTGTTGTTGTTGTTGTTGTTGTGTTAACAATAGTGATGTCGTATGGTTAGAACAGAGCTATAGTATATTAATCATCCATCTTTACTTACTCCTCAGGTGTGTACAATGAATTTTAAAATAGACATACATCAGGTAATTATCGATTATCGTATCAGCTGAAAGAAAATCCATATTGTGCATCCCTAAAAAGCATGCTTTAGGGGTGAAGCCTCAAATGTAAGGTAACACCCTGGTATCTAACAGAAACACACACACACACACACACACACACACACACACACACACACACAAGGCTTCTAAAGGTCCCACTACCTCCTTTAGAGCAAGATTCACAGAGTACCTGCTCAGAATCTGCACACTGTATCTTCAGTGTTGAGGAAACAGGCAGAGACACAGCATGGAGCAAACTGTGTGATGGTAAAGTCAGTCTACAGGATGGAAAGCTAAGAAAGCTCATGGGTAACTAAAAGAAGGGATCCATCTTAACGGAAAAAGTCTACCTGTTGGGAAATTGTCCCATTGGTTAACTTACTTCTTGATACGCAACTTAATATTCATCAGGTGATTTAAATAATGAATGTGCTGAATAACTGCAGGCCGCTAGCATTGACAGAGAAATATGTCCTGTGCTTTAAAAACATTAACACTGAATACCTGATGGAGCCAGGTTTATTGTGAACAAGAACACACATATTGTGAGATCACTGTCTTCTATCACACATTAACTTCATATCCTGTATGCAGGGAAAAGGTCCATGCCAGTACAATTTGGTTGTACGTTGTTCACTTATTAACTAACATCAGACCTATCTGCATATCTTAAATTAATAAGCTTTTAAACCTGTCGACACGGAGCAACTCTGGTGACTATGCCATCAGATTTAACAGGTAAGTTGACCAATGTGCCAAACCCCTCAAATATTCTACTTATTCCTTTAAGACAGATGTAGGTGTGTCTAGGACTGTGGCCTGTCCTGTCACAGACACTGCAGAGCACTCACAGTGGGGACAGTAAACTCACTTGCACTGTCGACTGGAAAGCATCTCTTCCTGACAAGTGTGCTTTCACAGGGTTAGAGGGTGGGAACAAAAAAACAACATACATAAACTAATGCTAACACACATTTCCTTATTTGTATTTTCTTACAATGAAAAGGCAAACCATGAAACACCGTGGCCATGATTCAGTCTTTCCATTGTTTTACAAGACAATGAAAACGCATTAATGACCAGAAATTTGGGTTTTTGGCTGTTGATGTTGATGTTCAAGAAGTTTGATTTCCACGACAGATGGCCGGAAAAAAAAAATTGTAATTAATGTATGAAAAAACAACTGCTTCTTCTTATTTGTATTCTTTGAGTAAAGATGATCCACGGCTGAAAGACAAACCAGTTGGTAATAAACCCTTAATTTTGAGAGTCCCAGTCACCTTTTTACATATATTTACACATTTGGTAGCACTGTGAAAGTCAGGATGAGACAGGAGGGATTTTACTAAACAGCAGCCTGAAATATGAAATAAGCCAAAGCAGGTAAAACAATGCTTTTAGATTTTATGATGCCCCAAAATTCCTTCCCAACAGAAAGCCTGCATATACAGCACAACAGAAAATAGACAGAGGGCAGCTCGATCATCAGTCACAATGCCTTGCAGTCAAGTGTGTGAGTGAGTGAGTGTGTGTGTGTGTGTGTGTGTGTGTGTGTGTGTGTGTGTGTGTGTGTGTGTGTGTGTGTGTGTGTACCTTTATAGACTTCTCCACATCACCTCCACAGAGTAACTGCACAGGGATTCTGAATGGTCTCCATGTTGGGTTTAGGTTGTTTTTCACCACCTGCATGACAGCAGCAATCATAAACCAGTCTGACCATTGAAATGTATAAAGTGCAAACATTAATACACATTCTAGCTATGACTGTGCTTGCCCATGCACAGTCCAAGAATCCTTGAACCAGATAGCATGGTACACAAAGAGGTTTTTATATGTGTACCTCTGTCCTGTGAGCCAGTTGCCATCCGGTTTCTGTCTGCTTGTAGAATTCCAGGAAAGGGTCGGACTTGCCAAAAAAATCCTGGAGAGAAACAAGTAAACACATTACAGTCTTTCATCCACTGTCCTATATTGAAGGAGCTGAAGGTTAGCAGAATGGCTTTTTTTTTATATATAGATGTGTGTTACTGAAAAGCAGCAGATAACAGGACTTGTTTCCAAACTTAATGTTGCCTTCAGGGTCAACAAGCTTGTAGGAGAAAATCACTGAATGTTCTTCTATTCATTAAAAGTCACACGAGTTAAATTATTTCTGAATTTTCACTTCAATAGGGGCTAAAGAGTCTCAAGCGGCTCTGGAGCAACGATATCTTAATATTTCTGAATTCCTAAACATAATTCAAACGTACAATTGTAATCAATACCTTTTTATCCAGTTTTCTAGCTGCAGCTTCAAATTGCACCACCCTGTTGTCTGTCCTTTCTTCTGCACATATCTGCAAAACATGAGACAGCGTTGTGTTAAAAATATCACAAAGTGCAAATACACCAAGGAACACACTTACAATATCCTTAAACCGTCCAAATGTCACTGCCCATCTTAATGAAAGCAACTCACAGTAATGGTTCCTTTCCCTGCAGGTGTCTTGTTCTTCCGAAGAAGTGGTCTTGTTAGTGTCTTCGAGGACACAATCTGGACAGAAAAGACACTTTTTTGAATCACAGAGACTTATCTTAAAGCAGCTATCAGTGATTCCACAGAACCACCACCACTTCAAATGATCAGGACCAGTGTGTTTAACCCTAGTGAAGAGAAAGAAACACGATGAATAAGCATTTGTGATGATAAATGGTAACCAAAGAGGGGCTAACCTGTCCTAAGGTACACTCCAGTTCTCCCAGGAAGTCAGCATCTTGCAGATTGCAGTTTTCGCTGTCGATGTCGTACACTTCAAACCTCAGCTTCTGCACCATCTCAAAGTAGTAGTCGATGACAAAAGTCTTGGCAAACTTGGGATTAAGGGAGTTGTTGATTTTCTCCGTCCGGCCAATCTAACACAGATACATAATCCAGACTCAAGCACTTTTTCAGACTCACAGCAGGTACTGACACTGACAGTAAATACAGTGGGGGTATCTGACTTCACAATTGTCTCCCAATTACTGGAAATATTTCAAATTTCTTAAGGATGAGGATAAATGTGAATGTGGCTTAAATAGGAAAAATGCAAGGAAGGCAACCTGCAGTGTCTGCAGATATAAAAGGATTATTCTAAGGTAACAATTCTTATCTTATTTTCATGCGATTGTACACTAATGAAAACAGATTTATGAATATCACATTCCATTTCTGTCAACAGATGCTCCTAAATGTCACACACTGTACCTTTGATTGTACACTATATTTGGAATATTTTCACTGCTTTACCTTGCCGTCAGAAAGCCCTTTCCAACAGAAAACTGAAGCCGATATATGAGATCAAACAAACTATTTAGAGATGGAAAAGACCTTGGCACTGTTGGCAGGAGAGCCATGCAGCATGCATGGGAATGAATTACAATATATTTGACTTTCACTACTTGTCCGAATAAGTCGCTTGCAGAATGTCATCAACTGGGCAACACTGGAGTTGGCTCAAACTCACAGAGGCAGACTGAGCCGGAGGAGAGAGGTTTTGCTGTACCTGTTTGGGTGGCACGACTAACTTTTTTTTTTTTTTTTGTAAAAAAACAAGCATAACCGCACCTAATTCAGAAAGTTTACAAAAACATAAATAAAAAATATTAAATCTGCACTGAAACTAATTTCTAATATTTTTTAGATGCTTACTATTATGCACATAAGACCATAAATTAAATAGCTAGAACACTATTGTGGGTTTCTAGTGGCTTTAATATCCAGTTATGAGTTAGTAGAACAACCTTACCTCAGTCCAGTGGGGTCCTGAAGTGTTCATGAGAAGCACACACAGAGGGTCCGACTTTGAGAATGCATCCATGTCCAGCAGATTCTCGCAAGAGACGCTCATAACCACCTTGGTCACACAGTCAGTGGCCCCTGGCCCCTGGGCTCCCACTGCTGCCATCACAGCCTGGAGAACACACACTCAGGCACAGGAACTGCAATCATACACAGATAAATCAGCCTTACAAACAGGAAAGGCTATGTTCACACTGTCAGTCTCAGAGTGAAACATTTACAGTATATCTAAGCTGAAGTGACCTACCAGTACATGATTATAAAAGTCACATGAATTGTGATATGACTGCTCACACTGAGGTCACATTACAAAGACTCCTATCTGATGTGGACCACATATGAAAGTGCTTTGACTCAGATCTGAGTCTCATGTGAGCAAAGAAAAGTAGAATTGTGTCCATTTGGGTCGTTTAGTAAAATCTGCCAGCACTTGATCCACTTAGCCTCGTTTTAGTTTCAATATAACGTTAATGAAATATCGGGGTTTTCCATCGGGGTACTCCCATGTATTGTCAAGGGCGGTGCCATACAGTGGGGCTGTCGGGAGATTCAACCCCCTGAATTGGGCAAACGGTGCCAGCGTTAGCGGAAGCCTGTAGTAGATACATGCCGATACAAAGTAACACAGAATAATGAAGGAAACACAGTCAGTGTTTTCATCCGATCTGTCCTAAAGAGAATAGACATCAGCGCAACCGTTAACGTAACGTAGCTTAACGTTACGAAAACTAACGGACCAAATTAAAATGTAACCATATAACGTAAGTTAATGTTACGTTAACTTACGTTTTACTTACTGTCACTCAAATATATAACGTTAAAAAGTAACAGGTATTTATATTTATTTGTATTTAAATCTTTTTATTACGTTAACTTGAACTAACGTTAGCTAACGCCTAAAGTTAACGTAATTTTCGTAACATGACACGAAGAAACGTACGTTAACGTTAACGTTACAACATTTCGGTCACGCACACTCAAGTTAGCAACGAAGAAAACCTTTAACCTTTTTTATCTCTGTGTTTATTGTGACGGAGAAAACATAATGTCGAAAGCAGTCTTAGCTTTGCTCGTCCTACCTTGTAATCTAGCCAGATGTGTGAGCTGTTTTTGGTCGTAATAGCAGCGATGAACAGAAGCTAGCTGCGGTGGGCGGTGCCCGTTTCCAGTTAAAGGTACATCCGTCCGTCTGTTGCAATATCTTTATATATACACATCGCTGTATATATAGAAGATAAAAGTGGAATTTGATATTTGATTTAATATCACAGATTTGGAGAGACTTTGTGTACACGTTGAGAGTTAAGCAATTATGCAAAGGCCTAAAGACGACTCCCAGAAACAAAGCCTCCAATCTGGACTTCACGCCAGTTATTTGGTCAAAGCTGTAACAGTCAGACATGAGAGCATCAACAGAGCATACACATATATATATATCAATATATCTAATATATCCCCCAGATCCACCATGGTGAGCACCAAGGAGAACTGGGGTTCAGTGCTGTGGGCATGGACACCCAACATCCAGATTCCCCTGTTCCAAAGGTGAAATCAGAAAGTTGTTTTGAGGATTATCTTGCATGAGCCACCCAACTTGACCCCCCAACAGTCTACAGAGACTACAAATACACATTCATTTAATTGTAGTATGTTAGTTTTATTGGCAGTTCCATACAGTGTGAAATATATTTAGTTGGAAAGCTAGATAGATGATTGGACTGTGGTGCGACTTATGTCTACCAGTTGTAACATAATGTTCCCTTTATCAGAGTAATACCACAGTCACAGGGGACGCAACATCTTTGTGTTCATAGTTCAGGCTATGACAAACAAAAAATATCTTTTCACAGCAGGGTACAGCAAGCACTTATTTAACACTAATTTATAATACACATTTCCTTAAATTCAGTCACCATGTAGTATCACGGCAAAGCTCAAACTTAGTAAATTAAGTATCATGCTCAAATCACATCATCTTATACAAAAATTAAACTGTTCTCATGTACAGAAGCAACCAGTACTCGTTTCAACCAGGTCTGAAAGAACAGTGTCACATTAGTGTGATGGCGGCGGTGCTGCCGACGCAACCTTTTCCAACGTCTGACCACGACCCTTTCCCAGCTCACTGCCTGGACAGACAAAAACACACCACACACTATATGAGCCCACTGATTTCTCACATGTTTCCAACATTAAGACACAAAACTTGTGAAATAGGGGTTACAACACTGAGAGATTGTGCACAATAACAGCAGAGAAAAGACTGAAAAAAAACACAAGAAATAATACAAAGAAATAATAAGAAATAATAACATTTATTCAACAAAGCCATACATGTTAGATGTTACATTTGTAGTGGATAGTTCTGATTGCTCTCATTGCTTGGTGTTATCATGCACAATACAGAGCTATAATGTCTCTTGGTCACTACTTTATGTACTTTCAATTAAGTCAAGTCAAATTTAAAACATAACTGAACATACAGTTATGGATTTGACGTTAATTATGTGTTTTTATTGTGTTCTTTTTCATCCACATTCATTTCTTGGCATTGATTTGTGCCATTCCGTTCAGTAAATGCATAAAGAGGATGGAGATAAGCAGTAAATATGAGGTATTTAGGTTCATTCAACCAACCTTTCTAGGACGGGCCGGAAACATTTAACATATTAGGGGGTTTCAGCTTGTAAGAATTGAAGAAGGAAGATACTTGATCAGGCAGCTCCGCCAGGACGCTCTGGGCAAGGGCCACGCTATTTCCCTGCAATGACAATGTTACAAGAATAAGAGCTAGTCTTATCCATGTTTAGGACAATGCTAGCTAACATTATAGGGTCAGTTTGTGTTTTTTGAAGTGAGGTTGTATGAGGTATTTATCCATTAACACACCACCAGTTTGGAAAAGAAGACAGGAGTCCTGACATGGAAGCTAAGTGATATTACTACTACTACTACTACTACTACTACTGTGTGCCCATAATTCATAGAGTAAACTAAGTAGAGTAAACTGTATAATGGTTTTTATAGGTGGGCCTGAGAAACATTTTTCTGCATCCCCCGTCCACAGCAGTGCATTGCTTAGCTTTCGTGCCAGGACTCCTGTCTGCTCTATGGCAACTTCCATCTACTACAGGTAATACACTGACTGTGGATAAGTACCTCATACAATCCCAATTCAGAAAACCTGAACATCCCTTTAAAGAGTGCATGGTTCTGGGCTCACCTTATGCTGACCAATGAAATCAAAGGAAGGCTAGAAAGAAGGAAGGCGGGCAGGGTAGTGTTACATATGAAGAGCAGAGGGCAGTAGGGGGAATTGAAAAAATTAACATAAAACTGAAACGTGATACAAATTACAAATTGGTACTGGATTATGAACTATTCTACAAAGAAATATCCCATATACTGTATACAGTAACTCTGTTACAGAAGCATAAAGGTGTATATATACGTTAGGGATATTCCACTTTCGGGTGAAATTTATGGAAAATGTAAAAAGTTGATGCTACAGTGATATTATATCATGAAAGTAGGGCATTTAAGTAGAAGGTCAAATTAAGATCACCTGGAATGGTTATAGTGCATTTTATGTACATTCTGAAATTTCATCCGAAAGCCGAACATCCCTAACTTTTTGTGAGTAGTGTATATGCTGATGCTTACTTGGAAATCTCTGAAGGGCACAAACTGGACGATGTCTCTCGAGGCGACATCACCGTTGGGCGAACACAGCAATTTGTCATCACTGTCAAGGAACTCCATTGCGCTGAAGTCTGCCCCGCCTACACCCACTATGATGATCGACATGGGCAGACGAGAGGCCTCTACAATAGCGGTGCGTGTCTGGTCCATGTCTGTGATCACTCCATCTGTGATGATGAGCAGCACAAAGTATTGCTGCAGACGGAAAGAGAAAGACAAGACAAAGATCTTATATTATTGTTCAAATTTCCAGTTTGTTTGGCTTAATAATTGTCAGTATAAGTGACATAACCATTAGGACGCATCTTATACATCATTACAGTGTCTGAACAACATCACTTTTTATTGCTGAATTTTGTCATGGGAAATTTAACTAAGCAACAGTGTGAGCATGTTTATCTATTTATACATTAGATTTGACACAATAAACCTAATATGTTTTGATAGAAGCAACATTCAAATTGAAAACTGAATAAACTTAATAATTCACTACTTACTGAGGCCATATTTTGGCGGAGAGCTTGTTTGGCGAAGCAGGCTACATGGTTGATGATGGGAGCGAAGTTGGTGGGGCCCCAGAGCTTCAGCTGAGGTAGACACTGCCGGTAAGCATGCACCACACCCTCTATGCCTACAACACACACACATACACGAGCATAAGGTAGCATCAATGCAGCGTAGTTGAGCCACTTTTAACAGCCAAACACGGTCTTTGACTTACCTGCACAGAATGGATTTGCTGGGTTGAAATTGACAGGAAACTGATGGGAAACCTGAAAGCAAGATTCATAGATAGATTCATATTTATATAAAAGCTTTAGAATATAGTCCGTGACAATTTTACACCAACATCTGAATTTAAAAATGGAACGCGTCAGAAAAAAACAATCAACTTTGTCACAATGTTCCTATGTCCTTCAATGTTTATCTTGTCAGGAACCTGTAGTTTATTAGTCATTTCCTGGCTGCTGACACAAAATCAAATCACAAAGAGACCAATAATGAAGCAGTTTTAAAAGTACAATACACTACCAGGCAGGTAAATGACAAAATATATGGATAAAATCACTCTTAAACTGGAACTATCACATATCTTCAAACTAACCCTGATTTGGCTGTTGAACTGATTTTGAGTGTGTGCAATTATACATAGGTGTGGAAACCATACACATTGTGCTGTGCAGGAATCTACGGGTCCCGGATTGGCCAGAGAGAGAAAAAAAAAATGGATATATATTTTTCATCATAATGTAATGATTGCATGTTGAGTGCTTGAAATGTTATTGCATGCACAGAAGATACAATTCATTCCACCTATTAATATGTTCATGTGTTTATTTTGTATGTATGTTGATTTGGTATATTGTCATTGTTCAAATTAGTTTATTAATATTTTCAGAAACTCCATAGATAGTGAATTGGGGTATTGTGGAATAGTGGTAGTGGCTTTCAATAAAAGAAAGCTGATGTTACGTCTGTCTTACAACAGTTTGGAATTTTAAAGTTTTTTTTGACTTTTTTCACACCTGCCAGGAAGGAGGGACCTGGGCTCCAAAACCAAAGACAGGAAACATCTTGTTACTACACAGAAAGACAGAAAAAAATGAAGGTATGAAGGTATAAGGGAAAACAAGGCACATCAGTCAGTAGATCAAAGCTGTAAAACTAAATCCTCTAGTGTATAAGCACTGCAAGCAAGCAGACGTTTATAAAATCAGAAGATAGAAAATAACAAGTTACATTACATCTGACTGGCTTGGTAAATATTATCAAGTAAACAAATGGAAAAATATTCTAGATTTCTTATTATTTAGGCAAATATCTAATGTATGAAGACTGTCTTGAGATTTTCAGGAGGCTTTTTTTGTTGTTGAGCAGATCTCCTCTCTGTTAACTTTATTTACCTGTCATAGTCCTGGATGACATTACCCACTGCCCAGATGGCTGTCAGGTATTCATTATAGCCTTCAGGGTTTATATAGTGGAGGGACTGGGGAGTGCTGGGATCCCCGTTAGAGCCTGTGAAGTCAATGGCAATCTGGCCATGGTTGGGGAGAATTCATTTTAGGTTAATTTAAAAAATAAAATAAAATAAAACATAGAAACATAAATAATAAAAATAAATAAAAGTTAAAAGTAGTAATAGTATCTTGTGTTTGATATTTTCAAACTCACTGTGAAGTTGATTTGACAACCCCCCATAATATAATCCAGGAAGGTTAACTCCTTCACCACCTAAAAGGGTAAACATAGCATTAACAGCGTTATTTCTGTTTGTCTTAAAATGCATGGTCTAGACATTAATGAAAAGATGTACCAATGCAGTAGCTCAATGAGTAAAATTACATTTCCTAATTTCTAAATCGTTACCTGGCATTGCTTGATGCAAATGACCCCAGAGTTTTTATAGTTTTTCTTCTTTAACTTTTTTGGGTTAATGCACTCAAACTCAACCTGCAAGCGAGAACACGAGTCACATTTATGCCAGTTAAAATGACAGTAACAGGCTATTTATTGGCAGATCTGGAATTAAACACACACACAAAAGTCTCACCGGGGAAATATGCGTTCCCATTTGCATCTCCGCAAGTGTGGCTTTAAAGCTCCCAATAAGATCATGAGAGCCGCTGAAGTGATGGTCATAACAGTCAACCTGAAGACAAAAAAAGAGACTTCCTGTACTGGGTGACAAAATAAAAGCCAACACATAATAAGTTCAGAGACAGTAAACTAAGTATCAGGACAGGATGAGTGAATTAAGGTTGATTATCTAAAGCCATTACTAACATTTTTTGATAGTTATTAATAAATAAGTGCTGAGACATGCTTGTTCTGTCAGGGTGTAAAGACTCTCTGGTCATGGATGGAATATAAACATAATTAAAACTGTTTGTGGTCAGAAAGGAAGCTTTATCTTATCATTGGTCCAATAATAATAATAATAATAAGTCTAACCCCAATAAGATACAAAGGTCACACCTCACCTCACAGGAACAAATAATCAGTCATATTTTACTCTCAGTTATCAATGTAAATGCAGTACATGCAAAGAGAGTAAAAAGAACAGAGCAAAAATGCACACCTTTACGTAGTGATGTCACAAACTGTGCATGCATACACACATTGCTTATCCAGCTGGGTCGCAAGCACCCTCTTGCTTTAAGTTTGGGAGCATTGTAAGATGAAAAGAAAATGCAATTACACGGGAGGAATCATTAGTACGTTAGAGTAGCATTATCAATCAGGTGGATCTAAAATAAATCAAAAGGAGCAAACAATATACAGTTTTCACAACTTAGCGCATTCTTCGGGGGAGGGGTTGTGTTAATGGACTACAATTTACTGGGAATATTAACTGACATAAATAAATGAAGAAAAAAAATACCTTTATAGATTTTTCCACATGTCCTCCACAGAGTGATCGCAATGAGATGCGGAAGGGTCTCCATGTCGGGTTTAGATTGTTTTTTACCACCTACATAAACATGTGATGATGAGTCAATAATACTATGCAGGCAGAGGGATGAACAGCTAGTAAATATGTGTTTACCTCTGTCCTGTGAGCCAGCTGCCATCCAGTTTCTGTCTGCCTGTAGAATTCCAGGAAAGGATCGGACCACCACAAATACTGGACAAACAGATCCAATTCATAATTTACAGTACTTCAAGACATTAAGAGCAAATCAAAAGGCAGTAAAAATGATAAATAAAATGTCAGACCTAAATGTTTAAAATGACCATCAGTACCTTTTTGTCCAGCCTGCGGGCTGATACCTCAAAGTTTGCCACTCTGGTGTCTGTTATTTCTTCAGCGTAGATCTATTTAAAAAATAAAAATAAATAAATTGAATCTTAAAGATTTGGGCAATTTTGTACTTTGGACCACATGGCAGAAATAAATGCTTGAATTTTTTTTTGCCATTTCAAATGCAGAAATCGTGAATTCACATCAGTAAACAGCACAAAGCATGTTTGTGTTTTCTAACCCAGATGTGACCCGTTAGAATGATATGATGCTAAAGAGAGAGACATCAAAGGTCACCATAACCAACACAAGATGCACCTGTATCACAGAGTGACCTCCTTCAACAAACATAGCTAGGATCCTGTAAATCTTGGTACAGTATCATGATTCCAAAAAGCATCTAAAACCTTATAAAAACAGATTTGAAAAAATGTGTACATGCCTGTTTTGATCACACACAGTGGCATGGAGTTCATGTTTTAGGCATAAAACAAGCTTGTCCTATGTCCTAAGGCATTGCTTATCCCTAAATGAGACAAAGCGTCCACTTACTGTGATGGTCCCATGACCTGCAGGCCTCTTGTCCTTCAGCAACAACTGTCGAGTCATTTGCCTGTTAGAAACAACCTGGACACAAACACTGGCGGTGTCACAGAACAATGAAAAGGAGGAGGAACAACCAACGTTTTCTTTTAAAGACTGTATAAACTGTGGCTCACCTGGCCTAGGGTGCATTCAAGCTCCCCCAGAAAATCATCATCACTCAGGTCATAGGTGTTATTGTCAATATCATACACGCAAAACTTCAGCCTCTGCACCATCTCGAAATAGTAGTCGATGATAAACTTCTTGGCAAACTTTGGATTCAGGCAGTTCAGGATCATCTCTGTGCGGCCAAACTGAGTCACAAAAAAACAACCCAATCTAATGACTCGGGCTAAATCAGAAGCCAAATACATATAATATAAATAAATATATAAGAGAGAACATCAACTACTGTGCCAATAATACATGCAGGTACGTCTGCTTATTCAAACTAAGGCCTTAACTCACACACATATTTTGAACATTATGATTTCTCTTCCTGTGACCCAATACAGACCTCATACCACTGGGAGCCTGAAGTGTTGATGTACAGGGCACACAGAGGGTCCGACTTAGAGAAGATGTCCATGTCCATGAGGTTCTCACAGGAGATGGTCAGCTCCACCTTGGTGGCAATATGTAAGGGCCCTGGCCCAGGGGCCCCGCCTGAGGCCATGGCAGCTTGTTGTACTAAGATAACCACATAGATGCACCACAGATAATCATAATCAGAATATTGAGAATATTGAGAGGTGAGGGTGGTATGTTTACTCAAGTGTTTTGAGGTATTTGTAACGTTACTCTACTTAAATATTTCCTTTTTATATATAACGTTATATTTCTCCTCCACTGCACTTTACAACTACTTTTACTGATTCTTTATAACTACAGGACTTACAGGAGGTGACAAAGAGTATTTTTACATTATGGTATTGCTACTTTTAAATAAATACTCTGTAATAATACATCTTCCACTACTTTTTGTGTTAGTAATACAACTACATGTATTATTATCAGACTACAGCGGTAACAGGTTGTAATGTTATCGGCTACCGTTGGTCTCATTTTAACGGTTATTACAGCCCCTTTAACAGACCGTGTATGTAGACCCAGTATTAACACTAAATAGAGACACCAATTAAAAAATGTATAACGATAATGACATAAAGGAAAACTTGAACTAAGTTAAACCTTTAACTTTACTACAAATGCTAAGGTTGAGACCTGTGAGCGGGGCACCAGTTAGCCTACCGTTACCGTTACCGTTAACGTTAGGTGGGTGTGGCAATGTCTGGAGCACTACAACAAAAACAACCACTATAAATATATATTGTTTCTTCATACCGGTTAAAATCTTATTGAGGCATATTTACCTGTTTAGTTAGTTGTTGAAAAATATAAATATTTGTCCTGCCTCTGGTCGTACGTGAATAGGTGACGTTTATGTGACAAGAACAGCTGAACAACGGAGGGGGCGGAGCTAACCTAGCTAACTTCTTTAGCTTTATCTAGCTATCTAATGACGGAACCTTCACGAGGTCTTGTTTCCTACCGACGGCATATAGAGAACACATTTCTCCGGGGTGCATTCAAGAAACCAATTAAATAGCTAACCGCTGTAACATGCAGCCTTTTTGTGCTGTTTTTGCCTTCAAACTTATTTCTCGCTGATGAAAAACAAAAAGGCTTTAGTTAAAGTGCTGTTTTGATTTGGCTTCGCAGACTGCTTTATGGTCTTTTTATTAGGGAATATGTATACAAACGTTTTAAAGGTCTATTTGTCGCATACACACAGTATATGTATTACGCTGACTAATCTCTAAAGGAAAATAGAAAAAAAGAAATTATAAAGATTCAAGATTTTTTTTAAAAAGAAGATAAATATATTTTAAAATCTAACAATAACATATAATGTATGTGTGTAAGTCACGAGACTAACATGCCCAATTATTGACCTTTAGCAACGTCCTGTGTGTGTGTGTACTCTTGAATGCTCCCTGTGTGTGTTGGCGAACGGCCCTCAGTTCGTGATGCCGTCGCACTAATGTTCCTGATCACTCTGCGTTTGGACCTTTGACAGGATGGCCGGGGTCGTGCTGCGGCGGTGTGTGAGCACTTTACTGTCAACATCTGGGGCCAAAAGCATCGGAACCAGAGGAACCAGAGGAACCAGAGGAACCAGCAGCTATTACAGGACCGCTTTAAGAAGAACTGCCACGGCTCTTACTGTAAATAACCATTCATTTTATTCTCACTCATGGTACAGTGTTGTTATCCTGCATGAACCTGCTCACTGTTACCTGCACACACATGCCCGAGCGCATGAATGAGTTACGCTTCAGAAGAACAGGGCTGTTATTGTAAAAGCGAATGAAGGTAAAAGGTCAGCAGTCCTATCAGAAAGCTGCTTAGCTGTTAAAGTTTAACAGGTGTCTAGTGATGATGATGAGGATGATGATGAGGATGAGGATGACTGTGTGTAATTTACCTAAATTCTAGTTTAAGTGCTAAAATCCTATCTAAATGGTCCAATTCAAACCGTACAATGGCCATGGGTGAGTGCAGGGATCTGTGTCAGGTTACCTTGGTTCAGCTGAGACTGATCATTGTGAATAATGGCCAGCAGCCAGGCATGCTTTGTTTTTATGTTTGAACTCTCTTTCTAACTGAAGTTGTCCCTTCATTAGTTCCCTTATTTGTCTTTTATGTCATTTCCTTTCTTGGGTGCAGAGTGGAAGAGCTGCATTCCTCCTGGGGATCCCAACGCTGTCCTGTCTGGGTTATGAAGCTTATCACAGAGTGCAGAGTTCAGCCGTGGTCCACGCTTTGGAAAAAGGTATTTGGTGTGTAAGATGTGAGAAATCGATCAAATATGTTGGTTTTTTTGGTGGTTGTATTAGTTGTACAATACCACAATCCTAATCAGCATGTCATTAATAAACTGTCTTTCAATGACAACTTTTAGGGGCAGCGTGAAGGAAAATGGAAAGAGAGAGAGTTGAGGTGTAGTCTAATAAATGAGCGTATGTCTGAGTGAATTTGCTGCTGTGTTTTGTGTCCGTGCAGAGGAGGTGTTGGAGCAGGCTGACTACCTGTACAGCAGTGCAGAGTCAGAGAAGCTGTACCAGCTGCTGCTGCAGTACAAGGACAGGTAAGGAGAAACTGCAGCCATAACCAGCTCTTCTCTGTTGTCACTAGAAGTTTATGTGTCCTGTTTGGGTGCATTATATTTTTTATGTGATATTTTTTATCCCTGCTTATTGTTTTTAGTACATCTACCAGTTCCTTTATGTGATACTACCACCAGAGGTCACCAAAGTCAAACATTTATACACATAGTGAGCTCAAGTTCTGACTTTGTTTCCATGAATACTGCATCTATAACATCAGTGGTGGACAATAATGAATAATTAATTTGTCACATATATCTGTATAACCTCATGGGAGTGGTTGTGTGTCCGTCCAGTGACGATGCAGACTTTCTGTGGAGGCTGGCCCGTGCGTCTCGTGACCTGTCCCTCCTGCCCAACATGGAGGCCGGGCGGAAGAAGCAGCTGGTGTTTGAGGCCTTCGAATATGCGAAGAAGGCACTGGAGAAAGACGACGAGAATTTCTCAGCGCACAAAGTAAGACGGTCGTCTCACTGAGGAGCCACTTTTGATTCAGCTCCAACAGGTTTCTCAGAGAAAGCATGCGTTTACACTTGCTGATGTTTCCAAGTTTACCAACCCATTATGGCACAGTACAGTTTCTTTTAAAAGAACTTTAAGAAAATATTCAAAAAGGCACAAAGGTCCAAACTCTCAACATTCTTCCCCTCCCTCACACAGTGGTACGCAGTATGTCTCAGTGATGTCGGGGATTACGAGGGAGTGAAGGTGAAAATTGGAAATTCCTACATCATCAGGGAACATCTAGAGGTGAGAGGACATTCGGGTCAATGTCATATTATCACTGTATCACATTTATCTGTATTCTGAAGTGAAACCTGTGCTTTTTCCTAGAGAGCCATCAAGCTCAATCCCAGTGATGCCACTTCCTTACATATTTTGGGTTACTGGTGAGTCTTTAGTTCCACCTGTGGCATGGGCACAAGCTCTACGTCACACACATGCTAACACACACATGAAATCAACCATAGAGAGCCAGTACTGACGACAACTTTCTTGCTAGACTTTTTCAAAGGTGAGAAATATATTGAAATATATTGTAATTAATTTACTTGCAGGCTGTTCAGAGTAACCACAGTCAATGGCAGTGCTGGGTCTCTCCCTCTCCTCTTGTGCCTTAGGCTGTCAGTAGGTGTGGTTTGTTTGAGCTTCTCTTTCTCTTTTTCTCTCCGGATCTCTGGATTAGGGTGTTCCTATAGTTTAGCTTATATGTAAATACTTTGTTTGAGCTTGTAAGTATTTAAATACTTTGTTTGATCTTTTCCCTCTTTTTTTAACTTCAAAAATATACGATGAGTTTGTGATTATTTGGCTAAATAATAATATATGTTGAGTGTGTGTATGTACATTTCCCTCACCGTATACCAATCAGAAACAGGTTTGCATAAGCACTGCAGTTTGCTGTGATGTATTTATTGATCAATCAAAATGAAAGAGACAGTAACTCAACCAGTGACTAAAGGAAAACTGACTGTTACCAAACACCTAGGTTGATTTCATTGTTTTATTCAGGTATAATTTTAGCAGCACTTCCATGGCAGACCAGAGTGAGTCAATGAAGTGATGCGAGTTACTGAAATAAAACGATAAAATATACTTTTTTATTACGTAAAATAAAATTTTAAAAAAACTTTTGGGGGGAAAATTTGGGACATTCTGGGACAATTTGGGAGTTGAAAGTAGAATTTAGGTGAATTGCGGGACACTGAGGAAAAATATATCGAGCTCTGATGGATACAAACTTAGACAAGCCAAGTCTGTTTTACATTTGACAACTCTCTTTCTGGAGGCTGAGGAAGTGAAGTTGGCGGTGGAATAAGTGTTTTTGATGTCGGAATGGTGGCAGTGATGAGGGTGAAGAGGAGAAAGTGTTGGCAGAAATATTGCAGTTGTCACTGTTTGAGGCCCTGAGAACGCAATCGGCACTGCATGTAAACCAGATGGAAAGAAACAGCAAAAAAACAAAATTGCATGAGACTTAAAGATACAGATGGTTACCATATGTTCTTTCAAAGGGGAATAATATTTTTGTTGTTTTGGAGAAAAAGATGTTCTTGTCAGTGTTGTTGCGATTCCCCCTGATTGCCACTGGAGGTTAACAGAGCTGTAGTCACTTTTAATCTAGTGTTTACTGGATATTACTTCACTGCAAAAAACTGTAGCGTGCCACAAGAAGTCCTTCATTTTCTTACTTACAATGAATAGAAATGACTAAAAACCTTTTGATACCACTCTGCATGCCCTTTCTGATCCACTGCGATCTGCAAACACCAGGAAGTACACGCTCATTCACTGTCCGATGTAATCAAAACTTCAACAGACTGAGCGTGCTAGCAGCGAAGGGGTTGCAGACAACACCCAGTTCTAGTCTGGGAACTTCGCTGAATAAAGGACCACTTTTAAAAAGGAGCCTGTGAGTCTATGCTCGCAGCTCTGTGAGGCACAGCAATGCTCTGAGCGAAATGCTAACATGCTGATAATTAGCAGTTATAATGTTTACCAGGGCAGACCTTATGTCCAAGCTGTCCCTACCGTGCCAAATGATATATTATTAGAGCTTAAAGGCTTTATTATTAAGGGAAATCTGTATGTTTTCACTCTCTAAGGTGCTTTGCTTTTGCTGAGCTGCCATGGTATCAACGCAAGGTGGCGGCTGTCATTTTTTCGTCACCGCCTACGTCCACATACGAGGAGGTGAGGACTCCTCGGCATATGCAACTCTTTCTTTGTCTTGTTACTTACTGCTCAACGGTTGACTGTTTATTCAGCTTCAGGCTGAAATTACATGTTACTTGTCTTAACTTTTTGGTTTGGGCCTGGAGGATTACAAACATCTTAACACATGTTAATGAAGTCATGCTTCTGTGTCTCTTGCAGGCTTTGGAATTCTTCCTGAAAGCTGAAGAAGGTAAAACACAGCATGCTAATAAAGTCGCTGGGGCAGCTGCTGATCTCCTGTTGGCTGCAGCTCAAACACTCAGACAGCACTGTGCCTGTAAATGTTTTATTCAGAGGTTTAAATGTATTCAACTTACACACAGTCCTGTGCATTTCTATATTTTTTCTCAGTTGATCCAAACTTCTATAGTAAAAACCTGGTGATGCTCGGGAAGACCTACATGGCCATGAACGACAAACAGAAAGCACTGCTGTGGCTGACCAAAGCAAAAGAGTACCCTCCTCACACACACGAAGACAAAGAGGTACATACACCTAGACCACCAACTTGTTGATTTACTGTGTTTGTACTTGACCCAGATGTAATAAAGTTTAACCGTGAGGAAGATGTAGGAATTGTACGTGCTGCTGTGAACATACTCAGTGGGTTTACAGTATATTTGTTCCTCTGCAGGTCCATAAAGAAGCTGTCGACCTCTTGAAGAAGCTAGGATGAAGCTGTGATCACCACAGAGAGGAATAGGATGCCTTTGGGGACTTTAGGGCTGTTAATATTTGCTATCATGCAAATAAAATGCTAATGTTTTCTTTCTATGATTTTATAACCACTAATACAGTAGAACTGTGAGTGGCCTTGCACACAGAATGCCTTTAAGAGATATAAGGTCCAACCATCAAAGCTGCAACATGCAGCTTTTGATATGGCAGTGGTAAGCAGGATCTACATGGTGTCTATATATCTATTAATGCCTGGCTTTTGTCTGACAGCTGGCAGGGGTGAGCTGGGCTAAATGTTTGAAAACGGTGAACATTGTCACTTTCTTAAATTCATTCAATAAATGTAACCAATTTCATTACGAAGCTGTATCTGTCTATCTGGAATCAAACATAAATGTTATAGTAAATATTAAATATTATAGTAAATGTTAAAGTATACACATTGACTGCGGAATGATGGGTTTTCTTCAGATGAAAATGATCTTAATTGTTTGTCTTTTGAGCTTTAATGAATCCATTCCTGGATATAGAAGATAGTCTGTGGAGTGTTCAATCTACCTGAAGGTATTTCTTTTAACCAAATGATGAATCAGATTTGAGAGAGAGGTGCTGTTAAATTGTAACCTGAAATATCTGAGGATTATAGTCATTTTATTCCAGATAGGTCAGGGGTTGAACAGTATGTTCCCTGTGTTCATTGGGTACGCACTACTCACAGAAGTCGACTGAAAAACGTAAACGCTGGCAGAACGACGGTGTGATATTGTGGTTATTTAATAAACCAAACCATGAACATCCTGGTCAGCTGTCACATTATTATAATGGCTGCTTTTTCATATCTGAGTCGGTGGTGACAGTCTCAGTGAGGTAAAACAGCAGGCGTATACCTGCCCTGTTATTGTAGTTCACTGAGGACACGTCATATGTTCAGTCAGGTCTATCTCACACTGTAGCCCACGTAAAAAAATTATCTTAATCAATCAGTGGGAAAAATGTGGTGGAAAAGTGGAGGCTGATTAGAAGGCTATGTTACAGATATATTTCATATATTCATTTAATAACTCTGACCCAGAATCAGGGCTGTTAAAGGAATATTTCATGTCAAATGCCCTCTAAAAAGCCATTGCATGCAATCTAGACGTCTAATGAACTTCCACCTCACTTGCAAATTTAGCAGGTGTTCACATCTTTTGACATCCAGATTAATGCTTACTGACATTTATTTTATATTATTATGGGGATTCATTTTCTGTTTGTATAGGCTATTTCTAAACTACATTTTAAGTTCTGCAACCAAGTAAAAATCCAATAAGTCTCAACAGTACAGGAGGCACAGCACAGGTGCTGCTACAGAATAAATTAATTAAAAACTGCATTTCCAGCTGAAACTGTGTGAATGCTGACAATTGTACCAACAATGAAAAGCACTGCTGAAAATGCAGAAATAAACTGAAACCTGAATTTATTAACTTGTCCTTTTCCTGACCAATCGAGTCACGCCACCGGCCCTACAGTTAAGGTGTGTGGATATGTGGCATGAGCTCTGAGGCTGTAGTGTTTGCACTGTGGCAGTGAGTGCCCTTATTATAGATAGACATTTGAATAGTTTCTGTGGCTGTATGCAGGAGTTGACCTAAAAACATACAGGAAAATAAAAGGTACCTGCTCTTGTCACAGCCGTGTGACAAGAAATAAAAATGAATTCAAACCAGCTGTAAAGATGGTCAGATACATTTATTAAATATGGTTCTTTCCACAGGCAAGATCCAGTCAAAACAAAAGATAAACCAAGAGCACATTAATTTATTTTTCTTTCAGAACAGAAGAACCAGTTTTGTTGTGCATCCTGAGCAGAAGGCCTCTCACCCCCCGATAATCACACAACAAACAAAGGAAAGCATGGTCATGGAGGGGGTTTATTCACTTATTTATTTGTATCTCATAAATCCATCTCTCTTCATTAAAATGGGTGAAAGCAGATTAAAAATGAATCTTCTATACACATCGTCTCCAGTAAAGGGGCATTCTGTACAGTGTAGTTGGTGTTTACAGTGTGTATCTACACGCGATATGTTACAGTTTGGATGCGTTTCAGATTGCCTAAACCGCAGCCAGCAGCGTTCCCTGCAGCGTATTCACGTACTGAAATGATAGACAGCATCATGACTCGGCTTTGCTTTGAGGGAATCCACCTGTCCAGGTGATCTTTAATCTTGTTACTTGCTGCGATGGAGGCAACCTGAAGCGTCCCATCTATTTCTGATAAGAACAAAGGCATCACAGATTTCCATCAATGGAGCGTGGCTCTGTGTAATTAATTATAATATTTAAGTACTTTATTTACTTTCATTATCTTTATACAATGAATATTCACATACACAGTTGATTTTCTTTGATTACAGGTTTCCGTTCAAAAGGAAGCACAAAGTTATGCAGTTTTGACTTCTCTTAAGAGTCAGCTCCTTTTGCTACAGTAAATGATTTTCTTCATACTGTCGTCCCTCCTTCCAGCTCTTCCATAGGGACAGCTGAATACATGTTATATACATCACTGTTAACTTGAGTAATCACAAGCTCCTCCTAGAAAGTCTAAAGCAGCTTGCTGCTGTCTGCAGTGGTCTGAAAAAAACACAATGCTAAGAGAAAAGAAGGAGAATGGCCTGCCACTGCCAGCTTTTTATCCTGCGTTTAGACTGCTGACTGAAAGAATAAGCACCAGAGTTGTCACCTAGAAACAATGGAGTTAGACGTGACATTTTGAAAAACAAAGGGCATGTCCCCTGAAGCATTTAAGGAAAGAAAGGACAAGGGGAAAGTGGGGGTGCAAAAACAAAAACACACAATTAACAATGTGATGCATCATCAGGCTTGCTGCTGTGAGTTGCACTGTGGAAGGTTTTCCACACATTATTTGGTCTGTGGCACATTAGTGTCTCATCAATGAAGTCTTCTAATCATTATTTGTATGTGAATTGGGCTAGTTTTGTTTTCTGCAAACAGCCTTGACTTGACTGATTTATACACACATATCATTATTAAACTAAGGCTCTCTCATCTCAGCACAAAACCTGAGAATCAGACTGAACATGGAGGAATAAATTAAACTGTGTAATCTGAGTGGGCTCAGCACTATTGCTTAAATTTTGTTTTGCTTTACTGTAGTCACACTGTTGGAAATAGCAGATACACACTGTATGTGACAGAATTGTTATTTTCCAACAATACCGTACAGGGTTATGACCCGTGACTTTCAGAAGCCCAAAATTTCAGCCCCACAGAAATGTTAAAATGCTTATTTTTTTATTTGGCCAGTGGCTGCTCTGTGATGCCAGCATGCAATATTTGTATATAGTTGTATATGTTTCTATATGTTGCTTTCAAGACACAAAGTTTGATTGACTTTTTTAATCCAGCGCCCCTGATCTTCTTTATGATCACTGGCCAAAATAAAAAATAAAGACCTCATTATATGTGGAACTTAGAAAGACATTATTGCGTTCAATGACTACTCCAGTTGTGATTAATGGTTGGTAATTAGTGAGAAGCTGAAACAGCTTCTTTCAGTACATATATCAATGTGCTGAAAGGAGGACATTCATATGAATGAGGAGTCCCTTGGACCTTATTACAACTCAAGATGGATGGATGAAATATCATAAGCTGCCTTTGATTTTAATGGTTACCAATAACTGAGGAGTTAAAGTAAATGTGATCTTCCTGTGCTTTGCAACAGTGGCTTCATATGACTGGCATCACTTTACAGAGATCACCAAGATTACCGAGATCGGAACTGAATGAAGCAAAAGAGAATCAGTCAAGCACACAAGAACCACTGAGCCAGAATCTGCTTTTTTCCTCTTTTTGACAATTTTCCAAACAACTCAATCTTTGAACAAAAACTGTGAGATGTCATCCTGGTGTGTATCTTTCTTGCTAACTGAAGCAGTGGGCTGCAGTCTAGGTGGAACAGAACATGGCCAGAGGTCACTGGCTTAAACATCAGAACTATGAACCACAGACCCCAACGCCACCACACACACATTTCACTCTTTTACTTAAACCAAGTATTTTCCTTGAATCCCCTTATTCCTTTTGATAAAGTAGCTGTTCTCCACCAACTTCACGACACTGCTGTCTTTACTCAAATGGGAGGATCCGGTGATACTCTGGGCTGTTGTCCAGAATGTCATTGAGGGGACAAATGCATGAGGGTTATTCTTCATCTGCTTCAGGTCAGTCAGTCCTGAACACTTTGCCTTTTTGACGATGATGGTAAAAATAAAAAATAAACTCATTAAGAGACAGAGCATCCATGCTAAAACGTCTTTGTTTGTGTATGTGTGGTGGTGGAAGCTGGTCACAGCAGTCTTCTCATCTCCAGAGGCAGCCATGCAAGCACACAAAAATTGCAAAATAATTACTATGGGTCCAACAGGGGAGAAAAAAATTCAGGCACCAGACCCCAATACTACTTTTGCCTTTTAGAAGCTCTATAGAACTAGAGCTTTAAAAGAAGATTGCGCTTCAACTATAAAATCCTCTCAAAAACACTTTTTAGTCTCTTTTAAAAAGCCAGTCAGCAGTGGGGAGGAAATTAAAAAAATATCCATGATCACGATGAAAATGATCCATGAGGAGCAAAAATGCTGAAATGCTTGCATATTTCATGATGGGGTATCATATAATATATAAGGGCTGGGGAACAGGATTGCGGCAAAAATGATGCTGCAAATTAAGATTTGGTTTAAAATGACAAAATAGCTTATATACATTGGTGGTTATTTTGTGCAATTTTTTTCTTTGTTTGTTTTTACTTGGCTGAATAAACAGCGATGGGGGAGGGAGAGAAATACAAGAGGACTCCTCCCTCTATTCTTGGCCAAATCCTTCTGTTTCCTCGATGGCAAAGAGCAGCTTCTCTTTCAGCTGTTCGAAACTCTTGTAAGGAGGCAAATCCAAACGGTTAAAACTGAAAAGACAAAAAGGGAAGACCAAAGATCAGCACACGGGCATGGTATGTCATGTATATGTTACTATATGTTAAGTTATTAGTTGCTTATTACTTTTACTGTTTCTAGCTCGTGCCATGGTGTTAAGTCAATTCATTATTATTACCTATCTGAATCCTAATTAAGTACTAATTTCTGTCAATCTCCACTCACCACGTGTGGCTCCGAGGAAGCCATGTGTCCTTTCCCACCTTCTCAATACAGAACTTCTGGGGGCCATTACTTCCTGCAATCCAAAAGAAGATGAAGAATTATATGTGTGTGTAGTAGCTCTGTGTGTCTGAATGATAATGATGATATAGTAAATGTGTTCCTCTTTGTGAGTCTGTCTGACACTGACCCATGAGTTCAGCGAAGCCGCCCAGAGGAAGCCTGCAGGTTCCAGTGACAAACTGCATGAGCCGCAGTCGGACTTCATTGTCCACTTCTTTCACCAGCTGCAGGGGAGGAAGTGACAACAATCAGTGACCAGAGACCACTGACTAGACCATCAGATGATATAATATCATTTCAACATGAACTCAAATGAAAACCAGTAAGGTGCAACACCTCTGAATATTGTGTTTCTATTCTGCCCCTTTCAGTGATTAACAGTAGAGGGTAGCGAGTACAGACACAAGGTGTGTGTTTGTGTGTGTGAGACCGTACCTGCCAGAACCAGATGATCTGTTTGCTGTTCCTTGTGTAGTGACGATACACTGTGTTCCTCTGCCAGTCCTGCAGGTCTACTTCCTGCATGCCACACAGCATCACCTGGATCAAACACACATGTATAAGCACATAAATGACACAGAGAACACAGGGGTGGTGAAACGTTTTACTCTTTATTCTACATAATGAATGGAGTTCAATAACTTTATTTCAGTAACTCCCAACACTTCATTGACTCACTCTGGTCCGCCATGTAAGTTCTGCTAGTTGTTCCCTGTGCTCTGAATAAAACATTGAAACCCCTCTAGGTGTTTGGCCACAGCAGATTTTCATTTTTTAGTTAGAGTTACCGTTTATTTCAGTTTGATCAATGAATGCATCACTGCAAATGCTAATTTCTGATTGGTGTACGTTGATGGAAATATACATGCACACTAGGGGTGTAACAAAAACCGTTTTGAATCGGAAAATCTATTTTGATTTCAAAGATGCGAGTGCATCTGTACACGGACTAATGCATCGGTCTTAATGTAGCTTGAACCGGCCGATGGCCTGATTAAAAAGTTATAAATCGGTTTATGCTGCTGATGCAGCAGCAGCTGCTGAAAGCTGCATCTCTCTCTGACTGTCTCTTGCTCCCTCCCTTAAAACTCTTGCGAGACTCGTCGCAGTTACGTCAGATAGCGCTGTGAGTTTGTGAGGGAAATGGCTGACTCGGGCAGGATTCACAACGCTCCGGCAAGTTTAAAGTCTAAAGTGTGGAAGAAATTCGGATTTTATTTGAAGAATGGAATACTGGATAAAAGCTTTGCTATATGCAAAGACTGTAAAACTGCGATAAAGTACTCCGGTAGTACGACAAATCTCCACACTCACTTGGTGAGACGGCATGGGGAAACAGGCGAGGAGGAGGCTAGCACAGATAGCACAAAGACACCGACAGAAATACATGACTTATTCCAGCCAAAACTCACCCACAACTCGACGAGAGCAAAGGTAATAACGGCCTCAATAACCCGGTTCATTGTTAAAGACATGACACCACAATACCGACTCGACAGCATTTCACCAACAAGTGCGTACCAGAGTTGTACAACAAAGTTAAGGATGAAGTCAAAGAACAGCTATCCAATACAGAACGAGTGGCAATTACCACCGATGCCTGGACATCATGTACCACTGACTCCTATGTGACAATCACAGCGCACCATATCTCTCCCGACTGGGAGCTGAGGAGTCATGTTTTACAAACCAGGATATTCAATGAAACAAAATGTACAAGGGATGTCTTGACATGTTATGTTCTACCTCACTAGCTTATTGTGCCTTGATCTGAGGCTACACATATCTCTGTTGTTTCTTTGACTTTAATTAACGTTGGGGAGCTCTTACGTGTTGTTACATGTTAATAAACATGACAAAAACTACAAATACACTTCTTCTCTAGTCTTTGATAAATCTTTTTGAAGGAAATGCCACATTTACAAGTTAATTCATTTTATGAAATGATTGTCTACTTTCAACAAGAAATCCATTTCATCATACCCTCTCGAATTGAGCCGTGCCACATCGAATCGAAATCCTTCTGAATCGAATCGTTCCATTTTAAAATGTATCGTTCCTGAATCATATCGTACCCCATGTATCGAGATACGCATCGAATTGTCTTCTATTGGAGAGATGCACACCCCTAATACAGACTTTGAACATGATTAATATTTAGCCAAATAATCACAAACAAAAATAACTGCAAAGGAAGGAATAAAATCTAACAAGCTATTTAAACATTTACAAGCTCAAACTATCTATTTACATATACAAACTATAGGAACACCCTAATCCTGAGATCTGGAGAGTAAGACTTGGATGGTCAAACGTGCTCCACACAGCACACCTACTGACTGACTGCACACGACACAAGAGGAGAGGGAGAGACCTCTCTTTGACTGATTTTGGGTGCACATGTGACGTACCATAGAGCTTGTGCCGGTGCCACCTCACATTTTTTGATTTTGAACACCTAACAATTAAAATAATGATAAACTTAATCAATCAATTTGTGATGATACATTTCTCTACTGTCTCAGACCTGCCCCAGATACCCAATCTTGTGTCCCAGGTGTTACTTTTATTGTCCATGGGACAACAGGACATCCCTAATTTTGAGCCCTGGCAGAATAAACCAAAAACAGACAGACGTAAAAGGAGAGATGCATAAGGGGAATTCTCTACAGATTAAGAATAATTTTTTACACACATTATCATCTTACTCAAGTAATGATTAATTAACCAGATTGGTAACTGGGATAAAAGCTCTGTCGAGTGGGGTACGTTATTGGGATTAAAATAAACACACATTAGAAACATGACAACAGAGATCATTAACAGCATTAACATAGACCGGAGCATGTTACTGCACTACCAGCATCGGGGATGTTGCTCACCTCAAGCTCCTTTTCATCAAAGTACTGGAGCCACTGGAGTGGAACCACCTCGTTGAAGCCGTCCAGGAAAGCTTTAGTCTGACCTTCTACCCCTCGAGAGAACCTCCATTCTGCCATTAAACTGCAAGGCAGACGGCAAGAATTACAGTCACTCTCAAAATTATAGTCAGATGTCACTTTCATGATAAAACAGTGGCTATACTCAACCTGATATACTCCTCCTTGTTCTCCTCAGTGACTAGAACATTGGCGCCATCAGGTTTGAGGTCATGAGATGTGATCTTCCCCAGGATCTCCATGTCTACTGAGAAGTACATTTCCAGACCACACTCTTCAATGTTGTTGTCCCTGAGGAGAGATTAGATTGTGTTGTTGTCACAGTATAATCAGGTCAACAGCTCATTGTTAAATAAAATAATTCGAAACATATCCATCCATAAGCATAAAATCTGACTGCCTTATAACTATAAACACTGTCTGAGTTTCCAGTGTTTGTTCTTGCATCTTGTGATGCCTGCAGTTAACTGCTTCATCCTCTCTCAGCATCCTGTCTGTTCTGCCTCTTTGTGAATAGGAATCTTCAAACAGTTCTTCGAACAGCTCTAAGCTAACGTTAGTTATCATCTATTGTTGGCTTGAATGGTAGCTGGCTTACGGCTGCAGAACACAGTTCTCTATAGTAGCTAACGCTGACTGCCGTGGGCTTTGGCTGCTGGCCTGCCATGGGCGGGCTGCGCGGGGGGCTGGGGTGGTTGGCTTGGGCCACCGGGGTGCACGGAGCTCGGGCTGCGCAGCGCGCTGCACGGGCATGAGATTGATTTGGCCAGCGTTGGTGCTTGCTTGTTGTCTCCTTCGCGAATGACAAAGCGGTGCCCCTGTTTCAGAGAGAGAGCTAAGATGTGTTGGTTAGCCTAGCACCACCAAAGTGCACAGCTGCTAGATCTAGCTAGCGGTAGCAAGAAGATTGCAGTAGCTTTTAACGTTATCTGTCTAACGTTAGCTAACTCACGTTAATCGTCCAATTAGTCGTTAGATTAGTCGACTAATCGATAAACTGATCGCCTGATTAATCGTTTAATAAATAATTGTTTACCCCCAGCCCTATTGTATATACAACGCTTATTGTATATACGTCCATAACTGAACAGCGATCCCTTCCTGAGGTTTCTCACTTATGTGGAGTTCTTGCTTATATTTGTGATTCTGGGCTATAGATACACAAGGGACTTGTCTCGCCTGTGGTGTTTTTCACGCATGCAGTTTGGCTCCTGTGGCCCCGACCAAAGAAAATGATGATACATAGTGGCCTTTTGGTTCAAGTCTGTTTCAGGGTCACACTGACTTCATACAAAGGGTGAAACAAGGGTTGAAAACATATATAGAAGTTCATGTCTCTCATTCATTGGACACTTTAGGCTTGTTATTTTGCATTACCATACACAACACGCAGCTCAGGAAGAAATACTATAGTTGGTAATAAGTATTAGTTGAAAACGCACGTGGAGCAATAAACTAAACCATGCTTTCTGCTGTCAGAAGAATACAGTTACATTCTGAGGGCTATATAGATTGAAGACACAAATTACCTGATCCATATAAGTGAGTTGTAGAACTCTGGGTCGATGGACTCCAGATCTTTGAGTATTAGCTTCTTGTTCAGCATGCGTTTATAGAAAGGCAGAGAGAAGCCTGTGTCGATGAACTTGCCGTGGAAAAGTGCCTGCAGCAAGAGACAAATAAAAAGAGAAATTAAATTGTTATTACTGTGCTGCTCAATCTGAACATACATGGTATTTAAGGTGGTATATCGATCACATGACAGATCAATGTACAGCTTCAGACACTAATCAGATAAAAGCATGATAGCTGAAAACATTTACTGAATACAGCATGGTGTACTGGAGAAAATAACAATCTGAAACTATGAATAGATTGTGCGCAGTCTGGTTTGGTCATTTTAGTCAACATAATTAAGGTAAAAATGTCAGCCTATTTCACTAGGTGTTAATGTTACCAGGACTATTTGCATGTGAACTTGCCATTGCAATGAAGCGGCCTATGAAGCAGAAGTAGGAGAGGTGGTCCGGGTTGATAGCCGAGGCCGGGTTGATCTGCAGGCAGTAATTGCTCTTGCCGGCGTACTCAAACAGACAGTACATGGGGTTCAGCACTTCATGGGACAACAAGAAGAACCACTCTCTGTAAAGTGAGGTAAGACAGAAGCAAGAGAGAGGACAAAGGCAACGGAGTGTAGATGAGGGGGAAATGAAAGGAGGAAAAGATGTAAAATGAGAGAAGGGGAGACAAGAGTTGCACATGATCAGCTACTACTTACATTTTGCAAAAACCTAGTTTGCACTATGGATATATATTATGTATATTACCGGGCTAAGCCGCCATAGTCTAGACCCTCCTCGCCTCTGAAGATAACATAGAGTCTCCTCCTCAAGTCGTAAGGCTTCAGAGCCATTATCTAACAGAGAGAGAGAAACATACACAAGATCAGCAAGTGACATGCATTGCATAAATGTTTTTGAATGTATAGCAGTAGAAAACGCTGGAATAAACCACACATGTAGACTGTGATGCATCACTGCACTTTTCATTACTATTACTAAATTCATTACTGTACATGCTGCTTATATTAGTTATTGAACTCAGACAGTGGTAGAAGGACTGTCTTACTTGCTGGAAAGAGTCTTCAAACAACGTCTGTCTGGAGACGGTGATCTTCACATGGCTAGGGAGAGCATTGGACTGAGGAAAGACAGAGGAAACATTAATGCATTTTGGGGAGGTAAGATCACGATGAGTGACAGAGCAAGAAACAAGGTGATGGAGTAAGAGAAAGAGAACACCTACCTGGCACAAGTAACGGAAATGGGCAAGCTTCCATCTGAAGCTGCGTTCGTAAGCAATCTGAGGACCTTTGGTGCTGTGAAGAACAAAATGATTTAAAGTTTAATTTCATGCAATGGTAAAGAAGCATTTTTCTTAAGGGGTGATAAATTTCATCTTCACCATATACTGAAAAAAATGTGCCACATGTGAAATATGCTCTTGTACAATCCCATGAAGTAAACATTTGGAAGGATTTCCTGGCTTTCTGAGAATATGCATTAAATTCCCTGAACGTCCCTGTGTGAAATACAACCCTTGAAATGAAATACCAGTGGGAATCATTGTTTTCTGAATCAACATACATTTTTCTTTACCTCACATGAGCTGTATGTACATCTGGTTTTAGTAAACATGTGCCCTTAAACTATGCACAAGTTCCCACGGCTACAGCTCCTCAGGCTACAGACAAAACACAGCCTCTGGCATGGCCTTCAGTAACATGTAATGTAATATAGAACACATGAACAAGTAAATCATTTTAAAATGCATTCTTACACGGAGGACTTCCCAGTGCGGGGATCACTAAAAGTGGTGGTTCGGGTGTTGTGATCCACAAAGTAGCGAACTCCTTCCCTTGTGTACCGGATCTCCCAACCTTCAGGCAGAGGATCCTCATTCTGTAGCCTGCACACACGGACCAATTATATGCATGGGTTGATACATATGGAAAATGATAGCCAAGAACTGAACTCGACCCAACATAGCTCTGGGAAAACACTTCCAACTCCACATGGACTTTACCCTATTAACATGTTTTTGTCAAACTAAGCTGCCATGAAATCTAGACAGGCCGGGGAAACTAGAGCACGCTTCCAGCTGCAACTTGTGCCACTACATAAAACATTAGTGACAAATCTTAGAAATGTGAGATGATATACATTTTAGAAAATTCTGCTTTTAAAAAATGGGGGTAATATCATATTCTGAGAATTTTTATGACCAACTTTTATAGGGTGTACAAGATGGAAGGGTTGAATTGCAATACTGGTTACAATCTATCAAAGTTGTGATGTAATTTGTGATGAAATGTAATTTCACTGTATAATCCCATTTACTATCTCAATCCTGTAGATTAAATATTACCGTACATCGTGGTGTAACAAGGTTTTTGTGACATTGTAGTACTCAGCTAGGCCTCCTTAAAAGCAGGTCTTAATAAAAAGTCCCTTTGAGTCTCTTACTGTGTTTCGTTCCTTGTTTCTTTGTATACTGTAATATAAATGACTTTACAAAACTAAAGTTTAGGGGGAAAAAAGGCCCTTTGAGGTTTATCAGCCCAAATGTGTACTTGTATATGCACAAGTGAGGAACACTATTTAGACATAGTATAATTTCCTTCTGAGGAAGCCCACACTATTATGGTATTAGTAAGAACATCACAGAACTGGTAAACACCGGTGTAAGTGGGAAGAAATCTTCTATTTTCAGCACACCTGTTTGACCTCCTAGGTGACCTTTTACATTAAAAATGGTCATCTTTAAAAAGATCCTTAATTATATTACATCCTCTCTTCCTGCTTAATAACAGATTAACAAGAGGTTAGCAACCTTACAGCACTCATACAGACTTCTGTGAGTTATGAGGTACCATATCTTATGCAATTTCAAATATTTTCTAATGTGCATAAGATCCACTTTCTTCAATTTTCTTTTTTTTTTTTTGGCACTTGAGCTCACCCTTGGGTTCGGGGGTCTTCCCACTGCGTTGTCTTGGTGTTATGGTTGACAAAGTACACTCGATCATTGGAGTCCACACGCCTCTCTAAAGTTGATAAAAACACAGAAAAGAATTTGTAGCTTAATAGACACAATGGACAGTCGGCCCCACAATGTGGCAACACAAATGATCACCACTGCTGACTCATGCTTTAAACAGACTTTTTTGACTGGCTGCTGACTGTGAATTTTGTGAAGAGCAAGTAGTGACGGTAGAGGGAAGGATTTCATAAGAAAGAGGTTGAGACAAGAGGCAAAATAGCAGAGGATACAAAACAATTTGGCTAATTTAGAATAATCACTATACAATTTAAACAGTATCATGAAGTACTTTTGTATTAACGCCCATTTTGGCATAAAAATAGGTACAATGTATATTGACACATTTCCGTTTGTATCTATTTTCCATTTAAATATAGCAAATACTGACAACAAAGTGAACATATGTCCAGTATTTAGAAGAAAGAATGTGAACTCACCCCAACCAGGAGGTAGCGGGCCAAGAGGATCATTCTCAGCAGACATCATGGATGCCTGAAAACGAGGGATGCACACATAGACGTCCATTTAGAAAAACCAAAGGAAGACACTGGTCTGGTCAAAAATATTCCAAATATGTAGGCTATGAAAGAAAAACCATTCAAACAAAAAAGGGAAAATATATTCCACAACAGGAGAGGGAAAATGGGAACTATTTCAAATTAAAACAAAATAAGAAATAATGAGTTTTGCTATGTTGCTGGCAAGAGGGCCTCAGTGACTGGTCAATACTTCTCAGGTGTCTGTCTTTTCATTTGAGTTTTAAGCTAATCATCATCAGTGAAGATGACATCACGGCTGAGATCAAACATAACCAGATTAGAGCAGAGGCTGGGGGCGGGCATATTTTAAGTTCTGACAAGGTAAAGTTCTCACCTTTAGGCTAAATGGGCTGAGCTGTGGATTGAGTGAGTGGAGTTTCAAAACAAATCTGCCCAGTGAAAGAGATGTGATTCATCAGGCAAAGGATGGGAAGACTTAAGTTTCGGGTTCCATAATTAGTAACCACCACTGGTTTACTCTTGCCAATTATGAGATAGAAAAAAATACCATGAGGAAAAATATAGTTTATTTTTAAGCATAATAATTTTCAAAGCATGCTGTAGTCTTTCGAATTTCTGACTCGTCTTTTTACCGCCTTCAGTGCAGTCATTGGTTTCCATTCATTTCACTACTGATTGAATATCACATTGCAACAACTTGAAAGCTTCAGTTCGATATCACCGCAAGTTTTAAGTTAATACAGTTTAAAGTGCAGATTTATCGGAAAAGCTGCACTGCATTCTGCACAGTAATAAACTGAAAGCCAATTACTGATATTTGGATTAAAATCACATTTAAAAGTTGAAAACCTCAAGACATGCTTAAGAAAATAGTCAGTGGTTATATCAAATATGTGTGATTTGTCATTAAAAAGCTTGATATGCAAAAACCGGGACCTTTTAAATTCTCTAAAAAGACAATGAAGCCTTTTCAGGGCTCTTCATAAAGGTCCACTGGACGACTACGATACAACTAATATCTGAGCCATTACAGACTGCAAGAGTGATCACCTACATCACAGATCACCAGAAAGTAATGTGAGTCAATTATCTTCATACAGACTTCAAAAGAGCCAGAGCAACAGATGTTGTCTCTATTTTCTGTTGAGTACTGGAGAATGGTTTGAGATAAATGCACACTTTAAAAGATGATGAGCTGACAAAAGCTAAATGCTGGATAGATCCATCTGGTGTGGTCAGGTGATTCAATAATGCACATTGTTTACAGAGCAAAAGATCAGAAGATTGCAGTTTTACAGCAATTATCCTTGGTCCCCAAAATCTAGTATAATAATCCTTGTTGATTAGCATACAAATTCACAAGGCATTTGTTTAAAAGAAAGAGAGCATTAATTGAAAAGAGTGCAAATGTTTTTGGACTTTTGTCAGCAGAACTCAACATCTTATTGGAACTAATTTACAAATGACACAATGGCCATTTTGACTAAAAATGCTGGCAAATTAAATTATCAGACAAGAAAACTAAATCTGCAACCCATTCATTTCACAGGTGTAAAAAAACATGTTTTAAAGGGGATTGTCTTACAGAGTAGAGGTATCTCTGGTTAAACTGGTGCATAGCTCCCTGCAGCTGGCTGCGCTGGCTCTGCCACTGCTCAAAATTGCGGACTGATTCCATAGTGGGACGCTGCCATGTGGTGGTGCGGGTGTTGTGGTCCACATAATAGATCCTACCCCGGTCATCCACTCGGCGCTCCCAACTGGCAGTGTGAAGGAGATGGACAGGACAATAATCACAAACACAGACACAAAAAACAGTAAGCAAATGGATGAGCCATTTGGGAACGCTCACGGGACACTTATAACAACATAAATAATGAAATTTGTATTACTGTAAATGATCAACAACCAATCATATAAACAATACTTGTGTTTGATGATGTGTTACCAGAAATCATCTCTCACTGAAACTGACCTAATCAGGTAAACTAACCTCAAACAAACTTTAAACAAAACTACACCCTTTTTTAATAGACTTTGCATTAGGCCTGTCACAATAGCTTCTTTAATAATTTTATGCCACTGATATAATTATAAAATTAGCATAATAATGCAATTTAGGGGGTCATATATGACAACATGCGTTTAGTGGTAAAAGGAGACATGTTTCCTTCAGAATGTCATCTTTCACTTTCTCTGCTTGGGATTTAGAAACAGGGTGATCAGAAGTAGCAGCCAAACATGCCTCAGCATAGTTTTTTTTTACTAGAACTGGGAAAAGGCGCCTAAGTCTTGTAATTGTAGGGAAAACATATTCTTACATACAAACACGCATGTGAACACAATGGTATAATATCAAGTTAAGCAGAAATTATTGTTGCTATGTCCATATACTGTACGATAACATAATTACTGTGACAGGCCTACTTGGCACAGGTGAAATAATATACCCTAAGTTGTCCATTATGTAGTATCAGTGGCTTTAAGATGTAAATATGTGTTTAAATCTGTGTTTAGCTGCAGACATAGTTGAAAGCCATCAGGTGTAAAGAGAGCGTGATGGAGACCCATGTGTAAAAGCTAAAAAGGCTCACCTGATGAACCTGGTAAAATTACAAATTCCATGTCTGAAAAAGGCTGAAGAAAGAAAGTGAGACACTCACCCTGGTGGTAATGGCTGTGGTCTTTCCCAGGTAGTAGTCCTTGTGTTGTGGTCAACATAGTACGTTCTCCCATGCGGGTCTTTTCTCTGCTCCCACCTTGAAGACAAAACAATTGAGAAAAAAAAGCAGGCCGTAAAACAAAAACAAAATGTGCAAAAGGATGGAGATTTTGCTCATTATGAATTGAGTGTGTGTTTTAGGTGGCATGTACTTAAACTGATTACCTCATAATCTAATACAGATTTGATTAAAAAAAAGTAATGAAAATCAGTCAGGGAATGCAGAAATTGACCATTGGTGATGGTTTTTACCCTGGTGGTAGAGGATCTGAGCCTCCAGCATTGGGGACCTGCTGCCTGGGCTTGGCCCCATCTGTTGTTACCGGTGCACTGTTACTGCTGTTACCACCGCTGCCACCACCGCTGCCACCACCACCACCACCATTGCCACTTCCATTGCCACTTCCATTGCCACCACCACCAGCACCACCAGCACCACTAACTGAAGCATTTGCTTCTCCCATTGCTGGGGAGGAAGAGGATGATGATGAGGATGTTGTGATGGTGGTGGCTCCCTGTACTGGGGAGGTGAGTGCAGAGGAAGCAGCAGTAGCAGCAGTAGCAGTAGCAGTAGCAGCAGCAGCAGCAGCAGCAGCAGCAGCAGCAGCAACGCCATCAGTGGGCTTAGTAGCAGAAGAGGAGGCTAGAGCCTGCGTGGAGGTTGGCTGGGTTTGAGACGTGCTATTTGGTGCTGTGTCAGAGTCTGGGAGGGTGGTATCTTGATTGCAGTCCTCATGGTCATCTGCAGGGGGCAGCACGTCACCTGTTGTAGCAGACGATGGCCCCAGAGCAGCATCACAGGACTCCCCATTGACTGCAGGCAAGTGAGAGAAAGACAATGGTGCTGTTTACATGCATGGACTTAACACTTCATCCATCCATGGCTTGATGTCAGTGACGTCTCAGGAAGAGAGCTGCCTTTTAAATGGCTGATTTTACAACACGTACCCATTAGTCTAGCAGTCTAGAAATCTACATACATATATACTGATCAGCCATAACATTATGAGCCCAGAGAGGTGAAGTGAATAACACTGATTATCTGGTTATCACAGCACCTAGATTATAACATTACAACATTTGAGTTGAGCGTGCCAGGTCTTTTGTTTGAGCGGTATGTTGGACTTGACATCATAGATGGATAAAAGTTGGGCTGTTTGCTGCCTTTTAGAAATGACACATTAATGTTCACACACCAGTGCTGGCTGTTAGGCTGTTACTCGAGTGAGGCAGTGGAGGCATCATGAATGAGGTAAACCATGCCAATTACAACTACCGTACATTGGCAGCATTTTAATTCAAATAAATAGAGTTTCTTCTAATTAGTTTGAACTGGATTTTTTTTAAGCAACAGCCCTAACTTATATATGTATATAAATAAAAATAGTACCACTATACTAGTAAAGAATGAATATTCTCAGTGTAATCGGCATGCTATTGGTGCCCTGCATACCCTCCACAGTATACTGCAGTCTGCTTTCCTTTTCCTTTTTTTTTTATCTCTCCAGGGAGTTTTCCACAAAAGTGCTGACAGCAGCAGAGATTACAGGCCTCACTTAATGAAAATGAATCCACTGATCTCCTCTACTGTTCACTCGGATCAAGGGAACCATGAAGAACTCTAACTGCCCAGGCAACACAATGAATACCTGCTGGAAAGATACACACGTATAATCAAGGTGGCTGGGTAATAATTTGCATTACTCTATTGTTTATATGAGCCTATAGTTCATCATATATATTCAGTAAATATGGTGTATCATAGGGAATTATCCGCATAAATGAGAAATGAGAAAATATCTGAAGAACACATCTTGGAAGACTGCAGGGTTTTATTGTACTGAAAAGGCTGGAAACAAAACATACAAACCTGGGAACAAAACTGGGACTGTATTTCAAACCTTCCAAGGTACTAGAATTCAAACACTGTGAAATTCAAACTAAAAGGTCAAACTCACCCGTTCTACTCTCTGTGTCACTGTCTGAGGGTTGGTGGACCGGGGTGTTATTGGGTGTGGTGTCTCCATTGACGACATGACTAAGGGCAGGGCTGCAGGAACTGGAAGGCACCTGAGCATCCAGACCATTGGAGGCCGAACAGGAACCTGACCTTGGGCCCAAGTCTGTACCATTCACTGAGCTTTAGGAGGAAACACATAACAATTCCTTAATACTAACAAATTCTATACCTACATAACACTCAAGATATAATTCATATGTAATGTAATGTAAAACTAATATGTGTAACTTCTAAGAATAAAAAACAACTTTTATTTTTCCTACAGGCTCAAAACAAAACAGGCTTATAATAAATTCAATTTACACAGCTTAGTGGGTGAGCTAAATGTGTGCTACTTCCACTCTGTGTGCGGGTGTCAGATAAAAGACTTGTGACATTGAGACTATTGTCTCGTAGGGGTAAGGACAGGACATAATAGGATGGCATACTGACGTAATGGGTACAGCTGAAGAGGCCCTTTTGTGAGCCGGCAGAGCTCAGTTGGTGCCACAGACGTGCCCACACTACGACCAATACAAAATCAGCCATATGACTCAAAGTCCAGGCTTTGTCTAGGCAAGAGGTGGGTTGTCAGCCACCAATAAAGAAAAAACTTCAGAAACGGTCACAAGTGTTCACAACAATGAATGTTGATTTTACTACTCAGCATATCCGCAAATGGTAACAGCTCCCATATACTTAACACAAGATGTCCGATTAAGACACATTGCACAGAAAGTTTCCCACCATATCTGGCCGAATTGTGTTGAGCCCAGCAGAGGCTGGCAATCCCTTTAATGATACTTATATGGTCATCTGTATCCATTATAATACTTTATTTTTATTAATATACTGATATATATATATATATATATATATATATATATATATATATATATATATATATATATATATATATATATATATATATATAGGTTGAAAACAAAGACTACACCGGTTTACTGGACTTATTGGAATCTTGAAATTGAAATCTGATGCACAGAGAAAAAATAGGTACACACCCAAAACAGACAAGCAATTACTGAAATTGCGTAAGTAGGAACACGTTTAAAACAAATACAACATTGTACTCCTGTAGCCAGCATGGAGGACAGTATCAAGTGTTTCGACAGGCCGAGAACTGGCGCCTCTGGCTCCACAGGAAAGGTCTACTGACTCTCTGAAGATAAGTAGAAACACAAGCAAACCAAAATGGAAGGAAAGAAACAAAGCTAAACAGAGTAAAAAAAAGAAGAAGAATCAAGACAAGGTAAGGTGAGTAAGGCTCACGAAATACAGAGATTTCACAAGAGAAAAATACATAAAGGGACGTAGGTTGAAAGAGGTGAACAGGAACGAGAAGATGGGCAATGGAGTGAAGACTGCCAGAAAGTCAAGCATAGCACTGACGTAAGACCACGGAGAAGAGACAAAGAAAGACAAAGGGAAAGAAGTAGAGAAGAGGGTTCCTCAAGCATCGACTCCTAGCTTAATAGCCGACTGCTCACCTCTGTTTGGCTGACTTTTAATATGCAGCAAGTGACGTCACATTATGGGGAAGGAGCAGGGAGGCTAAGGCCGAGTACAGACAGAAACTATCACTTAAAAAAAAGGCTGATCAGACACCCTACACAGCAGTTCATACCATTGCAAGGCGGATAGTAACAACTCTAGAGAGTTATCACACCATCAATCATTTTCTCCTCTGCCTCCAGGATTGCAACACAACAGCAAAATTAGCACAGTGCATTCTCCAATTCATTCCATTTTACTGGCTAACACAGCAAGTTACTGGGTGCAGGACTGTTCGGCAACACAATGTGAGCAACTATTTGACAGACTACCCACCTTGTTTCATTTATTTTTTTCACTCTTTTCACTGGTTTGAAGTGGGCGGCGGTCAATTGGAAAAACGTAATGTCACATACTTCTGTGCACCAATTACAGCTAAGCAACACTTGAAAAATGTGTTGACAGTTGTGGGGTTGTTTACTTTTGCAGCCAGCAGTGCCAGTCAGTCAAACCTGACCAAACAGCAAAGTCCTGATCAGGCTGAGCTTCTCAATGTTTAAGTGGAAGAATATTTTTTCACAACATTAACTTTGATTGTTGCTTATTTAGTCATGAAAAATATAATGTTATAGAGAAATGTTTCAGATCTGAAACTAGATCAAAAGAAATTTCAGTTTGGACACTGACTAATGCTGTTTGGTTTTTTTTACAGCAGCATTTTGTATTAAACGTGCTTTCACTCTGCCTGTAGAGGCACCCTGTAATATAATGATTTAATATTATATTAACTTTATATGATTTTCTTATTATTCATATTTTTTAAAGAAATTGTTTACAGCTTCCCTCTTCTTAAGAGCTAACCTTTTGTTTTTGAAACAAAAATTAGTACTATGTTAATTGTCTTACTTTCATAAACACATGTTTAAGGTTTCATTTTCTAGATAGCAACAATAAGGCAACATTTTGTCTTGCTACCACAAATATTCCCCTGGCTACCTTTCCTATCTGGCTGGGTACTCAAACATTTTTGGGGAACCCTCAGGGAGGGGGAACACCACTAAGTTTTAAACATACCCTTGTTTGTGTCTTGCAGTCCTCTCTGCAACTGCAATGCAGAGAGGAGCCAGGCAGCCAGAACCCTCTCAACCCCCTCCCACCAACCTCCCGTCTGTTGCGCTGAGCAGACATGGCGTCCCAAAAAATCTCTGTTAGCCTCACTGAAGGGCAGTTTATTGTGTGATAGAAAATAAAGATTGGTACTAGTGGGGCAACACTAAAACTTAAAAGCAGGAGAAGGGTAGAGCCAGAATTTTGAAAAAAGCAAGACACAGACAGACTCTGACCGAGGTAAAAAAAATGAATAAATAAAATCCTTTACATGAGCTAGCGCAAAACAATAGCATATGAGTATCAATAGTCATGTAAAATATGCCTTCATGTCTTCCTACAGGGCACATTGTGGGGAAACTGTACTAACACACAACTATTTGTGGTCTGTTAGCATTCCTTTACTTGAGGATAAGCATGCTCCTTGCTTTCAAAGAGTTATTCTAACCAGGCCAACAACCATTTTAGGAAACGTGAAGTAGACAGAATCTTCTTCCTCATGAAATATGTGGAGCAAGATAAAAAGGCCCCAAAATGGCTGTTTGTTTAGTTAGTTTACCTGTTGGCAGCCCTTGAGGAAGAGGAAGAGGAGTCTCCATTTTCATGGATGGCATCGCCATTCTGTTGGACTTCTGGAAAGAATCATAGAAAACAAATGTTAGCCTTCAGATATTCTGCACTAGTGCATATTAATTAAAACTAGAAGAATTGTTAAGTATTTGATTGTACAAGGATTAGGTGAAAGTATACTAGTATTTTCCTGAGTACAGTTTATTTATTCATGTTTTTGTGGAGTTTTTCCTCTCCCTGTGCTGGCTCGTTAATTGCCATTCACCAGTACAGTGGTAACCCCACTATCACCCACCCGTAACATACAAATATTCAACTTTTTAAGATTTTAGATTTGTGATGTACAATATTTATTTTTTAACTTGGATCATTTCAAATGTTTTATTTGGGATAACCTAATAACTCTTAGTTTATTTTAAATTCTATGGTCTATTTAATATTGCAGTTTTATTTTAACAGTAAAATAATTGAGTGTATTTAATGACAATCGTCTATGAACCTGTGATAATGCTGAAAGGTCAAGAAACAAAAAACTAAAGCTCACTGGTGCCATTTGCTGCATTGCCGTTGGTAAGCGGAGCCAGTTCCTCTTGGTCAGTGACAGTCAGGCCATCTAGGTAAACAGTTAGTTCCCCTACGGGAACCAGAGCTCCCTTCTGCTCCGCGCTCAGTTTCAGCACCTCCTTCACATTCTCCACTGCAGAGCCAAAGAGGCATTACAATAAAGTGACAGCAAGAAAAACACAAAGCAAACCACTTCCATAGAAATGCTTCATTTACAATGTTGACATTAGAGAAAAAGACACATTGATCAGCAGCAGCTTGTCTAAATAAACAGTACCTTCATTAATCTGCTGTTGCCTGGTACTGCAGTAACTGTGCCACAACTGTATTTGTTAAATAATGAACACATGCCACCCTACACCTTGTATTATAATATGGGTCTGTGTGTGTGTGATAGCTTAACCGTACATTTTCTGTCATGCTGCTCCAAGGCTTGAATTAGGTCTAGCGTTGCTTTCCCCAGCAGAGCATCGGCCTTCAGGGTGTGGTGACTCCATACTTTGAAATCCACCTGTGTGTGCGGTGTTACATTCCTAGGTCAGGAACACAAACAAACAAACAAACAAACACACACATGTAATGCTTAAAACAACTTGTAAGACAAATCACACAAATCATCAGTACAAAAGACATCATTGAAAAAAGAAAAGCACTTTCAAGTTCATCACAGACGTGTTCCTTTTTCTGCTGCAGTTATATACAGAGTAAAAAAAATACAGTTACAAATATTTCTAACTGGCACGTGTTTAGTGCCTGTGTGCTCAATCAGTAGTGTTTTTAACCTTTTTTCTAATCCAAAATGGGTTCACTCAGCACAAAGGATCTTTTTCCACACACACAGACCAGATTTTCAAGCAAACGTTGGTGTAGGATGTTCAGTTCGGTATGCTACTGCCATAGTTCGGTACCCCCTTTGACCCAAACAATTGCTGTCAAAATAGTCTAGTTTTACCCGGGAAGTTTTTGCAGTGCACCAGTTGTAGTCTATCAGCTGTAGCATGCTAGTGGGCTAGTCAGTGTTAATTGTCAAACTGCAAGCCAACATTGTTCAACTGAAGACAGGTATGTCTGTGGAAACACTTCAAATGGGTCATTTACATGAATATGACGAGAAGCGGAATAAGACAAAAACAGACTGGCAGCCTTACTGCAGATGCGGACTGCGCCAAACTAGTAACTAATGCTACAGAGGGTTTGCTCCTGATATGCAATCATACCCAGTCTTAGAAAATACAGGAAATTTGTGTTATTAATTTTTCTTTTTGACAATATGTCGGTGTTTAAGTGCATTAACTGTTAGTAGCAAGAACTGAACAGAACTAATGATCTAACAAAGCAGATTATATATGCTATATTGAGATATAGATATACATGTATAATGTAAGTGTTTCTTAACCATATGAGACTAAATCACTGTGGGAATTCTACAAATGTTTGGGTAGGACTGGTAAATAAACTGTGGTGAGCAAAGAGAAAGAAATGAGGAGACAACTAGATGCTCCTCATTTTTCCAGTTTCTCTATTTTTCCTCGTCTGCTCCCCCTCAAAAAATCTCACAATCTCAAGAGCAACTTGTCCTTGCTGCAGGGTGAGAGACTCATGTACTCCGCTCACATAATGCTGCTTCCTTCTGTTTTCTGCTCTTATACAAAATGAACACTACACAGTCATTGTATTCACGGCCGAGCACATCAGCCTAAAGAGAAATATCTAGGATCATAGCCTAAAGGCAATGTGTAGGATTCATAACAGCTTGCAAAACATCCATGGTGCAAACGAAGGATTACAAACACAGCACCACTCTGTCTTATTACCAATAATTACCCAATCAAGACAATTAGCAATTGCAATGACATGTCTCTGGCATGCGGCCGAGCCATTCCGAAGCCAGAGAGCTGTAAAAGTCTGCCATGTTCAGGCTGCTGGCTCTACTAGTGTCTCAAATGATACAAAGAGCTCTGTGTGTTCTCATACAGCTTTTTCCCTTGTTCTAATAATTATCAGATGAGCCACCTGAGGGATTGTGTCATTATATTTTGAATTATATTTAGTTACATAAGGTATACACTGTCAGACAGACATAGACCCCAAATTCCTGCACCAAAGCCAACATACTAAAATACCTCCTAGTAGGGAGAACGGAACCATTTTTCTCTCTCTCAACAGTTTTTTTAAAAGCTTGGGCCATTTGGAGATCAACATAGACTCTCCTCAGGAACATTCTGTGTAGGGGGGTATGAGGAGACAAATGTCTGTGGTAGTCTCAACACAGAAATCATTACAGTCTGTCTCTCATTTTATCTTCTCCATATAATAAAGTGCCTGGTATTCATGAGTTGTCTTCCTACATTAATTTATAAGGCACATAAAACATGAACAAGTGTATATAGAACTTTAGTTAATACATATATTACACACACAGATGTTAAAAAGGGAAAAAGAGGCGTGTAAAGACCAAGAAACTGGCATTAAGGTAAATAGATGTCAGATACACAGAGGAGGCAAATAGTTGCTTCTTACAGAGTAAGCCTCTCATCCCATTTAGGACTCGAGGAGCTGTGAGACTTCGCTGTACGGCGCGACTCCCCCTCCGCTGTCACCTCCACATAAATGGCAGTCCCAAAGAGGCTCTTCTTCCTCTTGATTTTGGCACAGGACACTGGCGGTGGATACATATAGGAAGTGATGAGACTAGTGAACATTTTTACTTTCAACACATAGCTGACACTCATATTCAGATATTCAGATAAAATAAGGTCATAAATTATTGATCCTTGATGGAAAAACCTTTTTTCACACAGGAAATCCTGCTGACACAGTGCTTCAGTGTGAGCTTTCTGAGGGAGCGACAGGGTCTAGAACCTGGGGCCACCCTGCCCCTCCCCAACATTACAGCCTTCAGTGTTTCAACTCACCAATGGCATGGAGCTGTGACGTTCCTCTGTGGTTATGGCTAGACTCTGTTCTAGATGAGGCCGTGGCCATGTCATACACCACAGTGGGAAACCTTTAAAACCATACACACACACATACAGACAAACCGAGCAAACAACAAACACACAAGACACATACCCAGTAAATTCACAAATAAGAAACAGGTGAACTCTGCAGGGTCCCAATAAAAATACAGATGAGAAATTATAGAAGCTGCTTCAGCATATTCTGCACATTTTGTTGAGGTTTTGTGGTAGAGGTCGCACCAGGTCCCAGCAGCAGATATTTATCTACATTTAGTGTAATATTATATTATTTTCATAATATTGTAACTGTTCCCTATATTATAATGCTACATTGACATAATGCTGGAAAAACAATCAATACTCACAATTGGTGTGTGCTGCTAGACCCTCTGGTTCAGCCCACTCCGTGTCCCATGATTCCTCTGAAACAGGAAAGAGCTAAGTTTAAGGATAAAGCTCAGAACAGCTAGTACAAACTTCAGCAGTTTAAAGTCTGAACTCTGATAAAGACACCAATTTATTACTTACAAATATATGTGTAAAACAAATGTCGCTATATGCCGCAAGATATATTTGTTGTTTCCCAATATGGAGAAGTAAATAGGACATTCTGTGAAAAAGCCCCTGTTGCTTTTTTCAGTTCCACATAGTTGCAAAATTGGAAAGACAACTGGTTGCATGTACAAATGTTTCATTCTTATTGTATCAGTGGTCAACTCTGTAATGGTCAGTAACATTTGTGAGCATTAGCTTCACTCTGCCATACTGTAAAATAATCATATTGTGAAACCTTTTGACAGATAATGCACTTGCAATATGATTCATGATTAGTAGGAATTCAGATTTTTGCATCACAATTTTCATTAACAACTAGTTTCATCGGAAAAAAATATTAAAACTGCAATGATGTGACATTTGTTGTGGTCTCTACCCAACAAACAAAACAAAAATGTTTCTTAAATCTGGAGAACAAGATTAGATTTGTAGGTCAGGGAATCGCTGCAGAACTTCAGTATATTTGATTATAATGCTGTTTTGACACATTTTACCTTTATCAAAACAAGCAATTTGGATTTTGCACCTGTCCATATTGGGATTTTGATACTATTGTGATTAATTGTGCAGCCCTATAACAAATTCCTGCTTCTTGGTTCAGAAGTGTTTTGTGATACAAAATCAAACATTTCCATTAGATGACCTACACACACAAACTACAGTAAACTAATGTAAATAGAAGAGAAATGGTCAATTAAAATATTGTTCTGCCTTAAAATAGCATCTCTTTCATTTATATTATTATTATTTAATAATATGCAAAAGAGTGCCAATTTTATATTGTAGAAGCCTAAAACTCACATTAAATGGACAAACACAATTGTGTTGTCATCAACAATTTTTTCTCTGTCAGTGCTAAGAGGGAAAAAAAATAATTTAAACTAGAATATTATACTGTACTGTACTATTATTATCTATATAGAAAACCCTTTATACTGTGTATAGCATGCAAGGAATATTGAGAAACCTTAATCATGCTTGAACTTCATAGTCAGCTAAGAAATGAAGATGCACACAAGCTGTCTAGGTAATTACAATTGATCTCAAAAACACCAGGCAGGCCAGCCTCCTCCACAGCAACCAAGAGAACAAAACAAGACAACAAGGGGAATACAACATGCCCATTAATTGTCTCAGCTCCAGAGTCACTACAAGTCAGTACGCCCACTGTTTCCTGATCCTGTACCAAGGTTCCAATTAGGGCCAAGTGTTTTTTTGATATGATTAAATGCTCACAGCACCAGGTTGCCACATAGACAGGCTGATCACACAACATAGAGCCCAAGTTAGAGCAGGCAAGTTTTAAGCAGCTTAGGAGGAACCCAATTAAGAAGATAGGGATAGTCCATGCCAGTATTAAGTCACTGTAATCAGTGTGCAGGCTACAGGGCAGATGGAGACAAAAAATTATACAAGTCAGCAGCACAGTGCCAGGCAAAGCTACGTCTGCTATCTTGCTACTCTCAAAGTTTCAAACCAAGTGAGTTCACTATTGATCTGCTAGGTCAATCAGCCATTTAAAAGTAAAAGCTCCAAGTTAAAGTCCTTTCTAAAAAAAAAAAAAAAAAAAACAACTTATCAAACCAGTTTCAAAGTCATCCAGAACCTTATGAGAGATTAAAATGTCCATTTTATCTAAATCTTTCTAAAGTAACCCATTTATAGTTTTGGAGTTTATTGAAAATATATATAATAAATTGTCATGGTCAATGTCTTTACAAAAAAAATAAGCTACATATAGGACAAACACCACAAAGCTTAACAGGCTGTTGGATTGAGAATTGTCAACTATGCTACCATAAAATATTGATTTCTAATCTTAATATATAGCTATGGGGAGACATAATGAGGGAACCACACAGTAATGGAATCAATCACTTTGAGAAAACAACCAATCCGGACAATAAGGAAAAGGTTGACACTGCTTAACAGCCCTCCATACAGAGTAGGTAAGTGACAGCTATAACAGAGGAAAACTTGGGTGATGGGAACATCAGCGGTCATCATCCATCACTCTAGCCTGACATCGCCAGACCAATTCACAAATGCAGATTAGTCTGGGACCTTTCAGTTCATTTCCAAGGGGCGTTATCAGTGGGCACAGAACAAAATGTCTACGGACACAATGAGATAGACCTACAATCAGTCAGAGCAACGAAACATGTGACGTTTTGCCAAATCCTCAGCAGTATGGAAAACACATCTTTCTTATCACCAAAAGCTTTAAATGCAGTTGTTCTTCTTTTAGAGAAAATAAAACCAACCAGGTCATTTAGTACTGATAGCGGATTTAAGAGGACGTTCAACAACAGCGGCAGCCACCTTGGTTGTGTACAAAAATGCCCTTCTCTCTACAATCAACATAACAAACCCATCCCAAGTACGATAAGGTTGTCTGACACAGGCCAGGTTGCCTGGAAATCTGTCTGAACGAGAGGCCGACCAGATGCTGGGTTACTAGACGCATCTGTCAGAGCAAATAAAACATGAGCTCACAGATTCGTCTGGTTCACAGGCTAACATCCATCTCAAGGGTCTTTACTAGGGATGAGGCCAATCCGATCCAGTATCGGTACCGATACCAGCGTAATTCACGTATCGGATTTTCCCGATCAAACCTGCGGAGATATCCGATATCCATAAGCCATGTCTGCGCTTTAACGTTATCTGCTGAAATGACTCCACAGGTGATTCCGGCCGGCCAGTCTGCTAGCTGGCTGCAAACTGTGGAATAGATTTCCTGAACGGAGGCGCGGCTCAATGAGACAGAGTTATGAGACACGCCTCCGCTCAGGAAATCCATTCCGCAGTTTGTAGCCAGCTAGCAAAGCCGTGATTCAGAGAGGCGGAAGCTCCCTCGCGTCGTACAACACTACGAACGCAATCAAACATTTAAAAAAGCACCACACGAAAGAGCACCACTTGAGCACCACTTGATTGTTAAAGTAGTATTACAGTTCTTACACGATACAGGGCTTTATATGAAAATTTGAAGCAGTAACATTATCCTTAGAGTGACTTCGTGAGGAGGGCAGTAATACGCCTAGAAGTGTCTAAACTGCCAGAAATCCATATGAAGAAGAAGAAAAGCAGGGGCAGAAAGACAAAAGGAGCTGTCAGGAATCACTCCTGGAGACATTCCAAAAACAAGGTAAACTCCAGGCAGACAATGTGAAAGCTAAAGGGATTTTAATAAATATTGACATGACAATCAATTTGAAACCCTTACAGTTGCATATTTGTTTTCAGGATGGGATTTTTCCTGTTAACAGGATTTCCTATTCCCTTTTCTGACCTTATACTTGCCTCAAGTTGCCTTTTGGGACATACATGCATACATACGTACATATCATACTTGCCTGTTGAGGAGTTTATTTCAGCCTCATATTAAATCAACAATAATGATAATAATAATATTAAAGTAAACAGAGCTCTGGTATCGGAATAGTATCGGTATCGGCCGATATCCAAATTCAGGTATCAGGATCGGATCGGAAGTGAAAAAATGTGGATCGGTGCATCCCTAGTCTTTACAAAGGACTTATGAAAACAGTGACCAGGGAAAAAATATCGAGTGAAACTTGAAGTTGAATGAATACGATTTCTGTAGGGAAAATCAATAAGAGTTTATTGATGCCACTGTACTGACTTATGTAACTAAAATTCAACTGGGATCCTTTTGTATTATTTTATCAAAATCTGTGTTGGATTTACTTTTGCAGAGGATTCCTTGTGAAGAGTGCAGCAGCATTGAAAACCAGAGTGGCTTAGTGATTAGTAGCGTGTCTCAATATCATCCAACTGCAGCCACAAATGGGCGTTCTCGTGCTGGTGGGGGTTCCCGTTTTCGCTGACTTGAACGCCCCCTTCTTCTTCGCCTTTCTTGCTGAACTGTAACTGTCAATATCCTGTTTAACATAACATTCGCTAGTTAGTGTTTCTCAACAGAAGTTTCAAAATAAGATCTCGTAGTCTGTAAATGTATTATAGAAATAACATTATCAAGCTAAGCCATCTACAGAACGTTAGTCCAATTACATCTTAATATGCTTACATTTACGTGTAGGACTAGTCTATATTTCTACGAGTTGTTGAGGACAATTCATACTTTGCACGTGACGTCACAACTACTGGCTGGCGGGCAAGAACGTTGTTCTCCAGCAACGAAACCCAGTAAACTAATCAAGGATCTTGCCAGGATGTCGGTGTTTCCCCTGGCATTCATTCAGCGAAGGCAGAGAAACAGCGCTGCGCTTACTTTCACCCAAGTAAATTAAAACTAACAACAATTGCATTGTTTAATTCAATGTTCTGGTGTTGTAATTATCTACGAGGTTTTGCAACATGGCCCACCCATCAAAATAAATGCTTTTATTCTTTTGTACGTCGTACTACGTACTGAATGGAAAAAGACTTCAATTACGTAAATCAAACCTTCTTCACTCAAAATGTACTATAATAGACAGATGAAGTGGGCGTTTGTTGCCCGCCAGGTATCCATGGTAACCACGTGACTGCAAAGTATGAATTGCGATTGGTCCATGAAACGCTACCAGGAACACCCAATAGGCGTTCTTGTGTCATGACGGGAACGCCCAAGCCGCAGCTGGACCCTTCTCGGGTGTCTTCCAACAAGAAGGACCAGATCAATTGCTGGCCCCCGCACTTTTTATATCAGGTTTTTATGCTCTGCCTGTATCAGTCTGGATTTCCTCTGGGTGCTCCAATGTATTCTGACAATTAACATTCAAGTCAGATGCGCTGCAGACTAGGGACATCCTAATCAAGTTTTTCCCCCTTTGATCCCCTTCTATGACAATATAATACTTTCTTACATTCTGTGAGCTACAACCTCCACACTTTAAGGATATCTAGGTCACATATACTCGAGAATTACAGCCATCAATTGAGAAGCTCTGTTTTTAGAGAAAACAGACTCCATCACAGCTTTCCCTTAATGGTTTTCTAAAGTGTCTTTCAGCAATTTGTGAATCTAGTTCATTTTGTAAATATCGATCTGGCAGATCAGATTGAGCCATCCCTATTGAAGTCATTACATTTGCTTTAAGCATGACTGTGGACAAATGACTAGCAGACTCTGGGGCATAATTTAATGAAGAGAATGAATTGAAAATATAGAAGAGAAAAAGACTGTAAGAAGACAAACATTTTTTTACTCAACAGGGTCGTAAAGGCAACTAATTAATGAGGTACATGATTAAATGCAATATTGATTAAGTTTGAATTACTGGCATACTACAAGCACCACACTAGAGCTCCAGACATTTTAACTTCTGTGTTCTGCACATATGTCTGATAATGCATGGCAGATGGCTAGGCGAGAGTAAACGTGTCTCCTCCTCTCAAATGCCTTATGAAGACAACCAATAGTGCACAGAGATATGATGTGACAAACTGATGCATAAAAGACTTCTGGACATGTAACGACTGTCAGCACATTAGTCACACACAACAACTCCCTGCAAAAGATAGTGTCCAGTTAGTGTTATAGAGCATACACTTTAAAATGCACTGCAATTATACAGCCTCGCTCAGCTGGTTACAAAAGAAAAGGAATTATCCGGACACGGACAGAAATTCAATAACAGTTCTTTCTTCAAGTCATCAACTACTCACCATTATGTACAGTATATGGTCTGAAATAGCAATTCTTCTAACAGATAATAAACATTAAATAGATAGATAGACTTTATTAATCCCTGGAGGGAAATTGGGTACTAAAAACCGATAGTAATACCGGAGCTACTACAACAGGCTCCCGCTAGGACGGCGCCATTTTGCAGAGAAATATGTAGGATCATCACATGCCCAGGCAATAAAAGCATAATTCTGAGTTTAAAAGTGCTATTTGCACAATAGTATTTGACCTTGTGTCTTAGGTTTGCGCCAGTTTTTTGTGTATCATTGTGTGTGACTGGTTGCTTATACTGTCTAATGTGCTGGTTCTGTAGAAAGAATAGCCAGCAGTGTTAGTGTAGGGGTGGATTTGCTTACAAAACAGTTAGCACCCTGCTTACTGCTAGACAATGCTCTTTATATTTTCTGGTGCATGTGCATCTGTGTGTCTGCATTAATGCCAAAGCTTCTTTAGGGACAGGCCTTAGAAAACTGGGCTTATACAATGAGTATTAAGGTTCTCTAATTTCACACATGTAACAATTTACACACCAACAAGGACACTCCCACATACACAGTGTAAGAGCTGTGATACATCTGGGAAGGCCATGATGTCAGTGGTGATGTTTGCTTACATGAACAGGACTAAAGACCCCCTTCAACACACACCCCAGCTCCACAAAACTGGGAAAAAAAACATATCATAACCTCAGTAACTTCAGTAACAGAAAACAAGACTAAGGGGCCATCCACAGCAAGAACGATAACGGCATCGTTCGTCAGTGTGGATGCTCACATCGTTACTGTTATAGTTATTGTTTATGGTGTGGATGGCCCTTTAGCTATCACAGGCTTGTTTCATTCTAAGTCTTCTGTTTAGATCAAAATGAACCCAACCGAGAGACATAAAATACATTTAAAACGAAATTTTATGACAACAGGAGGCAGGAGAAGCTTCATTTTTAGCTGCCAGGTTAATTCAGGTCCCCAAATTTGTGAAAACTGCATAGTTTAGTCTCGGTAATGAGAGAGCGATTGTGCTTTTAATTTTCCTGCATAGAGTAAAGGTGGTTAAGTGAATAATAATCTTTAACCTAGCTCTCCTTTATGTCAACAACACACAGGAGCTGTTAAATTCTCACAACTTTTCTTTATGTTGGCATGACACACTAGTTTCACACAGTGGCGGCAGGCTACAACTCCTACTTCCCCACAGCTGCTTTCCTGCTTTTCAAAGGTCAATGTTTGTGTGTATGTGTGAGTGAAAAGGTATGTGTGTGTGTGTGTGTGTGTGTGTGTGTGTGAAAGAGAGACAGAGAGAGAGAGAGACACAGTAAGAGAACGATGATTAAGAACACAAACTTAATATATTTCAGAGCCAGCCAGCCAAAAGTTGCTGCAAGTGACAGCTTCCTCTAAGAAGTAATTCCCTTCCCATGTGGCACTATTACATACAGTAGTACATACAGTGGCAGACTGAGCTGCAAAAACACTGTTTATAGCTGAGAGAGAGCAGGACACAAGCTCATGGCTCTGAAATACAATAGGCAATTGTACAGAAAACCTTCATCAGCCAATGAAACAAATAAAGTCATGTTTGAACATTCCTCTTTGAGGCCAAGGCACAGCAGGGGGAATGGAAGACAACTGGGCCTAACTTAACCTTTATTGATAGGGATTCCCATCAGGTATTATACTATGGCCAAGTATGTAAGCCTTGTGACACATTGTGCTCAAAATGCTCTACATTTTCCAGTCAGGGACTGTTACAGTGCAAGTGTATATTGTTCTCGTCTAGTATTTATAGAAGGGGCGCTACTCAACTGTAGCAATGCTGTATTAAATAGCAGTGTGCCTCATGTCAGGCCTATGTTTACCTGTGTCTTAAGTCAGTTATTGTGTATGACCAAAGAAACACCTTCTATAAAACATGTCAACACCTTTAAAAGTCAAAGGTAACCCATGTTTTTTTCTCTTCAGATGACAAAGTTCAGTAAACAAGACCATGGATAGTTGGGTAATAGAGGAGCAGATTGCTCACACTTCCAGACTATCTGTCAGCCATACGCCTAACAACACCTTGTTGATATTTCAACCGCAAACACTAATCATCACACACAAACTCTGATATTGTTAAACACTGGCTAACTTTGGATAATCTACTGTCATGCTAACGTTAGCTCACAAAGTATGAGTAACTTAAAAGGAAACTATTAGCCTTAGAATAACAATCTCCTAATATATATATATATAAATATATTCTGACCCGATGTTTGGTACAATCATATGTGCACCAGGCATATCGTGTATGTACAGTGTCTACCAGATAAGGCGAGCTAACGACGTGTAGTCAGTCATGTACTCGCACTAGTCTGCACATAAAGGCTACAGTCAGCTAATAGCTATCAATAAGCTACCCAGCTAGCCACAGAAAAAAAGATCCCCATTTTAGTGATATTCCCTTTAGTGGCTATATTCAAACTAGCCGACTATCATGCCGGCTAGCCATATGATAATATCCTCACACCACTGAAGCACTCAATGTGTTTTTCTTTAATCTTTAGCTCTACAACTAGCAGCAGACACGGCTAGCTTAGCAAGCTAACGTTACAAACTTAGCCAAGTTAGCAAGTGCTGCCCGCTAGCCGGCTAAGTAATGTTAACGTTACTTAGCAGCTTCGCTATTTGTCCGCCATCACAGAGCTAACACAGTCACACAGTTAGGTTAGGTTAGACGTGGAAGACAGGCTTGTCAAGAATTAATTTTCCACCATAAAGTGTTTCGTAGTGGTTCAAGTTACACAAGCAGCTGTATTTTACCTCGTCCGTGGTTCCTCTTCCTCCTTACTCTCTGTGTCTCTGCGGTTGTCTAACGTTACGGTTGTCGTTAAAATGCCCAACCGTACAGGCCCCGCAGTCTGCTACGGTTCTCTTGCCATCTCCGTGCAGAAGCCTCCGACCAGCACAACACACGGGCGACAGGCGCGCCACCCCAAATACTGCTGTGTAATAACACGGGACACGGGAGAGTCAATAAGTGAGGGACATGAACAGTGTTGTTATCGCACAACCTCGTTATCCAGACCACTGGACGGGCAGTTCGTTCATACCTACTTTTCCTGAGCATATCACCTACAAGTGTAATTTAAATATTCATAATCTGTGGACTATTTTATTTTATTTTATTATTTTATATTACATTTTTTACATTGAGACAGTCTACTCTACATGTGAATGTGAATTCTAACTTTGTTTTCTTATATTCATATTTCTTTTAGTTTTATTTATTTATTATTTCTATTTCTATATTGCATCATTTTTATTTTTATTTAGTACTGCAGCAGTATTGCTAACCTTATACTTAGTACACATTGTGGTTTATGTTTTTATGTTACAGTACAGAACCCAATGGAAAGAAAACGAACATTTCTGTTACTCATAACTGATTATTTATTTATTTAATTATTTTACAAAAATAAAAATAAAACAAATTCATTTTTAAATTAAAATGTTGGCCTCTTTTGGCTGTAAAACAGGAAGATCACCAAGGTTCACATCACAAAAGTTTATAAACCACAAGTTCCTGTATCTCACTGCTCTTCTTGGTTGCTTTACTAGCTTTTTTTGTGGTCTGGCATATGTCAGATCATGATTCTAAGATACACACCACACCCTTCATCAACAGGTTTGACGGTTATCAGCTTTGAGGTTTGAAATCCAAAGTTTACACTGAGGTTTATGCATAAGTCTGGCAAGTCCTGGACCACAATGCCTGGCCGGGTTCTTATTATATTATGTCTGATGGGTCTTCACTGACATCTTCTTTCAGCTAAAGCTTGAATTACTAATCCATCTGCAATTGAGATTTTTGACTGTTAAACCGGAATCGAACCAGACTGGATAGTCCATGGGCTCAGACCCAACACCCAGTAACAGTAGCATCTGGGTGGGCAAATTCTAGTTGTTATCGTTGAACTTCTCTACATAGATTATGTTTAATAGGACCTTGCTGACTGGAAGCTTATTAGTGGTAATCACCTCTTAAAGTAATGGACTGCTGTTCAAAACCCTAGTCTAATAGTCCATGAGCGACCACATATCGGTTCCATCTGAGTTGGCAAAACCTTACCTATACTACATTTTTTTTATAGAGTCAATATAAGTAAAATTGATATGTAACAGCCTTTCCACAGGAGCAGCTTTTTTTATTTATTGTATTGTATTATTTGTTATTTTCCCCCATTAGTGGCTTTGCATAATTTCCAAAAGCACACAAACAGCCAATATCATATTACCAGTAATGTAGTCTTGGACCTAAGGCAACTAAAACATTTATAAATGTTGTTGTATCTGCCCAAATATTTTGTTGTTTTTAAATGAAAAATGCAAGTATTTACGTGGGTGAAAATATGAGTTTGCACTCATTTCTATATAATATTATGATGCATTAACATGAAATAACATAAAAATGAAAGATACTACATAAGGGATAACTTAAAGGCATACTGAGTCAGATTTGTTGATCCCTCCTCCTGTGGCTTAATCGAGAGTTGGATGAGAGAGATTGAGAGTGAATGGAACAGTAGTAAATCAGAGATATAAAACATTCTAATTGTTTCATTGTTGTTACATTACAAAGCACCTCCACACAATCCTGCACAAACAACAGACAATCTGAAATCCCAAAGAGCTCATACCCACTCAAAGGCATGTTGATAAGTGGACTTGAGTGAGGTTAATTTACCTGAAATGGATAAACAATGCACCAAAACTATTGGAACCATGGAAAGTGGTTGACAGCCAAGTCTGTGGGCCGTACGCTCTTAATAAAATAAAAAATAAGCTTGAAGCGGTGGTGAATGGGTTTCATCATGAACAGGAACATGAGCATACGTGTGTTCACACCAGAGTTCAGTGACCACAATGAATGATCTCTTGGTTCACGTATTTCATTATGTTTTTCCAGAGAACAATTATGAAGAGAATTCATTCTTGTGTGTCATGTATATCTCTGCTGAGCTTATATATGGCTACTACCAAGTGCCTTTGCCATTCAAACAGGACAATCTCAAGATACCAAACACAGCAATGGTCAGGTTGCTGATCAACGTTTGTAGTCTTTGAAAAGGCTTTTCCTGGAACATTAAAATGAAGGTTACAAAATGAATACACAACATTCCTCAAAGGTGTTTTAGACAGTGGACATGTTGAATCTGTGCCTCAGCAGAAGCTAACCTAGAACAATGGAAACGCATGGTAAATACCTCATCACAGAGTCTATCACCCCCCAAAAAAGAAACCATTAGGTTTGTGTTTGCGCCACATCCTTCCATGGAAATGTCACTGTATAAGCTCCTAAACGACCTGAATTTGAAAAAATACCTTGATTGTGGTGACTCAGAACAGAAAAGAGGACAGAATGACTGTGCGTCTCTTTGGACTGACCTCGTTTTCTAGTTGTACTATCCTCAGAGCTATCTCCTGAATTGGAATGAGAGATTCTTCTCAGCTGAAGTGACTAACACCATAAGACCCAACTTTTATGTTGATGATTGACTATTATATATATATTTACAGGCGGAAAACTGAGCAGTTGCACTTTGCAGATGCCTCAAAATGGCAAAGGCAAAGGGTGACTTCAACATCCCCAGATGGATCAGCAATAGCAAAACTGTACTGTACTGTTCCTTGCTTCCTTTGTTATTTTATCTAAACACATCTTGCAGGAATTGTGTCAAAGAACGTTTCATCATCGTCATATGTAACCAGTTGTGTTTGCGCCATACAGGAAGCTTCAGATGTTTTGCAGTGGTGATATGACAGCTCAAAACTAGACGCTGGAGATCAAGCTTAAGCAACATTGGCCCGAGCCACAGGAACATATCACTGCCAACATCATTATAACCAATACCAACCGTACCAGTATCTTGTTGAACCATTTCTCAAGCTGGAGAAGTTAGCAAACCACTGTATAGTGGTTTCTCAGGGTCGACTGGTAAAGAAAAGGAAGTAAATACACATTTAATGAGAACCACTCAACCGAATAGATACAGTATTATTGTTTTGTGCAGTAGGGCAGTAAAAATCTGAAAATCACATCCAAGATGTCAGATTCACATGTGTGTTTGGGAAATAGCTCCTTTTTTATCACTTATGTTTAAGTTATAAACTCTGATGTAGGTAGACACCCATTTTGATATGTAATTGAACTGAGCCATTGTTAATATTATTAGGTCCACTTATTAGAGCCTATTATTGTTAATGTCCATTCAATATTTATAGAGGGACTAGTGGTCATTGACTTTCTGATGCTGATATGTTGAAGAGAGGCTGAAAAGAATTCAGATAGGATCGTTGAGACCATATTTACACAGTTTTTTTTCCTTCACATTGATTAATACAACACATCAAATTGATCACATTTGAGGCTTAATTCATATGCAATCAAAAGAATGAAACTTGGTCTTGCAAATCTTTCATATTTGAAATTGCATGACTACTGCTGCTGCTCAGCAGAGGACGCCAAAGTACACTTTTGTATTCACTTTCTATCTGCACCTGCCATAATCTATATGTGTAGTAAACCACCTTGTATAATCTTTTTTAATTTATTTTTAATGATATGTCTTTATGTAATCTTGTGTCATATAAATATATCTATTAAACCAATAATGTATCCACAACTGCAGTGTTATGTTGGGCTCACTCAAACTTAAATTGTTCAGTGGATTTCTGTGATCCTGTGTTTAAATGGACACAGAACACATTGAAGCAGAAAAGTACCCTTTACAACAGACAGAAGAAAGCTTAAAAATTGCGTTATTTACCTCAAAATTCTACCAATAGAAAATAGACATTCAGAAAGTCGGCATGTGCATCTGTTTGAAATCAGTGGTTTTGTATTTAAGTCTGGTGCAGGGGACCTCTCAGAATATACATTACTTGTCAAGCATTTAATATAAAGAAAAATGAGAACAATACATGCACTCTTCCCAGCTCTCTCCCATGGGCTGCATTTAACTTCACAATACAATACCAAAATCATGTATGAATGTGAAATTGAAGAGATTTAGCTTTTCCCATTTGTCATAGTCTGTTTATGTCATATTTGCTGAAGACAGATGCACATTTACATGTATTATCATGTTGATCTCCCAGAAAAAAGGATGATCACCTCTGCTTTTCTGTTCTGTTCGGTTCTCCATTCTTCTTCTCCTGTTCTGTGACCAGCATATCCTCAAAGCCAATTCGCTCATAAGTGACTTGGTCTTTGAAGACTTTTGCTCTTGCTCTACTATCAGGCTTAACTCTGAAATCTGCTCACATTTAGGTTCCCAACACAAAAAGAAGGTGGCTCCTTGACCGTTCCCTTGTGCCACCATCAATCCAAAGCCTACCATTATGTAACTCTTCTGTTATCTTCCCGGGTCAGCACTGGCTGTGAGGATCAGTCGGTCTCTTCAATCTACTGAGTGACCTCTAGTTGAAAACAAAAGTCAACTGGAGTCTCATTAAAGCTATTTTAACAAGTGTGCCATGATAAAACAACACTGCCCTCATCACTGACTCCTCAGAGACACCAGGTAGGTAAACATATGCCTGTCCCTATCCCTGTAAGGTGGCTATAAACCCTGCAGTGCCATGTAAAATAGAGAGTGCTGTGTGCTGTACTCATGTAATCCACCCTGCAAAAGTCTTCAACATGTGCTTGTTTTTCAAAAGTTGTGTTTACAACCGCTGCAAGCCCCCAAATAATAAGGTTCATGCCAGATATCGATAAAATGAAGGATTATAAAGGCGTAAAAAGGGTACATCCTTTTTTATATGAGAATAAAACTAACAAAAACAAATTAACAAGCCATTGAGATAGGTTTTACCAGGGCAGGCTATTATGATGAAGTGTTTTATAAGCCTTGAATCCCAGATCACAGTCAAACATCAAAATCATCTCTAGCCAACATATGGTGGACATAATGACATAACCACCACATCTATTGCAATCCAACACAATAGCCATGCAGTAAATACCTTTTGACAGCTATAATGTTCAACATTGGTAGAGCATGTCAGTGTCTGCATTTAGAGCTGTTGACC